CGAGAGAGAGAGAGAGAGAGAGAGAGAGAGAGAGAGAGAGAGAAATGGGAATGGCGCCCAACAACCAAGTAATGTTATCATTATCCGGCGGCAACAGTCCATGAAACAAAATGAAACAAATCGGATTCTTGATTTCAAAAAAAAACTAATGCCATATTGCCACACATACACATTTTTCTCGTCATAATCGTTGTTTTGTTTGTTGAGAATGAAAAATGTAAATTTTTGTTGCTAAGATTGTTTCGCTATTCTTATCTGTGAGTGTGTGAGAGAATATCAGGGCAATATTAGCATCATGATGATGCAGTCAACTTGAACGAATATGATCAGTAGTGAACGTGATATCTTACCATACGTTAAATAAAGTGGAACAACAACAACAAATGAAATGAAATGACTGATGCTAATAAAGTGCCTGATTCATGAATAGGAAACAGGAAAAAAAGAAGAAAAAGAAAATTTTTTGTTACTGGATGGTTGTTGTTGCTGATTATTGTTATTGAACATTATAGCTAGCTTGTGAATGGCTTTCGCTACATTGATTCCGGGCGGCATCAGTATAATGATGATCGATCATGCAAAAGACAGGCAAACAAGCCAATCAATGTTTGTTATGCTAAGGAAAAAAAATTCAATTCTATTAGGGCGACAACAGCCATATCATCATCATATATAAAATAACAACAGAATCAAATCCATTAACAAGTTAATCAATCACACACTCCGATCGGGTCATAGGATTCACTTCAGCTAAGATTAATGATCAACAAAAAAGGTCCTGGCCCTTGTTAATTGATAATAGCCTAGCTTAACTTAGCTAGTCACAAAAACACACTTACCCCTTCCAGAACGACCAACAAAACGAAGATCATTGAATTTGGCAACTTGATTTTTCATAATAGCCGATGCATTTCTTAATTCACCACACCAATTTTCATCATTACCGGCTTTAATGGTAACCAAAGTACCATCACTTACTTCACCCAATGCAACAACTTTAAATGCTACCGGTAATGTTTTATTTGATCGCCAATGTGTTGGTAATGCCGAACAGATTATATTTGGTGATCCAGTACGAACTAATTCACCTGGATGTTCGGTCATCACTTCATTAAGTAATCTTTCACCAGGAAAAAGAAAATCGGTCATTTTGGTTTTGCTTTGTTGAATAATTTAGATGATTATGATTTCAAGGTCAGGTGACAAAATTTACAATCTATTTTCTCAAACACACATTACACATGTCACACACACATACCACAACAATGTCGATTTCGATTTCAATGTTTTGATTTGGATTTGATTTGTAGCCCAGTCACTGAACAACTGATGATCTGGCGCCAATCCAGATTCCAAACCAGAACAAAAACGAAAAAACATCCAACCATCAAATTCAAAAAATACCCCAAATATATGTCTATGCAGAAAAAGTGCCGCCTACAATAGGAGGTGGCTTTTTTGTTTTGCTTAAAAAATGGCCATATGTTTATCATCATTTTGATAAAATGTATGCGTATACGCAACCCACATATAATGTGTGTATTGCTTTGGGTTAAGCTTCATTCAAATTCAGGCTGAACAGTTATTTCATAGTTGGAAAATGGCTATTTGGCCACGACAATCAGGATGAAGCTTAAGATGATTATTGTTGTTGTTGTTGGGCATTGGTTTTGAATTTTGATTTTTCACAGCCAACAAAAAAATCCATCCAGGTAGTATGATTTTGATTTGATGAAAGACCCCAAAAGAAAGACCAAAAAAAGCGGATTTTAATTTTAATTTTGAATGAATGAATAAATCTTTGCCTGCACACTGGACTCATAATGAATCAACCAGAAAAAACTATTGTTGTTTCGTTGTTGTTGGCGGTATGGACCCTAAAGACGTTATGGATTTTTTTTTGTTTGGTTTGAGGGGGTGACATTTCAATCAAGCTAAGTAAACATTGAAATATAAGCAAAGCCAGGCAGCAATGTAGACCAATGACTAATTTGACCAATTGATCAAAATGCACCCTTATTATTTTTCTAGAAACACACGACTTTATTTGGACCAAAAAAGAAAAAAAGAGAGAATGGGAAAAACTTTGAATGGTGATTGGATTAGTGTGTGCGTTATTGAGGAAACCAATAGCCTAACTGCTGTTCATTGTCCATTCCTGTAGTGTACTCAAAACTAACTTTCGAAAAAAAATGTCCCAATGGAGACCTGTAGTTTTTGTGTTTTTTTTGGACAACACCAAAAGCGAGAGAGAAATGGATGCAAAAAATAAAACATCTCAATTCGACATCAAGTATTTTGTTGTTTGAAATTAAATTCAAAAAAGAAAAGAAAAAAAGATTTCCGTTTCCGTGTAATGGAGAAATTTGGGAAATGATAAAGTGATATAGAGAGTAGAGTGGAAAAAACAAAAAATTCAATTATTTTGGAAAACAGAACTGCAGAACCGAATAACAAGAACAACAAAAGAATCCGGTCATCTATATGTTAACATTATTATTCACCTAGTCGAGCACAAAATGAATTTCTAAATAGTTTTTCTAAATGTTTTCACTCTCTCTGTGTTTGTGTGTAAGATAGTTGGCAACTAATTGTCAACATCATTAGCTTGGGCGCTTTTGTTGTTGTCTGAGACAATAATGTTTGTTGATGTTGATGATGATGACGCCCAATGTTTATGGATATGAAACAAAAATAGAATGAATGAATTCAATTACTGATGACTAACATGGATCGATTGTGACAAATAAACATTTGAAACAAAACAAAACAACAACAATAAAACTAAACTGACTGAATGACTAACTAACTAACGAACGAAAAATAAATGGGCGCTTAGAATCTTTTTCCGAAGCCGAATACCGAAATATTTGGAAAGGCAACAAAAAGAAATCTATCCAGTTTCCATTACATTTATCTAGCCAATGGATCGATAGTTTGCTTGCTTTCATTCAATTCTTTCACTTTTTCCTCATCAAACATCATTGAGTCGTTATGTCAATATTTGACTTTTTTGTTGACAAAACATACGTTCTTAACACAACAAGAAACACTTCATCTAATATTTGAAAATGGTAAATGGCTACCCATCATCATCATCATAATCGTCGTCACCCTATCATCATCATCATCATTGGATGATAGTAGCCATTTTGAAATACTTTTTTCTTTTCCCCATCCAAATAGTGTCTATAACATTTGATTCGGGCAGCTTTCACTGTTTTGGTTCATAATCATCATCCAGTGTTGACATTGACAACATAGAAAAACAAACAAACAACAACTAGACAATCATATCGTTTTCTTTTTATTTATTTGTTTGTTTGTTTGTTTTGAATCGAGTGGCCAGTCAATTCGATACTCGTCAAATAAACATGCATCCTTAAACCAAAACAAATATAAACAGAAATAGAGACAGTGAAAACATTCATTCTTTCAATATAGCAATGTTATATTTATTGCTATTTGGTTCTATGGATCTCTCAATGTTTCAATTAAACCACCCAATCAAATTGGATCGAAGAAAAAAGTGGACGGATATAAGTGGACGAAGATTTTTTCAACAGAATTCATTTTGTTTTTCTCGCTTCAAAACAGCAACAAAAACAATATCGGTCCCAAATGACCACCATCATCAACCAACCAAACAGGAACAAAAAAACCTTATGATCTCTTGTTTTGTTGAATATATTTCTTGTTTCCGATTAATTGCTATCATTACAAATGGAAATTTAAAAAAAGTTTTTTCAATTGAAAATGGGCTCATCAATTTAGCGGAAAAACAAAATGATGATGATGGTAGTGAACCTGGAAATGGAAAACCAATTTGAATTTGGGCAACAAAAATGGAGAGACCAATCATAATAATGACTGGTAGTAAAGTTGGCAAACTGCTCAATTCTTTCAATTCATTGTCATTGAATATTGTTCACAAAAAAAAGCAGCCATAGCAATAGAAGCAGCTTTGTTGTGATGACCGATCATTCAGTTTTGTTGTTGTCGTTTGTCGAAGGCCATTAATTGGACTGAACTTTTCTCAATTTATGGTCCAGAATATAAAAACCAAGAGAGATTGGCAGAAAATAGTATTGACAAAATAAACATGAACACAAAATAGCATCAAATTGTGAAACTCAAATCCTGTAACAAGAAAAAAATATTTTATGTTTTGTTTTGAATCTTTCAATCCATTCAACCGAATCGGAGAGAAAAAAGGAAAAAGATTCGGCAAAAAGCGACTGGTCATTCCAGTTCATTAAACGATCCTATTTTGCCCGATCGATTAAAAAAATTCTCCAAAACATTTCGCAATCGAATTCCATAGAAATAGAAATGGTGAACCAGAACCAAAAAAAATGGTTAATAGAATTTCTCTGTTAAGGACGAAAACAATTTTTGAAATGAAATGAATTTATTTTTTTGCTTTGAACAATTCAAAATAAAAAAACGAGCTTTACTTTCTAATTATCGAATCGATAAATGCCATTAATATTAAATAAAAAAAAGATCTGTATGAAAATGAACAGAACCGACCGAGAGAAAGAGAGAGAGAGAGAGAGAAAACGAAGAATCCGGGCGTCTAAAACGTAATCGAAGCTGCTGTGATTTATGATCCTACACACGAACAAACGAAACAAAACGAAAGAACGCGGCCAACACCATGTTAAAATTGGTTTGGAAACAAGTTCATGAATTGTTCTCGGCATTTTTTTCCTTTTGGAGTTCACATGTCAACACTCGGTAACTTTATTCTCACTCACTTACCGATCGAAAAACAATCGGAAATCGAATCCATACAACAGAAAAAGAAAAAGAATCTTCCCCATGAAATAGAGATTCAAAACAGCCGATAAAGGGTTTTTTCCGATCGAAAAATTTTTTTTTTTGAAGCCAAGCATTGAATGAAAACAGTGGCACATGTCATCATCATATGGTTATATGTGTGTGCGTGCAAATCTGCTGATAGCTGATAGATGATGATCATTAATAATAAGCAATCTAGTCTGGGCTTTCGTATATAGCATCGGCATTTGTGTATGAAATTCATTGTGTGATTATTATTATTATTATTATTATACCACGTTACCAATCAATACACCATTATGAATGAATATAAGAATTGAGCAATGGAATCCGAGCAACAGCCGAAACAAAAAAGAAACTGAAATGATAGTAATTTTTTTCTTGGATTTGGTTGTCCTGGTATGATGATGATCATAATGAATGACTTTATGCATTTTTTGCCTTTCAAAATGAATGATGCGATGCAATTTCTTTTCTCTTTTTTTGTTTTTCCAATAATAATTCCATTCATTCCTTTTTTCCCTTTTTTCGCATTGTTAATATTAAGTTAAGTTAGTTTATTCAATGAAAAGAAGATGATGATGATGATGGTGTCAGATTTGATTTTGCATGAATGACTAAGCCAAGTTTCTTTCTTTCAACAACATTGTCCACCATTGTTCAATGACAACTAATCCATCACCAGCAAAAAAACAGTTCAGGGTATTAATTAAATTAGACAAATTCCAAATTCAACAAAAAAATGACCCGAATAATCGACGATAGGATGCAAATTGTATCGATTTTCATTTTCATGTAATGTTTATAAAGAATCACGTTTCGTTTCGTTTTTTGTTTTTGTTTGTTGTCAAAGTCATTTCTCATCAGATCGGATACAGAAAATGAATCGGAGATTGGATCGTCATTTGTCGTAGTAAAACGATAGTTTGTTTGTCATGTCAATTGTCTTTATTTGGTGTGTATTTATATACGTCTAACGTTCGATTATAATGTTTATTATATTCGATTCGTGACAACGAATAATAATGAGCTTGTCGTGAGTGGATCAATTCATTCAATAACGACTTGAACTTGTTTCTTTACAAATATTCTCTACTTTTAATTCTATGGTAAATATTTGTTCCCAGTGTTTAAGATAACGATCGCTTTAAGTTTGAACATCCATATCATCACTTACAAACTAAATATAGTCGAATGGTCTTATATTTTTATCAAGAAAAAAACAGCTAAATTTCATTGAATTAAAAAAATTTGAATTACATGTTGCCCTCTATCTGGCTAAAATTTCACTATCATTTGTGACTATGATCTATAGTTGAGTGAGGTTAGGTTAATGAATATGACTATGATCTATAGTTGAGTGAGGTTAGGTTGATGACTATGACTATGACTATGATTCATAGTTGAGTGAGGTTAGGTTGATGACTATGACTATGATCTATAGTTGAGTGAGGTTAGGTTAATGACTATGACTATGACTATGATTCATAGTTGAGTGAGGTTAGGTTGATGACTAATTATCATAGTTTTTTCGCTTAAAAATTGTCCCTTTAAGTTTGACTTTGAAGAAAAGCGAGCGTACTCATAACTTGTTATTAACATATAAAATACAATCATAACAACAAATTCAGTTCATTTTTGATATTTTTTGGCTTTTTTTATTTGCACACAAACACACATTCACAATTCATATGATAAAAAGAATAAAATAATATAATAAAATATAAAACCTTTCTGTTTTTTGTTTTGTTTTTGTTTTTTGGTTGTTGGGTGGAAATATAATAGGGTCAATATGCAATAAGTACAACAAATAATCAAATTTGGTTTGTGGATTTGGGTTATGAAACATCACTGTCCATTGATATTATTATTATTCATTGAATTGATTGAGCTTGAACTACTAGTAGAACTGACATTAGTTAAATCAGATTCGGACCTTTGTTGTTGTTCCATCATCATAATCATCTGTTGTTGCGCTGGTTGTTGTTGTTGACTATTTGATCCATTAAGAGGCGGTAATGTAGCCGATTTAGTTAATGATGTTGATGAATTTGAATGATGTGTAGATCGATTAGAAACTGATGATGACCATCTATTATTTGAACTGGCCGATCGATTCGTTACTGATGATGATGATGATGATGAAAATTGAGAAGCTTGATGAATGTCAGTGGTAGAGGAATCATGATGGCTATGAACATGTTGACTATTTTTGTCATGAATAGACTGTTGTTCTTGATTGTGAAGATCATGGCTGGAAGTAAAACTACGACTTTGATTCAGATGACTTTTGTCAGGTGTTGATTTAACGCTGGCCATCGAATCCGATGAATAATTACTTTGAAAACTGAGACTACTCTGATGCCTTTGATGTGATGAATGATTAGATGCAGCGTAACCACATTGTTTGATTCGTTTGCATAGAAAATGGATCCATTTTTGCTGTTCATCACTGCTAGATGCTAACAATAACAATTCTTTGGCAGAATTTTTCAGATACACTCGACACGGTGTTACACTGTTTTCGTGTTTGTTGTCCACATGTTCTTTATGTATTTTCATCCGGCAACCTAGATCACCATCAATTAGTGAATAAACTACTACTACAATCATCAACTACTAACCTTTACAACCAAGTGCCGGTGGTGGTTTTAACATGTGCCACATTGGTTTCAAACAAACTTCACAAGAAGTTGGCATATGAAATGTAATGGGTATAAATTCATGACCTTTATGTTCAATAGTAGTTGACTATCATTAAGGCGAAAAAATATATGTCTCAATACAACTCTAATATGCCACAACAATTTACTTACATCTTTACCGTGATGATAATGATTATCCAAATGTGATGAATTATCACCGCCCGGTTTACGACTTTCTCCCTCACAGGCGTATAAAAGCTAAAATGAATAATTATATTAATTCATATTGGGTGCATGGCTCAATCAATAATCAATATATTGGACTAACCTGGAATATGCGAGGAATATCCTTAGCATCAGCACGGATCACATCACCTTGAGATACGGAACGAGCATGAAACAATTTACTTCAAAAAAAAGATAAGAAAATAATTTTTATTAGTTTATCAATTTGTGGAAATAGTGCAGGCATACCAAAGATCCAGTATAAGTGTTGGATCCGATTTAGCTTTATCGTTTTCGTTATTGTAGAATATAATTTTTCGACTCGATACTACAACATATTGTTTACGCCAACCATGTCGACGAATGTTCTGTTTATTGGGTATTGAAAGCCAACCTTCTAATCTTGATTCGTCTACTTCTTCGACGGTATTAGGAATCGATTGTGATTGCTGATATGAAGCGACTACCGATGACAATGACGATGTTGTGGACAAATTTTCCTCTGATAATCGAGTGTTTTTGCTACGTAATTGTTCTAGTTCGGCATCTTTGGCTGCCACTTCCATTTGCAGTCGAAGTTTCTGTTGAGTTTCTTCTTGCAAAATTGCCTGAATATCGTTCAATTCCTTCTGATGTTTTGAAATCTTGAGACTACAAGAATTTCTTTCTGAATTGAGTTCCTGCTCTAGTTTGCGACATTCTTTTTCCTTTTTCTTCAATTCCATCGCAATCGAACTCTTGGCTTTTTTGTCGGTCATTTTCATATCACGCCTGTTCATAATCTCGGCCAATTTGTTAACAGCCTGTTCTTTGAGCAATTTTTCCTGTTGTAATTGTTTGGCCAGTATTTGATTATCCTGTTGAATAGAAGCAACAGCCTCTGCATTATTATTTAAATCGTTTAATTTGGTTTCGAATTCTTTGTTTTTCTTTTTTAGTTCCTGAATATAATCACCAAATTCTCGTTCATTGCATCTAAGTGTTTCGATAGTGGTATTCGAATCTTTTTTCAGATTGGCCAATTGTTTAAGCAGTTCTTCCCGTTCACTTTCCAGATGAGATTTGTCATTCTCCAATATGGTCAATCTTTCCCTGTAATTGGTATCATGTTTGAGTTGATTTTTGAGGTATTCGTTCTCCTGAACAATATCGGTCTTTTCTCTTGTAAGCACATTTAATTCCGAAGTCTTTTCATTCAATTCTTCGCTAATTTCATTCAATTGATTTTTGTAAATCTCTGAAAAACAATGCTCAGTGTCCAAACGGATTTTCATATCATTGTAATCACTGATTCAACGGAAAAATAAATAAGAAAAACAAATCCACCAATAATAAAAGAAACTTACATTGTTAATTTTTGGTATGCTTTCTTTGCTTCTTCCAGCTGTGATTTAATTAATTGATTTTCACTTTCAGAAAAAGCAAATTTTTGCGCCAAAATTTTCACATCCGACAGGCTATAGCTATCGGAAAGATATTGTTTGATTTCATTGTCGACATTATCACTGCCAAACGAACGATCATTTTCCATATTTTGAACCTGTTGCTGTAGCTGTTGTCTATCAACTTTTAGACCATCGATTTCTTGTTCTTTTTCCTTCACCATCGTTTCTAATTGTTGGCGTTTATGAATTTCTCCTTCAAGCATCGATTTCAAAGCTATAATATTTATTTGAAAAAGAATAAGAGCAACAAAATCAATGCTATTCATAACATACCGGAAACATCCTGAAATTGGTCCGAGTGAATGAGAACTTCAGTATTGCGGTCATCATTTGCATTGGTGGTGACAATATTATTGTCATTCTGATCAGGCGTAACAATAGCCATCGGTCGATTTACCTTATTGGTAATGGGTCGAAGTTCATGTAGTTCGTTGGTCAAGATGATTATTTGCGCTAAACAGAGATAAAATTAATCATCAGACAACAAAGCGATGATAAATATTCAACACTTACATTCCAATTGTTTGACTTTGGCCTTATAATTGTTAAGCAGATTGGTGGCAACGTTAAGCTCTTCACGTGTTGCTGAAACATCCTTTTCTTTGCTGTCGGATATTTTTTCGAACATGGCAATTTTATTTTTCATTTCACCAATGACAAGTTCTTGATTACGGATCGTATGCTGTAGATCGTTCATTTTGATCGATTCACGCGCAAAATTTTCTTTCTCTTTTTGCAACATTTCGCTTAGCATGGTCAACTTTTTCTCCATACTTGAATTCATTTCATTCAAAGCATTCTGCGTCTGTATTCGTTGTGTTCGTTCCGAATCATATTTTTTACGCAATTCAATCATGGATTTTTCAGCAGCTTGCCGATTTTCGGTTTCTTGATCGAGTGTGGCGCGTACTTTGATTAGATTTTGACGTAACGAATTCAGATGTTTTTCCAAGTAGGCTTTATCGTTCTGTAAAGAATCTATTTGTCTATCTTTCTCGTGCATGGTGAGCCGAAATTTGTGGTCCAATTCGACACTCGAATCAATAACCAGCGAACGTTTATCTTGATCACTTAATTCGGCCATTCGACCGACCATCATGTCGGATTCGCCATCCACCGATTGCGAGTGGCGCCGTTTGCGAGAGAGAAGAGCATTATCACCAGAATATGTGAACCCAATGAACGGGATGTGATTGCCGGCGAAAGCTCGTGGTTCGGGAAAATGTTCATTATCTTTGCGTATGTCGATACGGTTAGAATTGAAATTACTTGTATCATCATCACCGCAAAGTTCAGGAATAACAGGTGCAATACATTGATGAATATTGTCGAATGTCCACTGTTCGTTTTGAAAAAATGGATGGTTCTTTACTTCAGGCATTCCGTTGCGACCCAACCGGTTCAGACGATCGGTGAGAAAGGCACAGATAAGACTACGAGCTTCCACAGATATTTCTACATCATCAGGAAAATGAAGATGATTTTTGTGATCCATTATTTTGCCGTACGTTCCGACCAATGATTCAGCAAAAAAAGGAGTATCACCGATAAGCATTTCGTAAAGAAAGACACCCACCGACCAATAATCACATTCACGACCATAGCATTCTTTGCCGCTTTGTGATCTTAGCACTTCGGGTGAAATGTAATCAGGTGTACCGACAGCCGTTTCCGAATGGACAAGACCATTGTCGTCCATACGCATGCAGGTACCGAAATCAGCTAATTTTAAATGACCTCGCCGATCTAGCAACATGTTATCGGGCTTGACATCACGATGAACAAAACCCATCGAATGAATGGTGTCCAATGCGAGAATCACTTCGGCACAATAAAATTTGGCCCATTTCTCCGGTATATCATACTCAGACATAAGACTGACAAGATCACCACCCGGCATATAATCCATCACCATATAGAGATGTGTGTTGGTTTGAAAGGCGTAATGTAGTTTGACAATCCAATCAGAATCGGCATGTGCCATGATGAACTTTTCCTCCCAAAAATATGTGTCCGAACGTTTGATCATTTCGAATTTGGATAGCACTTTCATGGCGAACACTTTTTTCGTATATTTGTGGCGGACAAGTTTCACTTCGCCGAAAGCACCAGAACCAATCACTTTGATCACATTGAAATCATCGGGTTTCATGCGCGAATTTGAAATCAAATCATTGTATTTTTCATATTTTTGCAGAAACAGATCAATATTTTTGATCCGTCGCAATGCAGGATGATTACAATCAATGACCAATGCTTGAACACAATCCTGTCAACAACAATCAAACAGAAATTCATTATGTATTTTCACACCAACAACTTACCAGGAGGCCATCGATGTTGAGATCGGATTTTGGATCAAGAAGACATTCTTCTAGCCTAGTCACCCTTTTATCCCTATTATCTTCCGCTATCTTAATCATTTGATCATCGGCCATCTTGACCTGTTCACTATTTCTTTCAATAATGATTGATTGCTCTCCACAATTGATAAATAATTTTTTTGGCAGAATTTAAAACAAACAAAAAATTGAAAGAAAAAAATAAAACAAGCTAAGTTAAAAATCAAAAAAGACCACTATTAGTGGATGGACATGGTCATTGAAGAAGGTGGTAATTGATTGAGAAACGATGACAAATCACAGATCAATTCAAATGTTAATTTTGTTGTTAGTGGTGATAGTTATGATGAGGATGATGTTGATTTTGATGATGATGACGTTTGTTTTGGTTTGCGATTAATTTTTTTTGGTCGCTCAGTCACGCATCCATTTAGGTGGCGGCGATGGACATCACTTTGGTTTTTGTTTGGTTATTGCAAGATAATAAGATAGACATTCACATCTAACTTTAGCTAACACACACTGTCATATAAGGATATTATAAAAATATTATTATCAGATATTTATCATTCCAACACTGTCATTACATCATTATTATGATCATGATTTGGAATCGATAATTCTTGCTCAACAATAAATCAAATGACCAAACCCTGAGCGATCATCAGGATGAGAAGAAAATCCTTAAAATATATATATCGCAAAAAAAATCGAGCACGATGACGCCAGCTGCAACAACAAGGTAGCGCCACTGATACTTTCTTTGTGTATAATTTTTAATGGCAATGGTTTAATATAAATACGCAGCTCATCATTATCATCATATCCATTCAGTTTGTTGGTTGCTGGTTTGGTCGGTTGTTTTGTTGAGTAGGTTGCCGTAATAGTTAGCAACAGTCTGTTTGCTTGCTTGGTTGCTCATTGCAACCAGAGTAAAAAACATGGTCAGCTTTTTCAACAAAAATATCGTCCACAATATTGCCTAATGGTTGTCATGCATTTCATGCATCGCACACGATTCACAATTCTGCATGTGGATGATTTTTCAAATAATAAATGTAGGTAGGTAGTGGTATTTTGTTAGTGTGTAGCCAATATGTGGCTATATGGCTACATTTGAAAAATTTCAATATTATTGGGCCTGTTGCTTTATGGGACCAGAATGTGAAATTCTTGACCTTGAATTATTTTTCTGAATTGAAATATTAAAATGTGTGTTTATGTCATATGAAACTAAACATAAACAAAAACAAAACCACTTGGTGACAAAGCAACTTGGCAACAAATGATTGGATCATAACAATGACAAAATCGAAAAAATAACAATCATGATGACTCAACCGTTAATCTTTCGATTGTAATCATCATATATAATATATGTCGAAGAAAATATTCCCTTCTTCATTATTATTATTATTATAGCAACGATGCCAAAAATGAAAAAATCAACAATAGATGCTTTTGATTTAAAAAATTTAAAATTTCTGGATAAGACCAATCTGAATTCTTGGCTTGGGCGTCGGCAAGAATTTTGAAAAAAAACAAAAAAAATGTACAGCATACCTCTCAACAACAACTAAATCAAAATATTTGTGCTTCGATATTATGGGCTTTTTTTGATTTCTGGATATTGATACAATTTTTGTATGGATGGACAATCTAATAACATACCTGATTGAAGAATGGAATTTTTGTCGTTGTTGGCATTTATCGTGTTTTCATAGTTAAAATTGAGTATATCGATTTCGAAATGGAACAAAATAATTTGATTAAGTTAATTTGATACAATTCGATTCTTGGTTTGATGAAAACAAACTTAAACTAAACTAAATAAATAATGACTGGTAGATTGGCGTAAAACTAATGAAGAATGAATTGGTCCCGATTCAAAACGAAAAAAAGAAAGATGCAACAGCCTAATGAAAAACTCACATGAGAATGAATGAATGGAAAACGCATGCGTTTACCTCAGGAGCCAATTAGCCAATATTCAAATGGGCCCAGATGGCGCCCTCACAAGAATCATTAATTGAATTCTTATTGACTTGGTTAGGTGAATGAACATAAAAAGATATAACGATAGTGGTCAGCGTATAAACAAGCTTTGATTTGAATGCTGGTCAGAATGGGCTATTACCGCCCATTTTATATGATGTAGGTATTTTTTTCGGTTGGAAAAAAGTTTAGTTCGCCACATAGACACCAGATCGAGAAGAATTTACCTTGTTAACTAAAAGTTTCCCTCCAAAAAAAGAAATCGATAAAAAAGATGGATAATATGAAAAATTTGATTGAATTAGTGAAAGCACGACCAGTGCTATACGATGTAAGTCTTAACAAAGATAATGAAAGTCGACGATTAGCTTGGCAAGAAATTTCTTTCGCCCTTCAGCAGCCAGGTATGTATAAATATGACTAATTTATCGACAAAACAAATGAACAAATTCATTGCCAAAACTAGCTGATGATTGTATGGAAAAATGGAAATCATTAAGAGCTCAATTTCGTTACTATTATAAAGGAGACCATTTTAATGATTGGAAATATGCACAGGATATGGCCTTTCTTGAGCAACATATTCGCTGGCAACGTAAATCACTTTCATTCAATCATTCCATTAACGATGATAATGTTGAAAGTATTCAACAAAATGGTCATCATAATAAAACGGTAGCAAATTCACCTGTATCACCTCGACTTCGTGCCAAATTTTCGAACAAATCCCAATCCGAGCCTCAAGACGAGCAAATTTCAACAGAAAAATCAATTTCATTAGTTTGTCATAAATCGTTTGCTTTGAATCAGAAAATTAATTGCATAATTCAAAACATAAAACCTTTGATTGCCATCATTTCGATAGTTTTTATTTTGATGATTGTATTTTATTATCAATTATTTTGATTCATATTATCAATTTATCATTGCTAATTGTCATTCTTTTTCATTCAAATGATTTTCATCCATCAAAAACTTGAAATTAAATTCGAATGTTTTGATTTTATACGTGATTGTACGACTTTTTTTGTGTGAACTTGGCTTACTTGTATAGATATTTCAGCTGTTATACGATCGAAGTTGATCATTTTGATTGATATAAATTAAAATGAGACCATATTTTGGTAATTGTAACCAATGGGTAATTGGACACAGAATTTGGTCATTGTATTCGGTGAAAAATATCCAGAATTATGGCCGGCAAATACGACGTTGTGGTTACAGATCACGAAATAATAGTGCGTCCAATGATAATTCGAAACATTTTTATCCAATGTTATTCTCCGGTGTTTGTATCGGTTGGCTTTCAATTCACACAATGTTCAGTGAAAAAATATCCAGATGGATTTCTGATGATAAGTATGTAACAGTCAATATTTTCCCATTGATTCGGATATTATTATTATTTTTTTGTTCAGAAACAAGCTACCGATCGAACTAGAAGAATTTATCTCTGATACAATTCAAACAAGTCAACTAAATGAAGCATTGAAACAGATAATACCGGCATCATTTTATTTATCCAAGCAAATTGAGCCAATTACATTGGGCACATTTCAAACTCATTCTGGTGCATGCATTTTGCTGCCATTCTATTTCCAATACAATACTGTTGACCAAATAGATGATAGTTATGTATGCAAAGTACTCGGTCTTAATTATTCACAATTGTGTGACCATCACTCAGATGATGGAAAACCAATGATAGAGCATTTGAAACAATGTTTAATCCTATCGACAGAAGCTAAGCGTTTCGCTTTGACTTCTTTATTACACAATAATGCAATGCCAGCCGGATTTTATGCCGATTGTTTTTCATTATTCATTTTTCCATTTTTGGCCAATGAATCGGCAAATTTATTACAAAAACGACTACGACAAAAAAATCCTGTCATTAATCTAATGGCATCGATGTTTGGTTATTTTGCTTACTATTTGATTAATCCGTGGTTCAAACAAACACAAACGCGTTATGGTTACTGGTGTGTTTACAAATACGAATCATCCGATATGCAAAAAGGTTGTCAAGAATATTTTGATAAATTGATACGATTACAATCGATACTAGCCACTTATCAACAACAATCAAATTGGACGGATCGTTTGATTTGTATGCTGAAACCAAGTACATCCTACTCAATGGTTGATCAACAAAATGATTGTGGGCGATTAGAAAAACTGGGTGAAAATTTAGGCTGGTCAGATTTGTTTTAATTTGTAAATATTATTATTACTTAAAAAAAACAATACAAATTACTAAAACAACATAATATTTATTTGTGAGTAACGGTTTATTTGGACAAAAGATTTAACAAACAAAATTGCACATAACATTGTTCACTGATCAATCAGTAGGTTGTTGTCTATCTTTTTCCGGTTTTTCCCATCTATATGTTCCATAGAATCGAAAACCATTGGCAATACAAAAATCATCGGCTTGTTTAGGGCCACGTGATCCATAAATGTAAGGCAAAGGTACCACTTTTTTGGTTTCAATTTCTTTGAGCAAAGGTGTAAATATTCGCCAAGCTTCACGTAGTTCATCGGTACGAACGAAATGCATCTGTGAACCAGAAAATACATCCAATATAAGTCGTTCGTAAGCGTCCGGTAAGACAACATCTTTGTATCGACTGCGATAGGTTAGATCGAGTTCAGTCTCTTCCAGACGAAAAGTCATACCAGGCTCTTTGGTCATCATTTTAATGTAAACAGCTTCCCCCGGTTGAACTCTTATGACCAATTCATTACGACGACATTGGCCTTGAAATATGTCACCAGGAACATCACGAAATTGAATACGAACTTCAGTTTTACGTTCGTTAAGAGCTTTGCCACACCGCAAAAAGAACGGTACACCATCCCAACGTTCATTGTTGATTATACATTTTGCCAAACAGAATGTAGCCGTCAAAGAATCTTTCGGTACTGTTGGATCTTGTACGTAACTTTGTCGAGAATCTTCAGTCTTGCCATTAGGATCGGCAATATATTGGCCCAAGACTACATCATCAAGTGATAATGTTTTCATGCAACGTAATACTTTCACTTTCTCATCACGTATATCTTCCGCACTTGCTGATACTGGTTTTTCCATAGCGACCAGTGTTAAAATCTGAAGCAAGTGATTTTGCATTACATCACGAATAATGCCAAAATTATCAAAATAACCACCACGGCCAGCTGTACCGAATGGTTCCTTAAATGAAACTTGAACGCTGGCTATGTTTTCATGATTCCAAATTGGACCAAAAATACGATTAGCAAATCGCAAGCCCATCAAATTTTGTACCATTTCTTTGCCCAAATAATGATCAATACGATAGATTTGTTTTTCCTCAAACAAACTGGACAAATGTTTGGATAAAGCTTCAGATGAATCATAATCTCGACCAAATGGTTTTTCAATGATAATACGATTCCAACCACTTCAAACAATAAATTCTTAGCAACAAATACTGCCACAAACTAACCATACTTACGTGCTAGACATGCAGTTATCGTGAATGTGTTGAGTAACCGTACCGAACACTGTAGGCGGCAATGCCAAATAGAAAAGGTGATTGCATATCTCATCCGGAGTGACCAATTCACGAACCGATGCCTGTAGTTTGATAAAATCAGCCGCATCATCATAAGAACCTTTGATGTAAAGATTTTGCTTGAGAAATTGTTCGAACAATTGTTGATCAGCATCGTTTTCAATTCGAACATAGGGTCGCATATTTTTCCCGATGTCCTCCACAGTCAAATTAGATCGAGCATAACCAACAAATACGGTTTTGGCCGGAATCAGATCATCCCTAAAAATAGACCTACGATGATGGCAGAACAAAATAAAACAGTCACCATATTAACACTAAATGTTTATATTTACCAAAGAGTGGGATAAATTTTCTTTTTCGCTAGATCTCCCTACACATAATGGAATAAGATGAATCAAACAATCAAACCAACATATCAAATCAAATCAAATGGATCATAATACCGAAGCGCCCATAACAAAAAAGAGATGATGATCGCCAACTTGATAGTTGAGCGATTCTCGTATTAGACGCAATGCATCTAATGATATGTCCATACTGTCCATTGATGATGTAGACAAAATAAGTGACGATAATGTTGAATGTTGATGTACGAATGTTTCACCTGTCGATTTTAATGGATTTTCCAAAGATTTCGATGCACTATTTGGATGTGTAATTGTGTGATTAAAGCTTTCTTCCAATTCGAATTGATCGGCCAATTCTTGTTCAATCAAATCTTTATCGTGGTTGCTGTTTGGTTGCGTGGACAAGGATTTCACTAAAATTTGATCAGTATCTTCATCAACCACCGATTCAGGTTGTAATGTTTGTTGTTGATGATGATTATTATCACCGGTGTTCAAAAAATGACGTTCAGATATTAAACTAGATTTATCTGGATCAAAATCAAAATGACGGTGAAATGTTGATGATGAGGTGGATAATGAATAACTTAATGTTGAATCAGAATCTGTTGAATATTTGGAAAGAAAACTTTTCCTTTGCCGATTATTGTTTACTTGAATTGGCTTTTTATTTTCAAACTGATTATTAGTTTGTTTGTCATCATTCAACAATGTTTGATTAATGAATGTTGTTGATGATGATGATGATGTTAATAACGAATTATTGTTAGCTAATTTTGCACTGATTGGCTCTTCTATCGATTGTTGTTTATTGGCGGAAATACTATGATTGCCAACACCGTTAGCAACATTCAAATTATCACTGTTAATATTATTGTTTGCATTAACGGATGTTACGTTCAAGTCAGGATTTGTTTTACTGTTATTAGCATTAGTATCAACAACACCACCTGTTTGACATAGACCCATCACTGACTGGTCAACATGATCAACGAAAAATTTCTTATCATACCATTATTTCATCACAAATAGCTAACATTCTAGTTTGTTAACCAAAAAACTATATGGCTACGAGAAAAAATTATATATGCAACAATAGCAAGACGAAAGAAGAAAAATTGTCGTTGTTGATCATTTTCATTCAAATTTATTGATCGATAATCAAATTCAAAAACACATTCACCATTTAAACCGCATGCACGCAATCAGACAAAAAACAATTGAATAGGATTTCTTCTATTTTGTTCTGTCTTTTTTCAAATTACGAAATGAATTTTTCTTTTTTTCAAACTCAAATAGACAAGACAAAAAACAATAGACATTTATAAAAACCAAGTTTTGTCTTAAGGTCGATTTACTATCTATAGTCTGGTTTGAAGAAAATTAGAAAAAAATTTCAAAGACACATTATACACCTATACCGATCTCTATGACAATCATTATGTATTTATTTTCTTCTCATTACAACTGTGTAGAGAGAGAGACTGTTCAATTTCAAATCATATTCAACAACGACAGAACAAAACCCACCAATCGATCGATTAACCGTAGCCACACAGCAAAGTAATCAGCAAAGGATAAATCATTCTTCCAACAAGAATATTCTGCAGTTCAGAGTTTTGTTGTACTCACCCGAATATTGATGATGATCATCATAGGAAATTGTTTTGTCAAGTCAATCACCACTAACACCATTAATTTTGATGAAAATTTTTCGTGCTTTTTATCATCTCCGACACACACAAACACATCTGAATTTTGAAAAAATTTCTTGAAATTGATTCTGACTGATCTTTTGCCAATATCTTTGAAGAAGTTGCTCGATTGTAAGCCAAGAAAAAAGATTGAGCAAATGAATGATATAAGGGAATATTGTTGTTGGCTAACAATGTAGAAAGCTGTATTGATGATGATCAAGTCCTTGAATCACTAAGTGGAAAAGTGAGATTGAGAGAAAAAAAGAGAAAAAATCATCAAAGTGGATTGTCATCCAGAATGAATTGGCCAAGAGTTGTTGTTGTTTTTTGTTGACGATGATAGAAGAAGAAGGAAGCATTTCATTTCATTTCCAAAATTCTTAATTTGAAAAAAGACAACGATCATCGATGCACAGCTTTAATGTTGTTTTTCTCTCTATGATGATCATTGGTTGTTGTCAACGGCATTATAATTTCGTATTACGTATGTTGTTGTCATTTTTTCAACAAAAAATCCAACGAAAAATTAAATGAGCCATACACGTTGACAGTTATTTTTTTGTTGTACAGGTATATTATACATGTATATTTAGCCAGTTAAACAGTATAACAACAAGGGCAAAAAATTTTTATTCCCAAACTCAACTTTTTTTGCAATAAGTACATATAACCTGAATTCTTGTTGAGAAAAAGAAAATTGCCAGCTCAATTCGTTATTCATTCATTTTGATCATAATTTAGAGAAATCATAATAAATTTTATGATTTCTCTAAATTATTCGGATAATAAAACTCTCAATTATTCATATTTGGCACACTTATTTTACCTAATACAAGTGAATATTGTGTAAATATTTACATTAAGCAAACCTGCCCACCTCCGGAAAAAAAATCAATCCGATTCTGATTGCCAAAGCCAATAGAATCGATATGGAATTATATAGCAAATACCAGTTTCTGTTCTGTAAATATCAATATTGCATATAACGTTATCTATTGACGGATTTTGTAAACAAAATCTAAACAAAAAAAAAATAAAAATAAATAAACAAAAATTAGAATAGATGGATGGGATTGCATATGATTTTGGGAATCATTTGGAGTTATTGTGATTGTTTGCATTACTCATAATGGATCAATTAGAATGGATCAATATATTTATACCCGATCGATTGACTAATATGGTCGGTAATGATGATGATGATGATGATATAATGGATGGCCTATTATTTGGCCACTATGAACGTAGTATTGATGGCCATGGTTTCAATGTAAGCATTACTGCTGTTACAAGAAAATCTAAATCATTGGACAGACAATCCATCAAAACAAATGATGTCATCGATAATCTAGTCTGTTTAGGACGAATGAACTTACTGAACCATGATTGTTCGGATACAGGTCACATGAATGGTAAAAAAATTTCGTTTTGTTCGATTTATATGGAATTGAATTTACTGTATAAAACTGACAGCAATAATGATAATGAAAATGATAATCATGAATCATTGCCATTTGATCTTAAATCAATTCGAATAATGGGCAAGCCATTTACGGATCGGGACAAAGTGTCTTTCATTCTATATGATACATATCGATTGATGCGTTGTCAATCGTTCGATATTTATAGGCCGGGCAACAGGTAAGCCATGTTTCGAATGTATTTTCATTAACCATATTTGTATGTTTCACGTTTATAGAATCGAATTCCTAAGTTTTGTATTGAGAAGTCTATATGATACTTCGATCGTGTACGAAAATAAAAAGCAAATGAAATATGAGAATAGTTTGAATGATTATATGATTGAAAGTCAATTATCCACTACATTCATCTATCATTATGCTCAAGCCAAACGATTAAACCGATCGGCTATCTGTGATGAACGTTTTGATAATTGTGAACAAAAAACATTGCGCTCACCTTATTTGATTCTCTACTTATTCTGGCTGTTTGATCTGATGGATATGATCACATTTCACAAATCCTTATTCATTGCACAACTTAAATTTCGTTTGCTTCAAATTCGTTACATATGGAATCTAATGAAACAATCGCCTAGCAAACAGTCATTATCGTTGGGCAATCTATTGTTTGCCATTATTTTTGATCATATTTTAGGCATATTGGCTACATGGCTCATATTCAAATACACAAATCAATCACATCTGATGCAATTAGTCGACACGAATGTCGGTTTATTGGTAAACAAAATCAACAATATGTTGGTATTGTTGCAAAGTATGCCAGCCGGTCTTAAATTAAATCAACCATTTAATGATGCCATATCACAAGTGATGTTCTATCACATTTATCTATGGCAAAACTATATGCTAATATTTCAATCATTGTTTCCTGCCATTATGATTTTTGCTTTTTATTTCGGTATATTTGGCATTACATTCACAATCAGGTAATGATTCGATTCAATGATTGAAAATTATTTTAATGAAAATTATTTATTTGGTTAATATCAAAGTTTACTTTGCGATCTGTTCAATATGATCACTATCCATATTTATTGTTTTTATGGATACACCTCACGTGTATATAATTTTCAATCGGCTGGAATAATATCATTGTGGCGATTGTTTCGTGGCAAGAAATATAATCCACTTCGTGATCGTATCGATTCATATTCATATGAGAATGTTCACCTTTTCATTGGAACGATATTATTCACTGTATTTATATTTCTATTACCGACCGTATTGATGTATTATGTTGTAATGTTGATATTTCGATTGATCACTATAGCCATTAAGCAATGTAAGTAGTGTCTAGTAGTCTATCTATTCTGTATTTTTAATTTTTAAAAACCAAATCATCACATGCCTGTAGTTTTGTTTTTTTTCATCGATTTTCTTAGCACAATACCTCTCTATACTGTATGGTTATGGCTTATCAATTCGGAAATAGTCTCCGGTCGAATCTATTTTCGCAGACTAAGCCACCAAGACAGCGAAAATGGTAATAAATTTGCTGTTTTTCGAATGGAAACATTACCTGATTCGTTTGGTAATTTATTCAATGGACAAAGTGATTGTGTAGCACGAAAACTTAAGCAATTTCTATTGGCTAATTCCTATCGTAATGAACCATCATTCAAATGGAATCAATTTTTTTGCGATGTACTTTTAGGTCGTAATATTGGCCAAAATATACCATATTGGTTTTCATTTCTACTTATTTCAGTATCATTGTGTTTATTCTACCGATTCTTTGAATCTTGACGATCTCAATATATCAAAATTGTAATTATCAAATTATTACAAACTTTTCAAATACTGCCATAAAATTCAATTATTGTACAACCATAACAACAACAACAAAACCATGTTGTCTTTTTTTGATTATAAATTGCAAACACATTGTTGTTTCTCTTGATTCAAATAAAAGAAAAATGGCCGGAAATGTTGTTTGTGGTAAAATGTCAATTTCAATTTCATCACATCCTTAATTCATTCATCCATTGGTTTATTAAATTTTGTTAGACAATTGTTTTCTGTTGAAAAAATGTTGATGAAAATTCTGTTGTTTGAATTGCAATTGATAATAAAATAACTAAATCAATGGCTTGTATCAAATTTTTGACATTATTACATTATGCTGAATTGGTCAGTTTTTTCCCAAAATTTGATCGTTGACAAACCAAACTTTTTTGTTGTTGATCAAGCATCAATCAATTAAATTTGGCTGTTGATTGGTTTGTCACGAGTTAGGTTAGTTCATTTATTTACAGTTTTCACAGCCGTAAAAAATGATCGATTGAATGTCATTGTGTTTGTGTTTGGAGTGAAAATCACATTTGGCAATTGGTTTTCATAATTGTTGTCGTTCATTGAGTTTTGCTTTTGCTTCTCAATCAATTAAATCAGACAAATTATTTGACAAAATGCGTAAAACTAAAATATTTATCAAAATTTACACAACACGCATCTTATGTGTGCATGAACGAAAAAGCTTTCCGCCAAATCGATTTGAAAAACGGAAATGGAAATTGAATTGATAATTTTTTTCAAACCAAAAAAACTAAAAATCACATTCGACCTATAAATAACCATGAATTTTGGTTTAAAACATTTTGGGATAAATCAAGTGCAGTTTTTATTTTTTGTCAGTTTTCTATAGAAAAAACGGTGTCACCTGAATCGTTTTTTGTTTGTTAAAATCCATAAATAATGTCACATATAAACATGATTGTTACAAATTATCTTCATTTACCCTGTTTTTCACCTGTGTAAAACATTATTTCCATTATAATTTATATTAAGCGTTAAAATATATTAATGATGATGATTATCGAAAACTAAAAACAACAAAAAACACTGGCCAATTTTGAAAAATTTGTTTTTCTTTTATTCATTCATTCATATAATGATTATAAATTAAACGAACCAAATCTGTTTGTTCAATTTCGATTTCAAGCTTGAAAGATTTTATTAAGAAAAAACAGAAACAAAAATTTCCCTGACCATTGTGATGACACTGGATAATATTAATAATGGATCCTTACCGGACAGGGAGCGTTGACTGCCACAGGATTATACAAACTTCCAAACTGGTCACTGGTCATCTGGATCAGTTAATCAATCAATCAATCAAACAAACAAAAAATGGCATTCAATTTTTCAATTAAGAATATGGCAATCTGTTTACAGATCTATTATAAATGATGATATCAACAGTATTATGTTTCATTTATCAATTGGCCTCCATCGATCAAAACCACAAAAAGACAGAAAAACACAAATAGTTTTCGCACTGTGGAGACAATTATTATTTATTTGGATAAGTTCAGTGCAAAAAATGAGAAAAATTTGCATTTTTATCATCATTATCATTATTGCTTTGGAGATGGCCAATGTTTTTCTCGATTATATTCCATTTTTTTTTGTTTCCTCGAACTATTTTGATTGTGACCGCGATCACATGCTATGATAATCAATGGTTGATATGGGAAAAAATGTTGCCGTTTTTGTTGTTGTTGTCAATTTCACCATCTTTGAATTGATTTTTTTTGTTCCCGGTGACACGCTAGGGATTCTTTATTTGATCATCGGTCATCAATTGACCATCGATGATGATGATGATGATAGTCCTGCATCTTATCACCATCATCATCGTCATAAGCTTTTGACAATCATTTCCGATTCACACAGAACTTTCCAAATGACACAATTCAAATGTGAAATCGATAAATGAATTTATTTTTTCGTTTGAATCAAAAATTCATCTAATAAATGAAATCAATTCATGCATCTGGTATTGATCAAATCTGATTAAATGCTAAACAACATCAAGAAATTAGAGGATTTCCATCATCATCGTCGTCATTTTCGTTTTCAACAAGAGTTTTCGAGGGGGAAAAATGCACGAAAATGTACAAAATGTTTTTCAAAACTGAAAAAATTGATTGTTACGGATGAGAAAAAATCCGTTCATATTTTCAACATTTCTGATAAGATGATATTTGTTAAAGAAAAAAGGATAAGGATCTAATAATCGAATTTATTTTGCTTCATTTGCGGATCAGGATCAGCATGGATGAGCCGGTGTGGTACGACGATATGTGTTTGTGTGTGTGGATTAGTTATAATTATAATTTAAATGCCATAATTATCATCATCATCATCGACAACATTAGTTCATGCGTGATTGGCAAAAACGTTGTATGTTGTGTGTGTGTGCGTTATGTGGCCAATATGATTGCAATCATAAAGATCGATATTGTCGCTCATCATCATCATCATCATTTATCAGGTGATGATGATGATAATCGATCACATCAATGTTCATTATTTATCCATCCAAATAGTTTAGTTTTTTAGGAAAAGATGTTTTCAACAAAAAAACATCGGTCAGTATTAAATGATTGCTTAAATGATGATCATTTTCTTAAACATTATTAAATTCAATTTGTCGACAATTATTTATTGAAGACGAAGAGAAATGAAAAATCAAATGAAAATATTGAATTGAATATTAGAAAAAATGAGGAAAAACTAATTTTTCATCATATTTAATGAAGCAAATAGCAAGGATGATTGCTCATTATAACTTTGGGATAAAATGTTTTACATCTGATCAATCTGATTTTATTGTTGACTTTTATGGAAAATATCTTTGGATATCCCAAGTCGGCAATTTTTTAGTATCTAATGACATCATTAAAATTATTGGCCAACGCCAATTGCCTTCTTTCCCAACAGAAAAATAAATAAACTAGGGCCACAAAATTAGTGACCAAATTGATAAATTGCTATAATGGACAGGTTTTTTTGTTTTATTTCACATGATTGTGTGGACAGTGGCCAACATTTCGGAAATACCCGGACATTCAACCATGGATCGATGCCTTGAAGCAAACGAATTTTCAAGCTCATTTTCAATGCAATATTTTTCCTTCTTTACTTTACCTTAAGCCAACTAACACTGTCATTTTAATGTTGATATAGATAATTCGTGAAAATATTTTCCAACTCAATTGAAACGATACTTTTGTTCTTTCGGTGTCATGTGACATTGTCGTAAAGGTTCAGGTCAATTTCAATTATTAAATCCATTTCAAGAAACTTTTTTTAGTTGGAAAAATTGTTGTTGGCCAGCAGCAGCATTAGCAATCAGATGCAAATTGACATCATCATTGTTGCAAAGTGATTTATATTATACAATCATTTTGCAGCAATCATTTCCCATTCATAAAATATCGGCTTAAATCGACAAAGATTAAGTCCTGTATAAGCACACATTTAAGACTGAAACAAATTCATCAGATCATTTTCGATTAACCTGGTATCGATTTGAAATGTTTTTGTTTTGTTCCTACTATATTGTTATTTAACACATTTCCAAATCATCATTATTATTTCAAATATGACCGATTCATTTGGATAAAATTGGCCATCATCCTATTATATAACGAATCAATTTATTCAACAACAACATTATATTCACTTTTAGCTGGTGACCATCGCATTATCAATAATGATTATCATCATCACCAAAAAAAAAGAAACACTATGCATTATATGAATAGGATCCAAGAAAATTGAAAAAATTACATTGAAATTAACTTTTTTCAAAATTAAAAAAAATGAATGAAATGGAGGAAAGAAATTTTGTTCAATAAATCACTATGTTTCTTAATGGCCAAGCAATCACAGTAGATTATACTTATTATGCAAATATATTATACTTGAATTATCCATATTCATTCATTCAATTATTACAGCATGATACATTATATATAAAGTCATTTTCATCATCATCATCAATTCAATTGAATGATTGTGTCTAACAAAAAAGTTGTACCAGACAATTATTATTATGTGCATATTGCATATGGCTGCTGGCATCAAACAGTAACCATACATTTTTTTGTTTTTTTCTTTTCATCATCTGGTCAATCGCTTGTCATCATCATTATTATCGTCATCATCATTTGAATGTTATTATAAAAGAAAAATATGACAATTTAATAAAATAATATCTTCCTGACATATGTCAAAAATTGAAAAAAAACATCAACCAATAAGACACGCAATGACACGTGTTTATTTTTTCTTTTGAATGAGACAGAACTGAAAACAACAGAAGACATCTATTGGCCCTGAGGTGTACAGATTATTTATTATAAATATGATTATTTTAATTATCTTTATCGTCAAGTGAGTGATGATGATGATTCTCCACAAAATCTATGACAAACAAAAAAGCCGGTTATCAATTTTGATTTGAAAATATTTAATTTGGTCGTCTAAATAAAATTTACATTGTTTGATTTAGGGTGAGAGTGATTCAAAAAGGCTTCCAAGTGGTGGCGGTATACACGGTAAGTGTTTGCGTTATGTTGTGAAAATGAATCTGAATTAGTGTTCGGAAAAAGTCTGGTAGTGTGTTGGTTATCATTAAGGAAATCATCATTATCATCATCAATCGTCAATCGTAATCATCATGTTTAAAATCATTTTTTTTGGATTCGATCGACATTTATTTCCAGCCATCAGACCAGGTTGTTTGAACAACGAAATGAGCAAAGAAGAAAAATCATCTATCTTTATCTTGCCTGTTCTCTCTTTCATTATATTTTCATTTACTCATTCGGTGTTTTTAATTTTTGAATTTATGATTAGTTTGAAAATATGAAATTTTCTTCAAAACGAAAAATTTCCTAATATGCATGTGTGTTGTTACTGTGGCTTAAATAAACTTTCTTTCCCTTTCCTCAGATATGCCCGTTTGTGATTGTCACCAATTTGATTTATCATTTCAATTTATAAATGATAACTAAAAAAGAATGGTTGACATTTAGGCGGCGGTTAGATAGATAGATCGATGGTTATGGTCCTAAGGGCATCTCTCCTGTATGTTTCTTTCCTCGTTGCTTGTGTGAAGTGTCCAAATCTGGATTGTGGATTTGAAAAATTGCTGAATCATTTATCCGGTTATAAGCGAGAAAAAGATCGTTATCACGACGGATTGATGAAAAAAAGTGAAATTCATCTTTTACGGATGAAATTCGGAAAAAGAAATCCGATTGGAAAAATACCATTGAAAAAATAAAGGATAATGGAGATAACTGGATATCGGACAAATTTATCTTTTTTCATGTTGTTCGAAATAATTAGCAGAAATGACCAAACACAAATAAAAACTTTCCTCCCTTTTTTTGATAAACACCTACCGTCATATATATTATTTTAGGTTGCAGCTGCAGTTTTTTTGCTTGCTGTTTTCAACCAGGTTTTATTGGATTTTGTTTTTTTGGTGATTTTTGTTTGAATCATAACATTTTTCTTGTTCTCTTTATCAATTTGTTTCTCTCTCCGTTTTATTGTTCCTACCCGCTTGCATTCATATACAATGTATATGAAGTTAATTTAAATTAATTTTTTTTTTGATTTTGATTTTGAAAAAGAAAAGAAAAGAGCAATGTACATTGATGATTGGTGATGAAGAAAAGTATGGCCATTGCAGCAACAGCGACGAAAATTTTTTTCTACTGTTGTTGTCTTCGGATGTTCGGAAAGACTGTTCCAAAAACAAGAAGAAATCTCTCACTCTCTCTCTATCTCTCTCTATGTTTATCAGTTTTGATTTTGGCGCCTTCTTTTTTGTTGTTCATTTGGATCACCCAAATAGTCTAGTTTTGTTCTGAAATTAACAACAAGCAATTTTTGAAAAAAAGAAAAGTAAATGCAATCTCTTTAGAAATGGATTGGATGTTTTGGGGAGGAGGGGAGGGGGAAATGGAAAAAAGTTGGTTAAATGAAGGTAAGTGAAAGATACAACAGCAAGTATCTATCCATTTAAAAACATTCAGATATGCAAGGAAGGAAAAAAGATTCATTCATTCATTTTTGCTACTGATCAATACATGTGCAATGCATAAAAGTCAGCAACATTAGTTGTCTATTTCTTCAGTCTAGTCTTCGATAATGATGATGATGATGTGTTGTGTGTGTGTTATTCCCATATGTTAACCGGCAACATTTCAAACAACATTTATGGATGATGTTTGCCATTTAAAGATAAACTTTTCAAATAATAAACCATCCGATTCCTATTGAATTTTGTGAATAGCGAAGAAGATTCAGAATACAAAGAATCCATGTTGGTTGTGTTTGGTGTGTGTTTGTTTTGTTTCATGAATTGATTGTTTGTTTTTGGGTGAAAAGAAAAATTAGTAGTGATTTCATAAGCAAAAGTATTCGTTTCTTTCGACAACAACAAAAAAACTAAACAGAAAGAATGGTGAAAAGAACAGATAATTGGAACCATATAAATATGGTTGGCATAATGATTGTGATTGAAATAATATTTTATTGTTCAACATTTATACAAGCAGCTTTATATCCAGCCGCATCAAACATTATAGAATCGGGCGATACGTTTTCCTATTTATCAGGTGCTAATCCTTATGAATTACATAATGTGGATCCATCATCAACATATCATGAATCATTCTTTGCTGTTGCACCCGGTGTACTGCCCGAATTGGATAATGGTTATGATGGATTTGATTATCGTAATGAATATTCGCCAAAATTATCGACAATTTTTAAAAAATATTTAAAGCGTCCATCAATCATCCCGCATGAAGATAATTGCCATTTGCATGATGATCAATATGGCCATTATGGTCATCAATATGATATTGATATTGGCGAACATGAAATGAGTTATGCTTTTCAAAAAGCCGGCTTAAAAATCGAAGAATATGAACGTGCTAATCAAGAATATTTGGCAAGTGATCCACGTGGTTTAAATTTTAGTGCCTATGTTTATGTTGCATCATTACATTCCAAATATAATGAATTTGTCACCAAAGTTTTAAAAAATAAGTAAGTTTTTTTCAAGTTTTTAATTTCTAAGCAAAAAACAAACAAATTCAAATATCCAATTAACCAAAAACCCAAAATAAATCAATGTCCAGATAATCAATTTTCGAATGATAGTTAACCTAGTTTGTTATTAATTGATTACTAAGTTTTTCGTTATGGTTTTTGTTTTTGTTTTTTTTGCACCAGAAAAATACTAAACTTTAAAACAAAATTATAATTGCTAAACAAAATATTCTTTAGTTATTTTGACCTGACAACAAAAGTGGAAATAGATTCATTGTTTTTGGTGAATTTTAATTTTTCTGACCTTTTATCTGATTTTTGTTCAATTTATCTCAATGTTAGACATTTGAAAGCGGGAGAAAAAAGTCACTATCTTCATTTGAAATCACAAGTGATCACAATCGAAACAATCAACCAACAACAGTTAGAACAAACGAACGAGAAAATATGCAAAAAAGGGTTGGATCTTTTTTTGTTTTGTTTTTTTGATTTTAATTTTCGTTCGCATCGATAATGATATCCATAAGTGGGCTTGTTTGTTTTTGTCTGTTTGTTTGATGATGATCATATCGGGTTGTGTGTTTGGGTCCATTTCATTGAAAATGTGACCAAAACAAAAACCGAAGGAAAATGAAAATTTTTTCTTTATGCTTGTCGATAAATGAAGTGAAGGGAGTCAACCTAACCTATTATATGAAATTCAGTTTTTTTCGCCAGTTCATGTTTTTTGTTGTTGTTGTGTACAACATATCATGATGATCATTATTATTATTGGTGGTGATGATGATGCTCAAGTTATTCAAGTCATTATAATCAAAAAAAATTTCAAGCAAAAAACATGACTTATTACAAACATATCCAATTGATAATGGACAAAATCTTTAATCATCATTATCATCTTATAACATCATCATCATCATCTATTTCAGTCAGATGGCATGGGTTATGAAGTTAAAATCAAAAAAAGTTATTTATACAACCAACAAAATATATACAGATATTACATGTAGTAATAATTCATAGTCGATTTTCAATTTTGTTGATTTCAATTTCCTCTCGCCTAAAGAAATGATGATGATGATCGTCGGCGTTGTTGTTGGTTGGATGTTTACCATTTTGTTTTGTTTTTTCTCTTTCTTCCAATTTGATAATAATCAAAGACAAAATTAAACGAAGAAGACACACTTTGGAAATGTTCATTTTTGAATTTCTTAATTTTTTTCTTGTTTTCGATCAATTTATCGATCCAAAAAAATTGATGATCGTGATTGTTTGAGTGCGATTGATTCATGATGTTGATCGGGGTTGTTGTTTTTTTCATGAAAATTGTCCACCACCACCTGATCAAATTATTTAATGTTAATTTTTTTGCTTTCTTGCTTCGAGGCAAGAAGTAAAGATGTTTTTTTGGTCCGGATATAAATTGAGTAGTAATATGATAATCTCGGTAGCTAAAAGAAAAACATGTTTATTTCAACTGAAACGAAATCAAAAAAAAAACAAAATCATTGAATTGGACTCTTCGATAAAAGCATCCGCATCTCCCTTTTTGATCTAGCTTTCCCTTTTTTTGCTATTTAAATAAACCGATAAGTGATTTCCGAATTAGAAAAAATGATTAGAAATGAGAAGAAAACTTGAAAAACATGAACCATTTTTGTTTTTTTTTGTGATGAATGAAACATTTCCGAAAATACAAAAATACCATGGATTGCAATGAGTAAATGTAACATGTTTTGAATACACTTTAAATATAGTTAACATCGATTATAAGATGCGGTGTGTTCACCATCCTCTATCGATGACAAATGACAAATATGGTTGTGGCCTCAATTTCTTTTCTGACTACATCAATCGATGATTGATAATATTAGTAGATATCAGATATGAAAATGACCTTGTTTTTAGATAAATAATGAACAAAATTAATTATTTTTTCAAAGGAAATGTTTATCGCGTAAGATGATAGCCACTCAATTGCCCAAAGTTAAAATACCACCGAATCCATGGAAAAAGCAAAAATATTGTGAAATGCAATCACCAGTTTCGCTGACAACCTATTGTCATCCGGATGAACCATACAGACGCATCGATGGCAAATGTAATAATCTGATGAATACTAATCTTGGTTCATCGTTTCATTGTTATCGACGATTATTACCGCCGGATTATGCTGACGGTATTCATCGAATTCGTTTGGGTGTCGACAATCGTCCATTACCATCACCTCGTTTGATTACGCAGTTATTGATGCCCGATTTAGATCTGAACGATCCATCACTATCGGCATTACATTTATCATGGGGACAAGTTGTGGCTCACGATACTTATCGTACTATACAGAATTTAGGATTGGCCATCGATTGTTGTCGATTAGTAAATCCGGCTACAAAAGCACAGGCTGCCAGTTCATATAAACCAAGTCATGTATTTTTGGATCCAGCTGGCAATAAAGTGCCCATACCACATCCGGAATGTTTACCAATCACTAATTTCATTCCCAACAAAGCGACTGAAATGTTTAATCAAATTTGCTTGAATACTGTTCGATCGATTGCTTGTAATACTTGTAGTCTGGGACCTAGAAATCAAATGAATGCTGCCACTCAATTATTAGATCTTTCTCATGTTTATGGCGGTAATCTCATCAACAATTCGGAATCATTACGAACCTATATTGGCGGACAATTGTTGACAGATTTTGCCAAGAATGGTGAAATCAGAATGGTGCCAATGAGCGGTAAACATGACACAGATACATTGGATCTGACACCATGTAATCCACCATTGAATAAACCCAACATTGGTTGCTTCCGTACTGGTGATGGTATGCGAGGTAATCAAAATCCATTTATTGCATCGTTACAGACTTTGATCATTAAACGCCATAATCATCATGCTGCTGGACTTCATTTGGTCAATAGCCATTGGTATGATGAACAACTATTCCAAGAGGCCAGGTATATAATTAATAAGCCATATAATCAGACAGACATTTTTCAACATAATTTCATTCATTTTCTCCCATAGACGTTTGACGATTGCCGAAATAGTTAAAATCCATTTTGATGAATACATTCCGCTAGTGTTGGGCAAACGATTAATGAAATATTTTCATTTGAATGTTCGAAGCCATGGTTATACTAAATACAATCCTCATATTGATCCATCTAGTATTCAGGAATCCGGTACTAGTGCTATGCGTTTTGGACATAGTCAAACACGATCACTTTATAAAGTAATCTACGATAATCATGTTCACAAAACAACCATTATGCTCAAGGATCGTTTTTTCAACATGGTTGAAGTTTGGAAAGGACAAGTAGGTTATTTGATTACAAACTACAAATTAATGTTAATGTTTTTATTGTTCAATGCTAGATTACACCGATTGTTCGTGGCTTATTAGCCGAATCGGCCAAAAACATTGATCCTTACGGCGTTATTGATATTAAGGATTTTCTATTTTTCAATCCAAGACGACCATCTATTGTCGATTTGTTTTCGATTAATGTGAATCGTGGTCGTGATCATGGCATACCAGCCTATGTTTATCTATTGCAATATTGCACTGGTTATGAAGTTCATTCGTGGAAAGATTTGGAAAAGTTTATGCCTGCCAAAAAAGTAAAATCATTAAGAAAGGTTTATAGACATTATCGTGATATTGATCCATTTGTTGGCGGATCGATGGAGTATCATCTGAAAGGATCACGTGTCGGTCCGACATTTGGTTGTTTAATAGGCATTCAATTTTATCATTGGAAATATGGTGATCGTTTCTATTTTGAACATGGTGGTGAAGTAGGATCGTTCACACCTGGTAAGTAAAAGTCATCAATATTGCTCATTGATATCATCTAATGGTCAATTTATTACAGCTCAATTACAGGAAATTCGTAAAAAAGCTACATTGGCCAACTTGATTTGTAAAACAACTCATATGGATACTATTCAAGTAAGCCCATTCGAAGAAATATCCACACATAATCCGAAAATACCGTGTGCATCACAACCCGATTTTAATTACGAATTATGGCGTGATGGTTATCTGCATAAATGAAAACATCTATAACCAATTCATTTACCAATGATTAGCACACATCAATCGAATCGAAACCCAATCGGATAAATTTATCCATCCATATTGACCTCTCTCTCTCTCTTATTATTGAATGCACTGATACTCTTAATCTTTGTACAGCCATATTAAACTACATAACATAAAATAATAATCATAATGATGCACAGAGACTTGTAAACAATTTCTGTTTCTGTTTTTTTAGTCTAAAAATAATGTCAGGCACATTGACCATTAACTGGAATCGATCATTCCATCATATATCACACATATACTTAGCATTGCCACCGTTTTTTTCATGTTAATAAACAGAAAAGTCGATTTTTTCTGTTTGTTATCTTTATTTTGAGATGTTCAAGTTTGTTATTTTTTCAATGATTAACCAATACACATACACAACCCATTTGATTTTTTGCCAATTTTTTTTAAAGTTTTTATTTTTGCTTTGAAAACATTGATTTGAATTGAAATCAATGTTCAGAGTGAATAATGAAATAATGACAAAATGAAAAATGTTGTTAGACTTGTTGTTTAATGTTTTGTGCAAGGAATGCGGTCAATTGTTGTCGAAACAATTGCGAATCGATTGTTTTACAGGATGCGATTGCATTTTTCACATGATATTCAACATAGACTCGTTTGTGTAATTGTATCATCATTTCACGGTAGAATTGACTATCACGTTTCATATCATATGATGTTATCAATACAAATTTAATGCTGGTAGCAAATTCATAGAATACCAGATTATAATCCGATGTTTGATAGAAGAAAAAATTATTATCCATCTGTAATGAAGGCGATATACGTTGTACGAATGATTTCAACGAATATAGGAATCCATACAGAATTTCTGTCGATTTATCCGATGGTGTTAATGAAAACAAACAATTACCGGAGCCATCAAATATGTGAAAATTGTAGATAGCCATCTTGATGATAGGAATCGAATATCGAAGCGTCGTCCAATATCAAAACAATCAAAACAAATACTCTATATCAACCCCTCAATTGAATCGGACGTAGAAATAGCCTATTGAACAATATGCAATTTGAATTGAACAAAAAACTTTTATTTTTGATTTTTACAATCGATATTATATATGGAATCAAATCAATTTTGATAGTCAAGTGTGAATAGTGAATGAGTGGATAAATTGTACACGATGCACTGCAAAGGAAAACTGTCTCTATAGCCTGGCTCATCAGTAACTGGTATCACAAACATTTATGATAAATGAAAGTAAGAGGGTGTGTGTATGATGTGAATAAGATTGAATAAATGATGCTTATATTAGATACGGTCCAGAGTTTGCATTAGAGCGATTTCATCCAAAGCATTTTGTATTAGTTCGAGTAACGATTCGCCACGTCTGATGACAGCCTCTAGTTCCACTATGCATCGTGCATTATCGTTTTCCAGTTGCCTAATAGATCCGGAATGTATGTCAGATGAACCGGATTCTGTTTCAAACGTATTGGGTAATGATTCAATTAACGTATCAATATCTTTGGCTGTTCGGGCAATCAGACGGGCAAATAGTTGGCTATTTTCATGTTCATTCGATGATGTTAGGCTGTTTGTTTTGGTGGATAATATTTCTTTGCCAGGTGGATGATGTGGAGATGAACCGATTATGGTGGATGTTGATCCATTCAGGCATGACTTAGATGGTGTGCTTGATGTGGCCGATACTTTGTGATCCTTGGTGGAACTAGCATCGAGCAAGGATGAATTGATATTGTCATCACTATTGGCTGGATTGTTGGTCGCATTACAGGATTGTGATGATTGTTGATTTTGTTTGTTGATGCTATTCAATTCAGCAAATGGTGATTCTTTCGCATACATCTGTAATACGCCAATACTGTTGCAAAAATTTTCCGCTTGAAGATTCACAGCATCTTGTAGCTGAGTCAAGCGATCGGCAGCCATTCTTTGCCAATTTTGCATTTATTTCTGATCGATCGCCGAGTGTATGTTGTTAACAATTCAAAGAAACAATCAACAAGACAAAATTACAAAAAGATAGCCAAATTTCAGGATAGAAGAATATAGCAATATAGCAATATGGCCAAAAACAAAATCAATATCAACAAAACAGACAACACAACAGTCTCACTGCAGTGTGTGTGTTGGCAAACCATCGTGATGAGCTATTCATATAGAACGAATGACATTCGAAATCAATTCGGATGATATAATTTGAATCAATAATCATTAAGGGCACTGTACAACATTCATCAATTATACAAAATTCTACATTATTATCAATTACAACAACAAAATGCTCATTGACCGAGCTTTTATAATAATTGTTAAGCAGTTTGATTGGCCGCATCATTATTATTCGCATCCTTATTGTGACCGATTTTTCTGTTACGTTTGATACCAGTCGAACGAAATTCGGCTCGTTGTTTGAGGTAGATTTCTTTGCATTCATTTACGAATTGTTTATCGTTAAACCAATGATTCAAACATTGTTGATAACGATTATTTTCCTCACGACATTTGAACACCATTGCCATAGCGTTGTCCAAACAACATTGATCGAATGCTGAAGAACATGTTAGCAAAGTAAAAAGTTAGACAAATCACAATCAAACAACCATTGAAAAACAGACCTTTCTTTTCTTCCGAACATTTGTAAATTTTCGAACGTTCACGCACCAATTTCGGTATCATTACTTCGATTTCAACTTTTCTAAGCGTTCGATCGGATGGATCACCTACAATATCGAATCAAAAGAAAAAAATCGAAAAACAACATCCACTCAAAACATTCCAAACTCACCTAAACCCATCGGACCATGTGTTAATTTAGCTGAAACAACATTTTTGGTAGCCGATCCATTATCACTGTGAGATTGATCACCATCATCATGGATATTTCCATTCATCTTATCAGCATTCATGTTCTGCATATGGTATTTGTTTGAAAACATTCAATTATGCAACTAAATTGTAATTGAATGTAGTGTTATTGTTGTATTGTTGTTTGAGCCAGAAAAATAAATTCGAAAACATGTGATATTCATGAATATGATTTTGTAAATTTCATAACCAGATGGCGTACAATGCTACATGTTTAAATACATGAATTCCAAGCAATTGATCATGTCCGGTTCTATAGAAAAATATTTAAAATATGATTGATTGATTCAATGAAAAAATCCCGATAACAACAGTTGAAAGATGTTGGCTGTTTCGAATGATGTTTGATTCCCGCTTTATTTTTTTCTGGTGGAAAAATTCTGCATGTAGGAATTGAAGTTTAGTTTCTGTTGTTGTTAATTAAATTAAAATATCCGAAAAGTGTTTGGACAATAAAGATCAGATATAGTAATTTCGGATGGCTATGTTTGGCCAAACATCAAGTTCATAATCTCTCTGGAGAGAGAGAAAAAAAAATTTTGTCCACTTTAGTTCGAAAAAAAAGTTGAGAAGCCTCAAGGATTTTGGAATAACGCAAGCGCGTGTAGATCATAATGAAGATGGTCGGATCATCATCATCATTATTCATCCGAACAATCGTCAACAAGCCAACCAACCAACAATGTTTGATATATCCATTTGATAATGAATATAGTGAATTGGGTGGAGTTTCAAACAAAACAAGAAAATTATTTTTTCGGTTCAGCGTCAACCATTTTCATTGATATTTTCATTTTTTAATTTCCTAAGAATCCAGATAGCCAAGTGATTTTTTTCGTTGTTCACTTTATCCACCAACTGCTATTAGTTTTTTTTGGTTGAAAATATATCTCGAGCTTGAGATGTGTCACATGAAAAAAGCCTGTGTGTGTGTGTGACTGGCTGTCTAGTCAAATTAGAATCACTTCGGTTCACTTTTGGGTTCAGTTCAGCATTTCTCTCTGTTTGGCCGGATCAAATTATACTTGACAGAAGAATTTGTGAACCAAAAAACGATTCATTGATTTGTGCGATGCGATGATGTTCACCAGCCATCCAACAACATTAATATCGACCGACAATTATAATTATCCATGAAAATAAAACAACAACAATGTTCTTTGACCAACGTCAGCATTTTCAAAAAACGACGACAATCAAGATAGCATTGTTGTGTTTGGGCATCATCATTACTAAGACAAATCGGCCAAGCCAAATAAGAATAGGAAAAAGAAGAAGGAGAAACAAAACGTCGTTTTAAATCTTTGAATCATCAATTACTCGGGCCAGCGAAAACAGTGGAAAAAGAATCTCAAGAATCCTTTTGTAGGTGGTACGAAATCGAAATCAAGTTGCGATTGTTTTTTGTTTGGTTTCTGGATAGAAAGGGAAAATAACATTAAATGGTCAACACAACCGAATGAAAACTGACCAGCAGAAATAATTTTTGATCATTCATGTGTAGGGGTGGATGATATGCTGGCATGATTTTTCTATTGCAAACAATATCAATGTCATCAATATATAAACAGCCAGGCAAAGCGAATGCAAGGAATATAGTTTTTCCATTAGATTTATTCATGCAAGGCTCTCACTCTGTGTGCATTCACAATTTCAATCAACTGACTAGCTGAATGACTGTGCTGCTCTGCTTTACTAATCGATTAATTTAATTTAATTTAATTTTCAAGATTCATTCACTTGTTTAGAAGCTAAACTTTTTTGGTTGCAATTTAATCAAGGAGAAAAATTATAACCATCAAACACACACAATCAATGAATTTGTAATGGTATTGTCGGGCTAACCAGAGAGAGAAAATGGTAAAGAAAAACCACTGCCTGGAAATTTGTTAAATTTTTTTTTGACAATTTTTTTCAAATTGGCTACCATAAGCATCGATTTGATGATGATTGTTGATATGCAAATCCTTTGGGCTAAATTATTGTCGATTGAATTCTTTGGTTAGCAAAAAAAGATGTTTTTTCAATTTGATTGATTTGATCATTGATTCAATGTGTGTGCAGTTTCCATGATGACGATGAAAACAATGTTCTATTCAATGTAGCCAAATATGAACTTGGAAATTTAGTTTGTTTTTTTCACAAATTCTTTCCACAGAAGATTGCAATTTGCATAATTCAGTTTCTTTACTTGAAATTTTGTTTTGTTTTTTTGGATTTCGGATTTCGAATACAAAATAGGAATCGAAAGAAAAAAAGAGTTGCTGTATGATGAAAAGCCTGAGGATGTTCATCAGATCATAAAAAGGAAAAGAAAGGGAATAAGCAAGCTTAACTCGTTAGTTAACGAAAGGGTAAAAAGCGAAATAAGAAAGGGGAAATTTTGGATAGAAAAGAGAATTGACAATTCTTTTAATTCAAACATTCATTACGGATGATTACACTACAGTGATGATGCTGATGTTGAAAACTTTGGTCTATATTCATCATTATAGGGAGAGAGAAAGGATTTGAATATTAAATTAGACAAACATGATATAGATGATATAGATGTGATTTTTGGTTGATGATGATCATCACTGGCATGATCATTATCATCATCATCATTAGATGATGTGATTTAGTGTGCGGCAGCATTGATTTGTTGAGTAATATTTCATCATAATTTGTTTTTGGTTTGGAATTATTGTTATTGAGATGAGAAAGCACCATTATTGTGAAATGATAATGACATGATTTAATCATCATATTCATCGATCATCATTAACATTATCATTATTGTTGAATAACTTAGATAAATAATTCATTTCAATTTCAAAACAAAAAAATTTTATTCATTTTTCAATTGAATTATTGTTTGTATTGAGAATTTTTATCAATTTTTTCAAAATATTTAAACATTGTATCAGATTTGTTTGTTTGACAAAAATGAAAAATGATAAATACAATGCCCATGTGGATGTGGATGTGTGTGTGTTAGTGACTAAAAAAGAAAAAGACATAATTCAATGTCCGTTCATATGTCTAACATTGAAAAGGAAAAATTGTAATAAATGTTCATTATTTTTATATAAATCAACAATGAACAATCAAGTCAAGAAATTCTACAAAAAAGAAATATTTTATATTTTGGGGATTTTGGTGATGGTGGATAAATGCAATCAACTATGTAATACGCCCAACCGAACAAAGAACAAAAATGAGTGATGAACTATGTCATCAGATTGGACAGCAAACAACATCACATATGTATTCTTTCTCTTTTCTCTTTTTCTTCTTTTTTTGCTTGGTTTGCTATCAGTTTTTTTCTATTTCTTTTTCTCCGTCTCAAACAAACCGTTCGTTTGGTCAGGGAAAAAAATTAATCTCTGAGAATAAAGTGGAAAAAAAATGAAGGAGGAAGATGAAAACACAAACAACAAATACCAGATGATGCTGATGATGAAATTCTTTATTTTCGAAAAGGAAAGAAATGCTGAACACCAGATGTTGATGATTGTGGCTGCTATATGGTCTGTAGTATAAAATAACTTGTAAAATGTTCTATCTGAATTAATCTTCTAATAGATGTAATCATCATTTCCCAACTAAAATATTTGCGTCGGTAGATTAGATGTATGATGCTTTGTAGTAGAATCCAATGGATTTAGATACGACGTTTCACCGTGATGATGATGATGGTGATGATGGTGATGATGTAAATGTCCGGCTGCGGCAGCCGCAGCAGCCGCTGCAGCAGCTGCTGCTGCTGAACTATTTTGACCATTACATCCACTTGTTACAACCGAAGGCGTTGGTGGGGGTGGTGGTCCAGCACCGGCTAAAGGAAGAAAACCTGCTGCTGCCGCTGTACCAAGACAAGGCGATGTGATCGATGGTTGATGATGGTGATGAGAATTGGCAGCCGCCATGGATGCCATGATCAGTTTGGAACTTAGAGCGCTTGCATCTTCAGACATTTGATGAGCAGATACATTGATTGATAAAGGAGAATCGCCACCTCCGTTAGTATGATGTGGATGTACCATATTTGGTGATTGAATCATCGATTGGTGTTGATGTGGATGATGATGATGAGGGTGATGAAGATGATGGGAATGAGGATGATGACCATGCGAATGTGAATGATGGGAATGATTACCGGTTCCAGTGAGAAGTGCGGCAGCAGCGGCTGCAGCAGCTGTCGGAGACGAATGATCATGATGATGATGCGATGCTGACATTGATCCATGGTGATTGGACATCCATTTGGCCATTGTTGGAGACAACATGCCAGGCGACATGGCTTGATGATTAAGTTGGTTAAGTTGGTGATGATTGTGATGGTGATTATGATGAAGATGAGGATTTTTGAGCATAGAACCATTGTCGCCGTTGTTAAGCATCATATTCGAAGTCGATGTCGGTGTATTCGACGACATTAGATGATTATTATTGGCTGAAGGCATCATCAATGTCAGCACAGATTTTGCTATTCAACAAAATTACCAACAAAATTTGAAACAACAGGCCAGATAAAGAAAAGCACTACGTGTTTATTTTGTTTGATTAATTATCAACACACAGCACTGGTTACTTAAATCCATAATCTATGTCTGAGTCTAGAAAATTCATTTTATTCTTAATATAGAGTTGACTGCCTGAATTGTTTGTTGCATAAATAGAACAATGCAATCATTAGAATTGCTTCATTGGGGAGCTTATCACCATCAGTCATTTAGAATATACTATCATAATGATGATGATGTGGTTTGCTGGTGTATCATCATTCTGCATATTTTATGATCACACCGAACTATTTTTTGTTACTTATCATTGCCAATATTTTGCTTGGTATCTGGCTCGTGCCAAGGCCAATCTATCTATCATTAATTACATCCTCAAAAAATGAATCACCAACACTAAAGCCAGACAAATCTTGCCATAACATTGAGATTTGTTTTCTGTTCAATTAATTAACTAATTGCTTGATGCTGAATAACAACAAAACGTTAGTCCAAATACTACTACTACTCTCAATATGCATATGATAAATATAAACTAAAATGAAACGCATAACTTTCATCAAAGGTGAACTATCGACTACACACACTACATTTATTTAAAAAAACAAGAAAATATTGAACCATGATAAATGGGCGCCATTAACAATTGAGCACGTTCCCTACAATTATTGTTTACTTACAATCATTACGTTGACCATCACCGTCACCACCACCACCACCTCCAACACTATTATCGCCGGTCATTGTTAATGAAATTGAGCCATTCGATGAAAGAGAAGAATCGGATGTTGATGATGAAGAATCATTACTTTGTTGATCGATTGGCGATTGTGACGATGTGTGTACAACAATATTGTTGTTATTGTTTTCCCCATTAGTACCATTACTGTCGGCAATAATTGATCGATCACCATTGGTCATTGTTACCGAAGACATTGCTTCATTATCATTTGTCATTGAAGACGATGATGATGATGCGGATGATGAAGATGCCGATGTAGTTGTGCCTACAATATCTTCACCGCCACATTTCTGTTGTTGTTGCAAATGTTTAGCTTTTGCTACGGCAACTTCAATTCTTCGTCGAAATTCATTGGAAAAAGGAGACATCTGGTCAACCATTGACGATGTAATGCTTACATCATCGGTTCCCATCATACTTGAATCATTTTGTTGTTGTCGCTGTTGTTGTTGTTGATTAACATTCAATTCTGGACTTGAAGATGAAACGGCTACTGCTGTCATAGGTGACACAGGTGATACTGGATTTTGAGTGGTTGTTGATATGGAATCAGCAGCCACGATAGAATTGTTATTATTACCATTACTGTTGTTATTTCCTTTTGCTTGCGATCCATTACTACTATTGTTGTTGGTCATCGTACTTGATGCTACTGTATGTATTGACCAATCCAAATGCAAATCAAACAAACAAACGAAAAAACAAATTGATTATCATTGATTCGAACCTACGAATTTGGTTTTTTTACTTTCTGAAATGTTAATCAACTTACCATTATTATTGTTATTATTATTATTGTTGTTGTTGTTGGATCCATTATTTGATGAACATTTTTGCACACCACGCTCTTGTTTACGAAATTTTGCACGACGATTTTGGAACCATACCTAGAGATTTAGATGAGATACAAATATCATGTATGGATGATTATGTGATCGAATCAAATTTGTTATTTGACTATTAAACAAATAAACAAATTGAATTGTTAAATCAATTTGTTATTCTGTGCAAATAACAAACACAAGTCGGAAACCCGATAAATCCAGATGAAAATGACAATGTGGAAACTTGCCATCTTCTCGAATCAATAAAAGGCGTCAAAATTATCGCCTAAAAAATTTCATTTTCAATGATGACTATTGGCCGCAAGCTATGTTCGTTAGAATTCTCTATTTCACACTTGCTTTCAACCCCAATGAAAACAGTGTGTTAACCTACCAAAACGAGCTATTGAAACACGTATAGATAGACGTGACCCAATCTTTCCAGCAAAATCGACCACCATCAGGGTGATGATGGCTATGTTTGCTGTTTTTCTATTTGATTTCATTTTTCCATCTAATTTGATAACAAGATTAAACTTTTTTTCATTCTACGTTACGTGCCTGATTATGGTTTTGCTAGGCAGAATAGTTTTATTGACGACGATGAAGATACAAAACGTCATGAAAATATACAATTTTGTTTTGTTTACATTTTCAATTTATCACATCTGATGCTTCACATCTTCATATTTTGTTTGTTGGCACCCCACGATTCTTGTCGATTTGTCTTTTTTTCGAAAAAATGGCTCGTGGCTCCTTGTGTTGAAAACTTATTTCTCAATTTTTTTTCCAATTCAAACAGACAAAAAAACCCGACGACAAAACGACAAGTGAGTCCAGGTGTCAAGGTTTTTTTGTTGTATTAAGTGCAAACAAACTATTTCAACACAACCCGGTCTTGTTAGTTGAGAACGGAAAAGAAAAGAAACAAAAAACTTCTAAATCGGTGACATTTACATTTCAATCAATCATTCATTTATCGTGAAATGAACATTCGTTGTTTTTTGCTTGTTATTGCGAATAAACTCCGGAATACAATAGGCCATTCAAATATATATAGGGTGAATGAAAATAAACATAAATGGGTGACACTTGCGACAAACTTGCTTTGCTTTTCAAAAAAATTCTATGATTGTTTCGAGTGTGACATAAACAAATAATACACAATACCAGATGATGATGACGATGATGACGATGATGATGATGATGATGATAATGAATCCAATTGACAATTGTCATTGTCGTACACTGATTTTGGATGGACAAACTTTTAAGAAAATTAAACTCGATAAATGAATGAATCATTCAATATAAGAGTGAATGACAATGTCCAATTTCTCGATCATCATCATTGGCACCAATCATAATGGCTAAATCCATTTAGCATTGTTGTTGTTGTTTTCGGCAAACAAAAATCTAACAAGTTTAGAAAATTTTCATTTGTTATTTAGGATGTTTATAGTTGTGGCCTTTTTCTTTTGTTGTTGTTGTTGATCGGTAGTTGTTGTATGGTTGTAAATTATTCAAATCCATTAGTTTGATTAAAAGTCAACTGGCAATTGTTTGTTTGTTTGTTTGTGTGATGAAAATTGCATCCAAACAAACAAACATCAAACATCAACAAGCAAAGCCAGAAAACGCATAAGTGGCTATAATATTGCGATTAACGGACAATCAGGATATTCAATTTTCTTGCATTCCCTTTTGCTTTCCCCTTCTGGAATGGAGACAAATGGCCATGCCAAATAGCATCTACCATTATCACCACCATCATCATCATCATGATCGAATCGTGATGCATTTTCTCATTGTTCTTTTTTCTGTTTGCTGTGTCTGGCAAAACAATTTTGTTTTTTTCTGGTCCCTTTGTATAATTGTTCTTTTTTGCCAAGTTTAGTTTGATTCATCATCAAGTGGAGACGAAAAAAATGATGATAATTTGACTTTGCCACGTGTCATAATACTAGCGAAATGAACATATAGTGTTTTGTAGCAAACAAAATTCGTCGTCAAAATAATCAAGAAGACATCATCATCATCTTGACCATGGTTTTGTATCGTCCTAGAAAACTATCATATCATTCGGTAGCTACTACTACTGCTGCTAAAGTTGAAGGGAATTTGTTTCCCGAAAAAAACCAACGTAAATAGTTGTTAAAGATACAACAAAATGATTGTGTTGTGTATTGACAATTACTACAACGCCGACAATTATCGCCGCGTGATCGGCGGTCCCATTCATATATTTCATTCTCTTTTTCTTACTCATAATAAATTCAATGATGTTTTGTTTGTTTGTGTTTATGTGCGCGCGTGCTAAGGTACAGCAATTCGTGATGGAAGGCACAGTTGACACGTGTTGTTATCAATTGATGGCTAAATGTCAAGAGTATACTTGTGACACGTGTTTTGATTCCTGTATACAACATGCCTTGGCATCACAGAATGTTGGACATGTTTTTTTGTTTCAATTACATTCGAATGTCTCTGGAGAAATTTTCAATTTTCAAAATAGCACCTGCCCTATTCTCAGTTGGTTTGTTCAGTTCACATGGAAAAGAAAATTCAACAACAAAGCAAAAGCAGGCTGAGAAATCGATGGGAACCGTTTTTCTCATTTTTCACATTTTGCTCTCTTTCTCTCTTTCACCCAAAATAATCGATTTTGACACTTACCTGAACACGAGCTTCAGTCAGATCGGTTCTTAATGCAATTTCTTCACGTGTGTAGATATCTGGATAATGAGTTTCTTGGAATGCCTTTTCCAATTCTTTCAGCTGCGATGAACTAAATGTTGTTCGAATTCTTCTTTGTTTACGTTTTTCAGTTATATTCGTCACATCATTGGCCATTACTTTATAAGGAAAATCTATTTTTTACAACCAAAAAGAAGTTATCGAGTTAAGTTTGGATCAAAAAGAGATAGAGAACAAAATGATGGAAATTACTTTGCAATCCGAGTCCGGTTTGAAACATCGGTGTTTGAATATGATCGTTATGATGTGTTCGATGACCACCACCACTAGCAACACCGGTGGCAATATGATGATGATGATGATTAGCAGCAGCTGCAGCCGCTGCCACCGACATACGACTTGATATTGACATTGATGTTGGAGCATTAGCTACTGATTGGCCAGTTATTGTATTGGTTCGCATACTGGACATACCATTCATTGGATTTGGTGGTGCCATCACCGAATTCGTGTAACGACCATAACCAACTGATGGTAATTGAGAACACGATGAACTAAGATCCGGATAACCGCCTGAACACGTTAATTGGCAATTGACCGAACCAATCGTGTCCATTGGTGATGATAATGGACAAGTGGTTGGATCAAAACTTTGATTCAAATATGAATAATGATCCATTGTTGTTTTCTCACAAGATTATATTTCACACACTCACTATGATTTGTAAATAATAAGGATATTATTTTTTTTATAAAAAAATGATCATTTCCCGCGAACCGATGTCATAAAACATTAAACACATCTAATGAGGAAAGAATGAATTTTTGGTTTTTTTGATGAAAATAAATATGTGACATTCATTAATGTCACGCTATTAGACGATGATAGTAATGAAAATCAATCAAACGGTGCAAATGATGAGATGAAATTTTTCATTGAACATTTTTCACTATCAATGGTCATTGCCATAATCACCAGATAAAATTGGCAAAACTAATTCAAACTGTTCAATGAATTGCGTGAATCAATATATTTTTTGCTAATCAAATTCAAAATTTTTTCGTTCGATTTCGGTTCGAACGAAATTTGCTGAACTGAACTGAAATAAAACTTTTATAATGGTTTTGAAACGTTTTTCCGATCTGGTTGTGGATTCTTGTTTCTCGGTTTCTTTTCTTGTTTGGTTATCAGAGTTGGTGAATATTGCAAACAACAATAGAGAATATACAGAGGCGACGACGAATCAGAATGGAAAGTAAAGAATGGAAATATCATAAATAAATGATTTCTCTTCTTTCAGCCAATCAATGACAACAAGAATAATTCCATATAGTGTCTATAATTGAAATATAACGATTCGGGTAGGCTGGGCTTTATCGTTTCTGTTCAGCACTGAATCCACTATTTTTAGCATTTTCCAACTTTATATTCTATCTAACTTTGCGAATGACTGTGTTTTGTTGCAAAAAGTTTTTTCTCTGTTTTGGAACCGAGATCATCATGATAATGTGAATGAGTGCGCGCGTCGCCAAAAACCAATGAGAATTTAATTTAATTAAAAAACGGACCAACCAACAATAACAACAACAAAACATTGGCTATTTCGAAATCAAACACAAAAACAAAACAAAAAACGATAAAATACGCCAAAAAGACAAATGAAAAACAAACAAACACAAAAATTATTTCCATTGGCGCCATTATATTGGATTTTAGGATTGCATTGATGCTTGATTTGTATGAAATGCAAGTGTGACACAAACCTAATAATAATATCAATCGAAAATGAATGAGAATTTTTCTCGCTAATTGTCCACATTGCCAAATTCTCGTGAGATAATCATGGTGGAAAAAGGATGGAAAATGGATAATGATGTTTTGAATTTGGTATAAAGAAAAAACCACAATGCTATCGATTCTGTCTGTATGAATTATTCATTTGTGTTTTGTTCTGTCCAATTCTATCACCTGTGCTTTTCTTTAAACCAATTCTGTGTTTTGAATCAAAGATTTATGTTTGAGATGGATGGATGGATGAATGAACGCAGTCATTGGACTTACTATCTCTGGTGATTATTATCTTGATTATCATCGATTATTCAACTTTCGCTACTTTCTGACATGACCGAATAGATGATATTCAACAAACAAAAACTCCAATTGACAATAAACAGAAACATTATTGTTACTGGTTCTGGTGATAAACTGAATTTGATCTAGAATTCACTTGTTTCTGAGATCAAGTGTGCCATTATTGTTATCATTTTGATTATGATTCTGCCAGTCTAAGCAATAAACACAGCAGCAGAAATAATAGTAATAGAACAATGATCGATCAACCAAATGTTATATTCAAAAGCAAAAAATTCAATCAATTTTAAGCAAGTGAATCACACAATATGTACAGCCATTTAGTTTCACTTGTCCATCCAACAAATAAAATGCAACCAGGCTAAAATGAGCCATTATGTTGAAAGTGTGTGTGGATGCAAATGCTCATATTGAAAACCATATTGAAGACCATATTGGCAAACCATTGGCTCTACGTTGCATTGCAAACAAAAAACAAACCCATTTCATTGCATATTTTCGCAATACATACTTATTGCTTTTATTTTTCGGATAACTAACCGCTAAACGAACCGAAAGAATGATGAACATTTATTAAAGGAACAAAACAGTCATCATCAATGAATATATTTCGTGTTGGTAGCAAAAAAACCAGAAAAGATATAGCCATTTAATGTAAGATTAATATTGTGCTAACTACAGTGGGTGAGTGAAAAAAAAACTTACGGTAAAAACTCAGTGCCTGTTTCATTCATTCATTCAACATTTTTCACAATTCCATTCATTTAGATCCGCGATGATCGCTAGTGCAAACATTAAACAACAACCAAATCGATAATACACAATGGTTTTTTTGGTATACCGAAACAGTGAAAAAAAAGAAAAATCTACAAAAACCAGACCCGATTGTCTTTATTCATTCACTCATTCATTTTTGATCGGAAAAAAACAACGATGTGTATATCCATTGTTGAATTGAATTGATTGCCGAATATAAAAGAACTTGAACACCCGAAATATCCAAAAATGAATGAATGAAAAAAGGTCCCGAGAGTCTTTGACAACGACAACAACAACAACCCGAAAAAAAATTGGAAAACTACTAAACACTAAATCAAACTTATCCACCATTATGCTTGAATGTGTGTGTTGTTTATATACGAGCAAAGCGTTTTTTCTCTTGATCGTATGTACTAGCCAATTGTTAAATGTTTTAATACGGATGATGATTATTTGATTCACAAACATTACACTATTGGGCAGAGAGAAAGAAATTGAATGAATTTTTTTTTCTTTTTTTTGCGTTTTGTTTGATTGAGTTGTCATCTGTGGCCTATTATTATTGGCATAGAAAAACATGGATCCAACAAACTAAAACTAAAATCATCTGATCCATTCAATGTGTTCATTCATTTCATTTTGATTTTGAATTTTTTTCAAGTTTCAAAAGACCGCCAAAGAAGAACAGTGTTTGTTTCATTTTAGTTATTGATTTGCAACAAAACAAAAACAATTTCAATTTATTTTTTGAATGACAGGTTTTCACATTTTGATATAAAGTAATAATTATTATCTGTAAATACAACAAAAGTGATTAATAAAATATATATTCAATACAATGCTCTTTTCATTTGTTTCCATTATTTCATTCAGATAATACAGGTGATTGACAATTTATCCATAGTGTCCATCATGATCAAGACCTTAGGATGATAATCTGATTAGCTGATGCCGAATAAACCCCCATCCAAAATATTGAATCAGCATCATCAAAGAAAAGAAACCAGGCACACTAAATGCCAACTTTGAAATAATCAAATAGCGAAAACTAAAAAGAAAAAAAGAAAATTTGCCGAAATCAGCAATGATGATGATGATGAAAAATATAGAGAAAGTGCATATGGTTGATGAAAACATCAAAATATCGTTCACTGTCTATTGGTTTTGGTTTGTTTGTTTGTCGGATTTTTTTGTTGTTTCAATTCAATTTATTGAACGTACATTGTAAAATGGGTAACCATCAAGTGATGGTCAAAAGTGTGCATTGAGGTTGAATTTGATAAATTTTATTTTCTAATTTTCTAATGTGATAATCAGGCAAAAACCAAACATTTTGTTACAAAAAAAGAATAAAATTATTACGCACGCGTATCACAAGCATCGGAAACGTTTTTCATCGTGGTTTTTGTTTTAATGTTCATGGTCAATTAGATCGAAAATTTGAATCCGGTAATTCAAGCAAACGGGCCATATCAAATTATAGTCTGCCAACGTGAATAAACGAATTAGATTCCGGTTTTTGTTGGTTTTGGTTTTGATTGTTGATAAATCTGAGCCAATTTAATTCGATTCAATTGTCGTTGCTTTGCTTGCATCACAGCATCAGAACCGAACAAAAAAAAGGAAAAAGGAAAAAATCAAGCGGACAAACAGAAAAATTTAAATTCAAACCAATGTGATGACCGACGATGATGAACAACAATGATGATGATTATTGCTGCTACTGCTGGTGGCATGTTGTGGATTGAATTTGATAAATTTTCTTTGAACATCACCATATAGACATTGATTGAAATTGTCATCAATGTAATCGACAAATTGGTCATTATTGGATGTTGTTGTTGTACATAGAACATGTTGGGGCTTATTGTTCGCTATCATTATGTCATTGGTTTGTTGGTCATACAAATAATCAAATGGATCATGGTGATCATCCAATGGTACATTTGGCAAGGAATATTGCTTGAAAGGTGTTATCATCATTTCGGATTGAAGTGTATCATTATTATCGACATTATTATGGTGATTGGTTATTGAAAATCGCTTCATAATGATATGTTCATTAATATGATTATTGTGTTTAAGTTGTTGGATTCTTACGATAGTGCGAACGAGAAACCCCATCAATACGGATAATAATAAAAATATTAAGGCAAATATCCAATTACCATTAGTGACTAAGAGTTTGAACAATTTTGCTATGATTGAGGGCAAATTCCAGGAAATACTAGCATTATCGTTATTGAAACTAGAATTGGCATCATTCATTGATGACGTATCATTCAAATCACTAATATGGTTCAATATAAGAGGTATTAATGAATTGGATGATGATGATTTGGTTGATGTGGCATATGTTTGTGCAATTTTGGGCAGATGTGTATAGAATATATAAGGCTTACTGGATCCTTGTTGATTGAATGTTAAAACATTGAGTTTGATTCGATATTGATTGAGATGGGAGATATTGGCCATAAGCCATGTTATTGGATAATCGAATATACATGAATCGATACCATTCGATTGTTCAATATTGTCGGTCATATTCCAGATAAGCATATGATCGACTGGTCGATAAATTTCCAGCCGACAATAAGTATCGATACCGCCATTGAAATGATATTGGCACTTAATCTTTGGTGATGATTGTTCATCATATTCATCAATGGAATATCTTTCATCCAACATATCCACTATACATTTGTGAATGGGTTCCGGTGGACCAAACGGTATAACCGTATAGACACACGGTTCTTTTGTTTTACCGATCGAATTCTGAGCTACGCAGGACAATTGGCCATAATCATAACGATCGCGCGGCATAAACATCAAAACACTTTGGCTACCTCGAGTGGTATATTTATGATGATTGACAGACATTGCTGTGCCATTATGGTACCAATTGAAATATACCAACGATGGTCGGGCATCCACTTCACAAACAATAGTGATCGTTTCATTTATTGCAACAGCATACGTTTCTGTACGGCGACATCTAGGAGCATCTATTTGAAAGAAATTGATAAAATGAACCATTTCTCCCCAAAACTACTTACATGAAACTTGTATTGATAAATCATTACTTCGATTGCGTCCTAAGGAATTTTCTGCCAAACAATAATAATTACCATCATGGTGTTGAGGTCGAAGACAATCTATTGCCAGTTGATTATCATCCAAAACGGTGAATCCTATGAAATAAATTATCAATGTCATCAAACAATTTACCAAGAGAAGAGCGGATACACACGATCATCAGATTGTTGAATAGGGGTTGCATTATAAAACCATATAGCCGGTTTGTTTGGAAATGGATTAGCACGAATAGCACACCGAAAACGAACGGAAGAATTTTCTGTCAGCATATTTTGCGATTGAATCAACGAGAGTTGTATGATTGGCATATCTAAGCAATGATTAGTCAATTAAAAGTATAAAGTATTAAACTAAGTATAAAGTGTCATGAATCACACATCCAACTTATATACAATGTACAATGATACGTTGTTCATCTTGGATAGCTTGACCTTGATCCAATCTTATATTGATAGCCTGGCAGACAATTTCACTACCATCGTCATTTTCGTCGGGCACGAACCGCATTATACTACGGGAAAAATTCTGATCGACATCGTAATAATCTCTGCAAAATTAGCATCTCTATTAATTATCACACAAACAACAATGCATAGGATGCATAGATGATGACCTACTCGATACGAGAAAGAACACGTTGTCCATGCCGATACCAATGTAGTTGGGCAACTGGTCGTGATCCGTGTGATCGACAAAGAATTTGTGCATTTTGTCCTTTATGAAAAGCTTCTTTTGAACTTAATACGATTTCCACATTGATTGGTGGCACTGTTTGATGAGTGTGATGATCACTGTTGTCTAGAAAATATGTCTTGACAAAATTACTTACGTATAAGATCGATGTTAACCACACTTGATACCGGCTCGATCATATCGTTGTTGGTGGCTACACAACGAAACTGGCGTAAAAGATCATTGCGCATCAATGGTTGGATCAATTTTAATCGATTTCTTGCTCGCACTAATGCTTTGTACAGATAGTTAAAGGTGTTGGTTGAATTGGCTTCAAACGATGCAGCAGCATTGCGTTTGGAATGGGAATCAAAGACAAGCTCGTAAGAATCATCAATCAATGTAGAGCCTTCGTACCAAAGCACTTGTGGTAAGGGTTTCGCTATTTGATTGTTGGAGCCATCAGTCATTGTTGCTGTTGTGGTTGTCGAACTTACCTTGTTTAGTTTCACAGATTAGCTCAATGTATTGTCCTTCGAGATAAGGTCCGGCAAGGCCACCGTCGGTGATAAAAGTATCGTTATGGTCACGAATGAACACTTTGGTTGGAGGAACTAACCGGGTTGGTCAATGCAATGATCGGCGTAGATATCACAGCCAACTTACTGATCAGTTCCAGATGAATGAACCGATTTGTAGTGCGAGAATGACGATAGTCCACTCTACATCGGTAGATACCTTCGTCCTCGGCTTGAACGCGTTCGATGAGCAGAAAGGCCACTTGCTGTTGATAATCGATTCGATAGCTGGCCCGTTCCAAAAACGAATCAGTTACGCCATTACTACGGTATACAGCTTCGCTTGGCGAAGATCCATTCGACAAAGTATCCATGACATAATCCAATTTCGATGATGGTTTCAAAGCAACACCAGAGATGGCAGTCCGTTCATTGGTGGTCATCACAGTGGATGGAGAAGATGGCACCATCTGCCGTTGACTGCCGTAATGATGACGAGTGTCAATTATTAAGAATGGCGCTTTAGCATTCAGTCCTTTGAACCAGAATATCAGCATAACAACATCGGTCATCGATTTCGATTGATGATGAGGATGGTGATGGTTATGATGATTATGTTGAAAAGGTGCTGCCTTGTTGATAGCCATAAGAGGATCGGGTGAATCTTGCGCTCGTAATGAACATGCAAGTTCGATTTGTTTGTAAAGAAGCACTTGTTTTCTATCGATTTTGATTCGATTATAATCATATCGACAATCCACAAATATGAAACGATTACGTTCAAAAATATTGATCATTAGCAATAATGATATGGTCATTGTAATTATCATCGTCATTACTTTATTCTGGCCACAAACCAAGTACATCATTACATTTCCACACACCACAAATTCACTTTTCTGATTTCTCTCTCTCTCTTTATATGTCAATCAACATTTCAAACAATGTTGTCTATCAAATGAATCGTGGCTTCCAAACCGGGATCCTGAACTGAAAATGATGAAGAAATGAAACAAAATGTTTGCTCGTCATTTTTTGGTTTCCATCAAAAACCAGCAAGCATTGTGAAATTGGAAAATGGATGCGCGCGGTCAAAATACGCTTGAATCTTGATGGAACTGGCGTCGTCGTAATAGTGATGGTTGTTATAGCCATCAAGCAATCGACTGTAATAGTGAGATAGCTTAGATGAATGCCAATCTAACAGTACATCAACCACACTGACGTCTGACAATTCAATTGATATGGATATGTGTTCATTATACATTGTTATTGTGGTTGTTTGATGATGATCACCATTTTTCAAAGCAATCTATTTTGATGAAGCCATTTTTATTCAACATATCGACCCATTTCATCACCATCGATTCATACGGAAAACGGAATGAATTGAACTTGAATTGTTTATTGGTCCCTCAGAAAGAGAAAATTGATTATGCATTTCCATATGACAATGTTAAGATTTGTTGTTAGTGATTGCAATGCCAACCAACAAATCAGCATGCAAATTTTTTCCTTGTTGGAAGAATCGGAATAATTTGCAATAAATGAATGAATGGTAAAACTAAAGAAAATCAAAGGCCAAATATTGTTTCCGTTGTTGTTGTGAACGGCAATACCCGTGAGAAAAGAATCGCACTTTCAAATCATTTAACCGACCAAACACTAGAATTGTTATGAGCAATTTTCCTTTTGCTTAGCAACATTACAAAGTCAAGCATACCTTTTGATCTAGAATTCTTAAAAAGAAATGCAATTCTTTTTCCTTTCCCAAAAAATGATGATGATCACTGGCCTCGATTCTTTTATTTAGTTCTGAAAAAATGAAAAGATGGAATCAATTGATCACTTGGGATCATTTATTTAACGATTTCATTTTGTTTCCAACAAATGTTTTTCACACACACAAAAAACTGGTTACCAATCAGTTAGTTATAACAACAACAGTAATAATAAATTGGTTTTCAGGATTATTATTTTTTTTCACGTGATTCATTCATTTGTTGGTTGGTTATTTGTACAAATCAGGAAAATAAAAAAATGTGTGTCCGGTACATTCTGGAATTGATTGCACAAATTGATTTAGTTTTCTCCTTTTTTGCCAAAGTTAATCATTCAATTATAGATTGTTTTCCAGCAAAATGATGACCTTTGGATCAATTTGTTTTCTGACAAAGGTTGATTATATGGCTGACCACACATCAAAACAAAGATTATTAGATTGATGATAATTGATGTAATCACATATCATAGAAACATGCAATCATAATCATAACAATAATAATGCTATCACAATCACAAACAAAGCAACAACAAAATTTTTGTTAAATGACCAGGAAAATTGCTCAATTCTACTAACCAAAAAAAGAAAATATGTTATTTCGTGAAAAACAACAAAACATTATGGCTTTAATTAAGCATCTGTGTGTGTGTGTTTATTGTTAATGTCTACAAATCATCATCATATGAACTGCTTGTGCTGTTTTAGTTTCCGTTGGCCATTTATTTATTTTTCTTTTTTCTTTTCAATCCAAAAAGCATTGGCGGCTATTTGAACAACAACAGTCGCCGACAAAATAATAATTTTCACAATCAAATTGACCAAAAACATAAACTGATTTTGACTTTTTTGAACATTCAGACATCTATCATCATCATTGTTCTAACCCGAATTGATCATAGCAAAGCAAAAAAGTTTTTTTCCATCATGGGATGCGGAATTTGTTTGCCATGAAAATTGTTTTTGCACATTGTGGAAACCCTTTTTTTATTCATTCGATTCCTTTCTCTTTTCACATCAACCAGAACAAGACAGGAAAAAAGTTTGACAATAGGTGTTGTAGTTGTTTTCATTCAAGGCAATGATGATAATGATTATCATTACCATATTTGGTTTGTATGTTCGTTTCGGTTAAACACCCGAACCAAATGATGATTTGCATATGATGATTGTACAACGTTATTGTTGTTGTTGTTTGGGCTTTACTTTGAATTTCTTATGATTTTCCGCATCATCATCATCATCATCATGTAAGAATGTTATCTTTTTCCCAACAACAACAAACATAGCCTGAGGACAATTGATTCATCATCTCATTATCTCCATGCAGACTATGGGATAAATGTAATGATTTATTTTGAGATTTTTTTGTTACGGTTTTTGGTTTTGTTATCTTGTTCCGTTTCCGTAGAGTCCATAGTCAAAACAAAAATGACTGGATTGAATTGAATTGAATGCCAAAACAACAATGAAAAGAACATTTTGATTTGTTACAGATTTTTTTTCATTACTGTTGTAAAAATGAACAACGTTGACAAAAAATTCTATTGTAATAACAACAACATTCACAAATGTCACAACAGCCAAAACAACAATTTTTACATTGCCATCATCTAACGATTTTCGATTCCGGGTGTGTGTGTTACATTTTAAAATTTCCAAAAGATTGAAATTGGTCAACATTTTATTCATTTATATTTTCAATAGGAAAAAATGAAATTATTTTAAAATTCATTCAGCATGGTTTTTTGTTGATGGATTCTTGCATTCATCACACACACACAGAGAGAGATAATCAAACATTTGAACACTTGACACATTCTGTTGTTAATGATCATTCTGACATTTTATTGCTGATAGTGGTGAGGATGAAAAAAATTCTATTAAAAAAAATCTGTTGTTGTTGTTGTGTGTTCCAGATCAATGAAGGAACACGATTTTTGTTTTGTTTGCTACATTGAAATTCCATAAAATCTAAGAAATAGAATGTTAAATATTCACTGTAAGAAAATGTGGATAAGAGAAAAATAGTATATCTTTACTTTGATATTGTTGTTGCCGCTTGATTGATGTCGGGAATGATTCGATATCAGTATCGATCATACACACACACACATACACCATGCATACCGACCAACATCAATAACATTTTTCACAAATATATTTAACAGTATACTGTTACTCTTTCTGCTTCAAATGCTTTTTTTGCTTTGTTTCGGGCTGACAAGCGATTAAATTCTTTTTGAAACAAAATTAATAAAACAAAATCCGATTTGCAAACTTGTTTCAAAATTTTGTTTTTTTTGTAAAATTCTTTCTGTGGCAATCCTTTTTGGTTTGGTTTTGTTTTGGGGGCTTGATGGGAAAAAAAGTTTTTGAAATACAATTCACTTTTCACCTTAGATATTTTCACTTTTTGATGTTTGCTTCATCCATCCATAAGATCAATTTATTGTTTTTTTATTGAAAAAATATTTTGGCAATTTGTTCATTGATATTTTTACGTTCTGGTTACTCTACCACTACCCATGACAATTTTTTCGTTTTTGGCCATTGAATTATTATGAATGAAATGAAATTATAATCACTTTTGGGATATTTTTTCCAACAACCCAATCAACTGATAGAGAGAGAGAGAGAGTGAGAAAAATATGATATTTATTAGCTCGAATAACAACATTTACTATAGTAACGACAACGGAGTAAGCAAAAAAGGAAAAAATCACTACTACTATGGTAGGGAAAAAGTTAAACTGTATAAAATGAATTTGATGAAAAATGATCCGAAATAGCAATGATGATGGAATTCTTCTTTTTATTTTGGTTCATTCACCATTCTATTATATAACTTTTTTGGTTTTCGCAATCTTATGTTCGGAAGAATGGTGTGTGTTATAGTGATATGTTAGAATGATAATGACTTCTTTCTTTTTCTTTACAAACCATTTTGTTCAGTGTTTCTTTTTCCATTTCGGCTTGAATAGGTCGTATTTGTTTCTCTCGCTTTGTTGTTGCTTTTTAGATTTGGACAGAGCAAAAGAAAATATCAAGAAGCAAGTGCAAAGAAAATCGAAAAAAGCCATGAACGATGAAACGTTTAGATCAAATTCTTATAGTAAGTTTATATGAAGGTTTCACTTTTTTAAACAAAACAGAAATTTGATGAATCAATTTTCATTTTAATTATCACAAATTAATTAAAAACCAAAACCGCTATCCGTCTAGATTTTCTTTGTTCGATTCGGTCAGGTTGATCATGATGATAGATTAATAAAAAAGAAAACAAAGGATCTAAAATTATCTTTATTTTGAATGAATTTCATCTTGGTTATTTTTCCAGAACAAAAAAGGCAAGTAAAAACTTTGGTTTAGAAAATAATCATTTTGCATGTTTGTCGGGTGTGAAAAATGCTTGGTTAATTATCAATTGGATTGACGACATGATTATTATTATTGATGGTGTTAGATTTGTTTTGCATTAAATATTTTCCATAACATTGTTCTCGGTCGATTAATCGTTTCTGTATTGAACCAATGCGTAAGCTCAATGGATTAAGCAAACATAATACAGTCAATATGGCACAAACTGAATTAACCTATGATTGTTGTAAAATGAATAAATAAACTAATGCATTAATCATTGCAAATATTTACCTGAAATGCACCCAAATGAGATTTGGATTCAAAATAGAATAATGGAAATTGCAATAGTGAAAAGAATGCACCAATAGTGCACATAATGCCATTCAATCGATTAAAATGATTAGCTGGGTACCGAACTCTCAGATAGGCTGATGCTACAGCAATGAATAATGCACGTAATATGGTTATAAATGCTATCGATAGATAAACGGCTATTGACGTGTCGAAAAATCTACAAATCACCGCTCCAAGCAAAGTCAGTGTGGTGAAGAGAACGGGACCGAAGCCGGATTGTGCCTGCATCAAACGACGACCATTGGCATCTTGAATGTGTTGAGCTCGACGAACGATTCGATCGATTACATCGCCAGCGATTGGTGCTATAATCAATGCACTCACCTGAACCAGACCGAATGTCTGTGTGAATTGGCCTTTTTCTCGATCATCATCAGTAACACGATCCAACCATAAGGCCATCGATCCAGAATAAAGAACCATATAGGTATTAATCCACGAAAACCATAGTTGATGCATCAAAAAAGAAATAGATATCAACGATACACGAAGTGGCAGTTCATTTTCATTGTCGGCAGTTTTGACTGGTTTGAATATTCGTTTAAGTAGGTTCGGTTTACGAACAGTTTCTTTTTCTCGCTGAAATTGGCTAAAATTAACAATTATCGGTGTTTTAGTTGTGTTGTTGGCATTGTTATCGGGTTGTTGTAGCAATAATTTATTCGATTCTTGTTCATTCATTTGATCGGTAATGGTTTTGAGCATTTTATTATTGATGAAGTGTGGCTTGCCTTTATTCATTTCCAGATCGAGTGCTTCAATTTTGGCACAATATTCATCATATCTTTTGAGCAATGTTTTCTCTCTTGTACGAACCGATAGTCGTGGCAAACAGAATGTATTCAACGGTAATAAGGTGATACTTGTTAGAAACAATGTGAATGTTGCCCAAAAATAACTCAACGACCAATTATCATAACCATATTTGATCAATACAAATATGACCGGTGATGCACTGAATGCACCGCTAAATAATGTTATTATTGTTGAACGCTTCAATGGGAAAAAATCGGCAATCTGCATATTAGCTATACGCAATGGAACACCAACCAAACCTAATATAATGATGGCCGGTATGATACGTATGGAAGTATCTTTCATAAAATTATTACTCAATATAAGTTTGTTTGCAGCTAAACATCCATTTTAAATACCTGAATCGGTAATCGATAGCAAAAAACATCCCACACTAATAAGCAGGCTATTGAACAAAATTCATGTTGATTAATTATTGTTTGAAAAACACAACAAAAACCTACTTGAGAGCTATTCGTACAAAACGTAATCCTTTCGATTCAAGTAAAAAACCCCATGCAAATGATGTAAAACCCATGGAGAATATACCGATGGTAAATGCCATATTTAGAATATTCTCCTGTGGAATGCAATTATCACGCCCATAATGTTGCAACTGCTGCTGTGTTATTACAATGTGTTTGTGCGTTACCAAGGGAAAAATGAAAAAGTGCAAAATAAAGATAAAAAATGAGATGAATTCATTAGATATATGTTGGTTTTATCGTGTTTGATTCTCCTTGGTAGTTCATTTGCATAATTATAAAATGTTATCATCACTATATCTTTTTCTGCCAATTTTAATCAATTTTCATTCGAAACAAATACGCTGAATTTGCATTATCGTGACAATGGTCAATGTGAGAATGGACAAGCTTATCAGATTGTGTAATATAATTTTTGTTAGCATCAACAGCAACAACGGAAAAAATTTATTTTCCTGCAAGCTTGTCGCCTGGCAAGAAAATTGTTGTTTCCCGTTGGCACGATGTGAATGTCAGATTGGTATCTTGTTGGCTTTATTTGCCTATCTTTTCCTTCAGCACAATTTTCATTCGAATTGGGATGCTAAAGTGTCGCATATCTTTGAGGTGGTCGAATCATGGAGGAAAAAGGGAAATATCAAGGCAAACAATGGACAAACATGGTGACAGGATCCTTTTTCATATAATAATTGCCATCAATTTCGAATCAATGACAGCTATAGCAAATGACACACTCATTGTTAATGATGTTTTAATCAAATCAATGGTGTTTGCCTTCCATATGGATCCATTCATGTATCGTTTTTCATTTCCATTGTTCACTTCATTTGATCCTCATTCAATATTGTTGTTGATGGTAAACTTGAAAAGATTCAAACAAATCATATTTACCTTGTCATTTGGATTGATTGTGGTTTGATTAATATCAAAATCATCAATATCATCATCATCAACGCTATAGTTATTGTTTGGACAAAGATAAGAATAAATTTGCTCATTCTTAAGCATATAAAATAATGCTGGCCACCCGAATATCAAACCGGAAAAAATGATAGATTCAATGATTGTCGATATGAGAATAAAATAACGCATTGATCGTGGTGTGATTGCTTTCTGGTACTCATCATTATTAGTGGCTGTTTTGGGACATGATTCCAATTGCACATTATCTTTCTCATCGCCATCATATGGGGAAACATGCAAATTATTTGCTAATGTCATTGTTGTTGAGTGGACTCCAATTGACCAACAACGCTAAATTGAGGAAAGATGATCAATGATAGTTGTTGGATGAGATTCAATTGACAAATATTTCACCAATTTGTTTTCATTACGTGATTGTCATTTCAATCAACCAACAAAAATTCAGAAGTTAAAATCAACAAAATTATCTGCTAATTGATCAGACACGCACGAACATGAAGAGATTGTTGATTGAATCAAATATCAAAGCAAAACAAATGTCACCTTTTTCAGTTTTACATTTATATTTATAGAAATTAAGAAGCAAAAATGTCTGGCCCTTATAACAAACAAACAAAATTGTATCACAAATTTTGATGATGGCAATGGAAAGATCGTGAAAAAAGAGAGACGAATCTTTTAAGAATTTCAAATCAAATGCAGAGAAATTGTTGTGCTGCATACATGTGTAAATGCATGAGGCTTAACAGCAACAAAAATGTAATCAATGAAAAAGGCAAATTAACAGAAAAAGATTTTTCTTCTCCTTAATGATTATGATTATTTGTTTTTTGCTTGATTATTGCTTTTTTGTTAATCAAAAAAAAAAAATTATCAATTTTTGGGAAACAAAAACAAATTGATTACTGGCTGATGATCTTGATGATTGGGAAAATGTGGAGAAGAAGAAAAATCTAAGCCAATGCTATTCAAATATTGAATCTAATAAATTTGAATGACTGTTAGTCAATTCAAAAACGGAAAAACGTATCGATAATTTTATCATTCATTTTCATTTTATGTTTGATAATCTTTTCTTTCTCTCTCTGCCTTTTTATGCTTGCACGTGCAAATTGTTGATGATGATGGGGCGATTGGCTGGCAGTTGAAAAAACCAGAAAAAATATCTATCATTGAACAGCGAAAAAAGCAAGAAATATGGTTATTATTTTGTTTTTACTCAAACATGCTTTACATGATGTTTTTTTTCGTTGTTATAAATGTAGATGACGTATTTTGTGTTTTGGCATCCTGGTTGAATGAGAGAATGAGAAAGAGCGATAGAAAAACCATGTCAAACATGAAAGACATTAAACAAAACAAAACAAATGTGTTGGTGCGTGATCATGAAACAAGATAAGCTTCGATGATATTCCAGATTGACTGACTACCAAGATTCTACCTGGCCAAAAATGATATTTTTTCAGTTTCGGTTTTGGCTTTATTTCAATAATAGTCGTTTTTGCTGTGACATTTGTTTTCGGCGAATGCAATGACAAAAAACAAACAAATGAAAGTGTGGAAATAAGTCATCATTATGATTGACATTTAATGATGATGAGTTATTTCACCACAGAATTTTCCCTTCAATTCTAAAATTACATGAGCATATCAAACATTTTAGTTGCTGTCATTGACAATGACGATTTAGCTTTTGCCATTGCCTTCGCAACAGCAACAAAATCACAAACATGATTGTTTTTGTCAAATAAAATCTAATTATTTAATTAGATAACAATTGAAAAATGGCACACTCTACTTATTCGTCCTTTTCTTTTCTTGATTTTCCATTTCAGAATTGATAAAAATTTTGTTTGTAAATCCAAAATGATGATGATCAAATGGAAATGAAAAATAATGAACGTTACGTTTTTTCTAATTGAAAAAAGTAATGATGACAAATGACAATTGGAGTAATAGCAGTAATAGACAATGTTACTTCAATCACAAACAGTTCATTTGACTTAGTTTTTGATTTCGTTGCGACCTGAATTGAAATGAACTTGAATTATTATCCACTTGTAATGAATGGTTTAGTTTATAGTTTAGTTTTGTTCATTTCGGTTGTCATCATTATCACATCAACTAAATGCCTAATCATATCGCTTTCAATAAACAATCAATCGATCGATTGATGACATTAAGCAGAAAAAATTGAATTAAAAATAAACAAATCTTGCATTTATCATTATTGATGATTCGCAAGAAAATGAATTCGATCGGAAAAACGTACAACGAGGAAATCATTGGCAAGGACAAAACGATGATAACTAACAATTTCTATGAATGTTTGCCTCATTTCTAATATTTTCTAGATTCGAAGCAAATATCTTCGTTGAGCTGCTAATCTCATGCCAAAATATATTTTGACAAGTGAATGAGTTGTGCGCATTCATGATTGCGCACGCTTTTCTTCTAAGCCATCACTCACTCAGTTAGGTTAGGTTAGGTTGATGACTATCACTATGACCAAGACTTATGGTTCAGTTAGGTTAGGTTGATGATTTAGGCTATAACTGTCACTGAACAAAAAACGAGAAAACTAATTGAAAATAAAATATTGAAATTCTATAAATATAGATTGAATTAATCTTGAAAGAATTTTGCAAACTGCAAAACAAGAAAAATGCAAATTGAAAAAATTGGCAATCATTTTGCCTAACACAGTTGATTGATTTTATTTCATTAACTTTGATTGAAATATTTTTAGGACACTTGACACATCGATCCAAACCATGATATTCTTTTTGGCCAATGAGCTTCCTTGTTTCTTGTTGTTCAAATTCAATATCACCATTTTGTGACCTATATTGATTGTCAATGCTGCCGGTGAAATTGTTCAAGTTTAATTTTTCAAACAACGAAAATCATATGGATCATTTTTCTTTGTTTTGCAAATCTATCATCATCATTTTCGTGTGGGTTTTTTCGTTTGTATCAGCCCACTTGCCACAACAATCAATAATGGTGATGATTGAAATTGAAAAAATTTTTCTCAAAAAACTTTATCGGCCAAACGCTGTGTTTGTTTGAATGTCGGGCATGCCGATCGACCGACCGATTCAATCAACCGTGAGATCAATGAGAAAAGATGATATTCAATCAAATAAAACAGAAAGTTTCAACAATGACCGAATTGAACTGAACTGACTTGACTAACCATTATCACCATTCATTCATGTCATAGGCAAGATTTTGTTTCATTTTTAATTTTATCAGAATCAAATTGTTTTCTTTTTGTTGTTGAAAATCTCAATATTTCTCAATGTTTGTGATGGGATATTTTAGGTTTTTTTCTTCTTTTCTCGTTCGTTCTTTCAGACAATGTTTTTGTCTGATTATTTTCTTTTCTGTTTTTTCACCTGTTTGAGAAAATGAATGCACATCGGGTATGAAAGAGAAATCTTTTTATTCATTTCGTCGTCGTTCTGAGCGAAATCGACCAAACGAAACGATTTGAAAATTATCATTTCATATCATTTGAATCATTTTGAATCGATTGTCGTTGTTGTTCAATCAATGTATCTGGACTTGAAAATATCGAAAATGTTTTGTCGATCTTTGTTGGTGACATCAGTGGTCATTATGATCATGATCAACGTTATTTTCAACATGGTGGACGCAACTAATAAAAATATTGGCCGTAATAACCATCGTCATAATAAAAGATCAATGGCCATTCATAAAAATAATATTATTAAAAATGAATCCAGTTTTTGGCATAAACCATCACTTCTTTCCTCGGCACAATCATTCCAGATGCCCATACATGAAAATCCATCCACCGATGTCTATCGATCAAATCAGAATCAGAATCGTAATCAACAGAAAAATATGATCATCACCACCACCACTACACATCAAGGATGGAAACCATCAAATCTAAAGAATTTGTTGATTGATAAACAACACAATCAACAACCGACCATCAATAAAAATGAAGGCATGATTCCAATTATCAAGGCAAATCATTTATTCACTACGCCAATTCTACAACGATCCAACAAAATTGTCAATCATTCCACTTCAACCAATGCCCATTTCACTAACAATCATCACCATCATCCTCATCGGGCCATGTCTGGTCGATCATCAACATCATTAGCATCATTAGCATCATTGAGGAAATCGCCCAGCATTGAGAATCTGAATTTTGTTGAAAATAATCGCCATTTATGGAATAGTCTGACCAGTTCGTCGATAAGCAATGATTTATTGGACAATGAATTGAATCAAATACAAACAGAAATTATCAAAAAATATAAACCACCATTAGATTCGATGAATTCGCTAGGCAAACAGATTGCATTGTTTTTATTGAATCGTAATCGGGAAAGCAATCCCACAGCAACAACAACTTCAATGGCCAAACATGCTATTCAACCCATTACAAAAGCGATGAAATCAACCAATATTCAAACACTAAATAGCCAATCGTATCAGGATCAATCAATGCCAAACGCCTATATTTCCATGGATACTTTGCCCATGTCATCGCCTAGATATGAAGCCATTATTGTCGACCATAAAACTCAACAACATTCCAACGGCCCAAACAATCCGATTTCAGATACTAGGACCATATCACCATCATATCTCACCACTATTGGCCAAACACAAATGCCAATCAAAAATTTATTTGTTACAGTTCCATTTGGCATTGATTCATCAACAGCGATCAATGCCGAATGGCCATCACTTGTCCAACATAATGGCCAAGGTGATGATGCTGATGACGATGGCGGTAGTGATGGCCGCAAAACATACGTATCATCCACATCAATCATCAATCAGGATAGTTTTCATCCGCAGCAACAACATCCCAATCAACGACCTCGCACATCAACGATGATCAAGTCATCATCATCATCATCGTCATTAATGAATAATGAGCCGACAGACTTTGTTTTTATGGCTGCCAATTTAGCCACCACCAACAAAGATCGATTGATAGAAGCACCATCTACGTTGAAAGCATCATCATCGATGACAGGTTCGATCACAACCAATTTTCATCAACATCATCCACAGGCCAATGCTAATAATAATAATAATAATGATATTGGCACCTCAGCATTCATACCAATACAATCATCAAATTCAATTTCCTTCGAACCTTTACTAATCACTAATAATCAGTTAGTTGGTAGTGTGAGCAATATACAAAATTATAATGATCAACAACAACAGCAGTATTATCAGCAGCCACAACAAGCAAATGAACAATTTCATTGGAGCCCAGAAGTTAAAAATGTTGTATTAAAAATGGAATTACCGGTGCATGTCACCGGTTCAAGTAATCGGCCATCCCCGTCAACTATTTCGCAAAATTATCATTATCGACCAACATATCGTGCTAGTAACGATGACGATGATGATGGTGGCGATGGCAATAATGGCAATAACAACAATAACAACAATAACGATGATTATTTGAATTCGATGCAACCATCGCCATCACCGAAATCGTCATATCTGCAGGATGATATTCATAATAGTGATAGTGGTAACAGTTATCAATTATCACTGCCTTATCCCATGCAACAACAATCGATACCGTCAACAACAAAATATCGATCCAATCATAATCATCATCCTCATTTCAAACAACAACAATCGAAAATGATGAATATCTATAGTGATAATAACAATCAAATGCCTACTACAATCAACATGGATCATTTGGACCAATTGATCGATGCGCCGCATCATTATTATTTTTAACACCCATTTTAAAGTTACTGGCAAGGATAAAAGAAGGAAGAAGATGAACAACATGCAAACTGTCACTTGATTTCGATGGAACAAAAACCATAAATTTGACATCGACCATGATGATGATTTTATTATTATTTTTCATTACAATCAATGATTACAATCAATGGTCATCCTTTTTTAAAAAATATAATCATTATTGAAAGAAAGAACAATTCTTTAGCAATTTTAATATATTAAAAAATACAAAACACACGATAAAAGGGAAGGCATGTTGTATTGAATTTGGCAGCATTTGTATGGTTGTTTGTTTGTTTGGCACACATATATTGCATGAATGCGTATGTGAGTGTGTGGGGGTGTGTAGGTGTTGTGTTGATAATGTAGGTGTGAAGGTCGAAATACGATTGTTTTGTTGATTGGATTTGATTAAATATCATATTTAAATTAACGAATTTTGGGGCTTCTTTAGACGCATCAATTCCACAACTTTAGCAGGTGTATCTTCGGCCGACACTTGTATGTGGGCAGGATTATCTACTTGATTGGTAACCGGATTACGTTCCACTAATCCAGGTTCGTTAGTGCGAATATTGGCTATATTGAATGGTAATATGAGTATTGGTCAATTTAATAAGATGCATAAGATGACATACCTCTGAATCCGTTTTTATCGGCCACATAATCGACAATTCGATAAAGACCCCAGGCATCGGTATAACCATATGAACCACGAACTACACCATTACGATCGCCTTCTTCGCGTCGAAATTGTCCATTACCGGAATCATCGTTGACATTGAAATTAAAACTATAGGGTTCCGGTTCAGGCTTGTTTAATAACAAGAGAAATAGATTAATGAAAGTATTACTCGATCATCACTTACGTTATGTTCTTCGATGTGTTGTTGTTCATATTCTTGTTCGAAAACTGGAGCACGAATAGCAGCGCGTGGTGGCGGAGGTGGTGTTTTCACTGCTTGACGAATTGGAGCTGGTCGTGGTGGTGTTTTAATGGCAGCTTTTGTCGGTGGCGGTGGTGGTGGTGGTCGGGCTTTAATTGGAGCTGGTGGTGGTGTTTTAGTACCGATTTTGGTATTGACCTGAACATATTCTTTTTGATCTGCAATCTGATTAGTTTTGCTGTAGCTAGAAGATGATGAAGCGGCAGCGTTCGATCGTGAATCTTGTATACGCTCAAAGTAATTGGTTTGAACATTTTGTACTGGAGCTTTAACGTTGGGCTGCACAACAACGCGCACTCGATATGGATGTTGACTTGAATGGAACCCTTGGCTTTGGTCATCTTGCTGTTGTTGGAATGTTTTCGAGGATTTTACTACTTTACGTACGGCTTTTACTGGCGATGATGGTACGAATGATGGTTGCCAGGTATTTCCTAAGAATGGAGATTGCTCAACTTGATAATCACCTCCTTTTGTTCCATAAGCAGCATTGATGCTTGAAGCCGATGTTTGAAAAGCATTATCCGATGAAGATGAAGATGATGACGATGATGACGCCGATGCTGAAGCTGAGCTGGAGGCGGAAGCAGAAGCAGCAGCTGCTACTGGTGAATTAATTCGATTAATATCCGGATAGTAAAGATTTCGTTGATTATTGGTGGCTGCATATTCGCCAACAGCTAGATCACCATCATCAGTAAGACTATTAGCGGCAGCTGGTGGCTCAGCAGCGAACACTGGTTTTCGCGCGAAAACAGGACGATTTGGTGAACTTCGTGCAGTTGCATATACTGGCGAGGGACTTGATTCGATTGCTTCGGAATCTTGATTCGATCTTGACCATGCAGCATCGCTGTTAACACCGCGATTATTGAAATGCCATACTCGATTGATAGCTGGTCTTGGAATGGCTGGTACTGCACCTGCAGGAATTCGAGCAGAGGATTCGGAAGGTCGTGCAACATAAACTGATGTTGGTGCGCTAGCACTGGCCGGTAATTCAAGATCGGCTGGTTGTGCGGTTGTTGGTTCGACAGTAGTTGCTTCCACCGTAGTAGATGGAGCTGTTGTCTCAGTTTCATCGGCGGTTGCCGATGATGATGGTTGGACAGTTGTTGTTGATGATTCTGTGGTTTCAGCTGTAGACTCAACAGCCGCCGATGGTGCCGGAACAGTATCGGTTATAGTGACCGATTCTTTGGCTTCTAGTGGGTCATCGAATGTATCAATATGTTGTTGTTGCTGCGATGAAACAGGAATTTGCGGTCCAATAGCGCGTGGATAGATGATGACGCTGCCAGATTGCACACCATTCACCTCATCATCAAACATGAAAGCATTGTTGTTGTGTGTGATTGCCAAAATCACCACTATGATTGATAATATTTTCATAATGTTTATATGTTTATTCGATTCTATGCTGTTATAATTGCAAATGTCAATATTTATTAATATCCTATTGAAAACATGGATTTTTTCGCGTATAATTCAAATTCTATTCTAATAAATAACTCATTGGCGAAAAATCAATGTTTTCTATACGGATATTTCATTTTTCGAAAAATCATTTCCCGAAAACTTACCGAAAACAATCCGAATCGAAGTTTTTTTTGAACGAAAATCACAGACAAGTGGTAAACACAAGAAAATTCAATTTAAAAAACAAAATTCATTCGATTCACACACCAGCAACCATGAGTTGAGAAGATGAACACACTTGAATGATGTAAATGATGGAACATCAACAACGAACAAACCTACAAATGATGAATATTTCAAATAATGTTTATACAATAGACAATGCTTTCGCTTTTATATACCACCAATCAACGAAACAGACAACAACATCTTCATTGCGAAAAATATTTTTTATTTTGGAATTTTTTTGAGAACATCCAACAAAATCGACCAAACAAACATCCATTCATTCATTCATTCATTCATCCATGGTGGTGGTCGAATCATTTGAGGATTTTTTCCCAAAAGAAATTGTTACCATGAATAGAAAGAATGCGTCACACACGGCAGCTAGATTTTGTTGCGTGGGTTTCACCAACGACAATTGCAAATCCAATCTGGAAATATACCACTACTAATCTCATTGACTTTGCTTTATTATTTCAATGGCATGAGATTTTTGTCTTTTCATTTTCTGATGAATCCAATTGACAATTCAACAAACAGTAACGAACCTATTTTGGGAGCAAGAAAAAGATGATGATCATTGAACATTAGAAATGATGCTCTAGTGTCTATATGCTCATCATGATCATTATTAATTTGATCATTTTCGTCATTGACAATCTTGTGTATGTCATGACTCATTCGTACTGGCATGTATGGTCAGGGTCAAATGATGATGATTATGTTATGATATAGCCAAATTAGTGACTTATTATCATCATAAAGGATTACTATAAATAGTGTCATCATCCATTGTTTCATTCTTCACATTTTCCCCATTCAGTAATTTCCGGATTTGTTTGACTAATCAACACCGAATTTGTTGATTAGACCAAAAATGAATGGAGAAAACATTCAACAAAATTAATTGATGATGATGATTAGCTCAATATTACACGGCTAAATATAGCCAATTGGAAAACAGTTTTCAAGGTGTACCACACAAGAATTGATATGCAATATTTCGAATACCGTTTGCTTTGTTTTGGATTAGGATTGATGTGATTTTTGTTACCATATTGATTTGAATGAATAAGAAAAACTTGATTTGTGAATTGAAGCAAGAATGTCAACTGAAAATGAATTAATGATGATGTCTTTTTGTTTGTTTGTTTCTCATTGGAATCATATCCATTTTTGGAGAAATTTCATGCCAACACATTGTGTGTGAATTGAAGCCGAAACATCTTTTATTTGTTTGAATGTGAAAGGATTGATGATAATAATTATATTGCAAATGTTTATTAGTTTGGACATGTTCCACCTGTCCGACGCAGTTTCCTCTTGACTGTCATTTAATTTTGGAAATGAATTTTTAGAAGCCACCCTCACCTGAATCTACCTTGACCATAGATTAAATTGTTATTTGTTGGTTACACTCAATTGATCTGTTAATTTATGTGTTGAATCATTGTTTTCTCGAATCAATAAATAATTAGCTTAGAAGTTAGGAGCAAAAAAGATTATTGAGAGTGAAGATGGTGAGACAATTGAATTGTTGTTGTTTTATGGCCACCACTCTTGCGATTAGCATAAAAGAAGAAAGAAACATTTTTGAAATAAATTTAATAATTATTACCTTAACTGGTGTTTACTGTTAATTGCAAACAATGATTACATGAAAAGTTTTCTGTCAAAAAGATCATCATTGCCAGTGCCATATGGGTGTTGTGCCAATGATGATCCATAATAATGAAATGTCACCTTGATTGACTCATTGAGATGTTGTATTTTCGTATTTGTCTTTATTTTGCCATTTTATTTGTCTATGCAGATGGAAAGAATATAATTGGTTGTGATGACCTAAAAAATGTTTTTACAAAAATCTCTGCAATAAATCATTATTTGATGGTAAACATTCGGCCGGAACATGTTGTTGAAGATGATCATCATCAACAACAATGTTATTATCAACAATCAAAATGTAAAATAGCAAAATTGTTTCCTTTCTTTTCGTTCAATCGAAAGCTACCGATCTCTCGAATCCTGTATTTTATTTATTTGATAAACGTTTATTACAATAGTGTAATGGAAACGCCAATTTTAGAAATGTTCGTCATCACTTGATTCACTTGAAATAGAAACCTTGAGCAAAAAATTGAAAGTAAACAACAAATAATCATTAGTATTGCAAACAGACTAACTGTTTTATTTCCAACATTCATCAACAAAAGGCCAGGTAAACATTGATATTGACAATTCAGTTGGAACATCATCGGCAATTTTGATCATTTTTCACTTGGATCGATAATGAAAACCATAATAATGAATCCAAATGGTCATCACAATACCAATTTTGCTATTTTCGATTTGGCCGCCCACCCAATTCGTCATCATTTTGAATCTGTTTGTCGCCAAATAAGCAAAATTGTCTGCGTGTAGAGAAACATTTATTAAATTTGGCTATTTTTTGAAACATTCTTTGCTCATACTGAGAAAGCTGACAAAATAAATAAACAAAGATAATCATCATTCAATCCAATTCTTTATTGCTGCCAAAATTGATTCAAATTTTTATTTTATTAAACAAAATTCGAAAATGACTACATCAATGGCCACTAGAGGTCGTTACATTTTTGTTCGATCGAATTCATCTGACGATACTGGATTTAGCATTCATATCGGCAAGAATACGCCAACGAAAATGACCGGATCGAGTGTTGATTTCTTGAACACTGTTGGGATTATAAATCAGATTTTTTCAAGGGAATTTTCACAAAAATGACTCACGCAACAGATTGAGCTGTTTGGAATGGATTCAAATTGGGATGATTGGATGATATGGTTGATGTTTGGGACTCATCATCATCGTCATTATTATCATGGTAGTTGTTTTGATCATCAAGCAATGTGGGATCTGATTCTGACTGTTGTTGTTGGACATAATCATCCATTTGGTTGAATGCTGTATCTGGTCGATATTCGCCATACTGTGATTGGCTTGTTTCGTGGTCATAAACATCTTCATAAATATCATGTTCATATGGCAGATGATAGCGCAATGCACTTGGTCGATCAGCATCAATAAACTCCTCATCATAATTGAATTCCAATAGCTGTGCCTGTTCAATCAATATGAATATTATGAATAGAAAGAATGCACACAATGTTGAACTAACATGTGCCATCATCTAGAAAACAGATATTCAAATTTTAGTCGGGAAAATATTGACGAAATTCTTTTATAAGTTTTTTCATGCAACAAAACTTACCCGTTCTCGATAATGTTCAATATTTTGCATGTTGCTGCCACTAACATCTGGTCTGATGGAAATGGTCATCCATGCTGAATGACTATTCATTGTTTGTGAGAGCAAGAGAGAGAAAGATTTAGGTGAAAGATGATCGATAAAGATGATGTGCTCTCGTTTTTGCTTCCTTCAGGAAATCAAAAGAGTCGGTTGATTTTTCTATTCATCAGATCAAACACAATTGATAAATAGAACATCAGAAATATTCAACCGAAAAACAGAGGAAAAATGAATCCTTTTTTCAAACAATGTGATCCATTCATTTATGTGGGTGATGCGATAGACAAAAAAGATTCGGACTTTTTTCTTCAAATCGGGCGAAGCATTTTGCTTCATCAAATTTTCAGCAAACGATTTGTGTGTTGTGTGTGTAAACCTGTGTACAACAGCAAATATCACGAGGCACGGATATAATAGTGCCAATCGAAATAGATTGGTTTGTTCGTTGTTTATTTATTTGGTTGGCTGATTATGTTGATCGCTGTTGATTTATTAATCTAGACCACCAAAAAATGGAATTTAATTGGCCAGGTCATATTACGTGTTTGGTTACATGCACGAGTTTTGCAACAACCAAAAAACTCAAAGTTGAAAAACATTTTCGGGAAAATTGGCAAAAATATCAAAATAGCCCAAACAAAAAAGTGAACACTTTCAAGACAATCACCAAGATCTCAGGTTTTCAACAAAACAAAAGTGACAAATCATTATTGTTATTATTCATAATTGAGCAGTAGCAAAAATCCCAGCCAGAAAAAAGTTGGCAAGTTATTCTTTCAGCATTCGAAAAAATGACTAATCAAACTAAACTGATAAATATGATTATTATTTTGTCCCCTCTTCTATTGATTTATTGATCAATCAATCAATCGATGGAGGATTGAAATTTTGGACTTATTAATGAGACAAGAAATTTTGCGAATCAGCAATTCAATCAATGGACAATAATTTATTTGGTTTGGTTTGCTTGGGCGATTTTTCCCTCAAGAAATGAGTGACATAATTTGAAAACCGTTAAGCTTTCCCGCTTAAAACCAACCAAGCAGATAAACACAGAGGACTTGTTGTTCACCACCACTACATGTCTGACAATTGTTTGGATTAATTTTTCGGGTATTTTCAACCGAAAAAACAAAAAAATTGTTCCGTTTATTTTCATATGGCCATTGAACTCATTCAATCAAAATTTTTGCAGAATTTTTCTTCCAGAAATTTTCTATTAATAAAACAATCAGGAAAAAGTAATGCCAGCACCTTTTTTCATCAGTGTGTTCGAGATGATTTTCCGGTGCAAGCAAATCTTGAAAAAACTTGGATCCATTGGTTATTATGCAAGGCAAATGTCAATCGGAATGGAAAATTTGATTGAAAAAAATGATTTTGAAAAAATTGATCTATTTTTGCTGCTGACCAAATCAAACAGCAAAAACAAAAACAACAAAACTGATCAACATCAGCCAAGCGAAACCAAGAAAAAATGTCACCCAGCAGACAACAGGAAAGATGAGAGAGAAAGAAATTGACAATTAGTCTCTCTCCCTTAATCTAAAACCATTATTTGTTATCATTCATGGTGGTGATCATCATCATAATCGGTCCAGTGATTGGCACAATAATTTCACAACAGAAAAGAATAAACTCTGTCCACTCTCGTTTGAAAGAGTGACCGAAATCAAATCATATATAAATGGCTTGACCATCTACACTTGGATCCATTTTGTCATATGTGTGCATGTTTACTTCCAAAACCCAAACCGAACCAGAAAAATTTGTTGCGTCAATTCAATTCAACACTAAATGCCACCTATAACCATTAATCAAAGATCCTATTCACCAACAACCACGACAGACAATAGAAACAAATTGACCAATCGTAGTAATAACATAGATTTGGGCACCATCTCTTCGCCAAAATTCGTACTAACATTGATCACAATGTTAACATTCACTATATTTCTAATGATGTTTGGCGTGGTATTTGGCCAACAAACTGGTCAAATACCGGCCAATACTTCATCATCACCTTCCTCATCAGGTGCTGGCAATCATAAAAACGAAACATCATCCTCAACATCATTGAATCATAAACCATCCATTTCGAATAGTAATAATTATGCTGCTAGTATTTCACTGCTTACATCAATCAATAACAACCATAAACCTAATTTGAATCAAAATTCGGGTGAGTTACATTCGCAAATTTCAAAATCAAATCCATTGGATATAAACATTTTTTCTCGCCAAAAAAATGTTAATATCAAAGCAAAATATTTTCCAGAAAAATAAAATCAATACTAAACAAAGGTGAATCAATCAATTTTTAACCAAAAAAACTTGATCGATTCCCGACCATTTATTTGAAGCAAATTTTTTTCGAATTTCCGATTGATAATTTTGATTTTTGTTTTTGTTTTTGTTTTTGCCTTTGACGAAAAAAGATAAACTTTATAGTATAGGTTCAAAATCGGATTCGATATCAACACCGGTCTATGGCTCGAAACAAGTAAGTTTGTTTGTTATAGTTGAGCTTATTGTTGATATGGAGTTTATTTGTGGTTTCAGTCGATAGCGGATAATAATAATGAACAAAATGGCCAACAACAGACGTACAGTCCATATCTGATGCCAATAAGTAATTATTACACTGGAAGTAGCTCGACGGTTAGTGCCACGATTGCTAGAAGTCCTAGATCACCTTACCAGTATACTCATTACAACTCACAAGCTGAAAGTAATATGCCTTCATCGATACAGGATAAAATGCTGAAAACCAATTCCAATCACAACAATAATGGAACCGATGATAACATTGCTGCCACACAAGAACGTCTTAGCAAACAATTGCAAATGGCATTACTGTACAATCAATTGTTGCAATTACAACAACAATATCGACCCTCATTGTATGGATCGAATCTCGGATCTGGTCTGGCTGGATATAGTGGCTATCAATATGGCTTTCCCAATTCCATTTCCTCACTATACAATTATCTCGCTAATGGACCCGATATGAATTTGGAGTTGCTGCCCACAACATCGGCAACCAGTGTCAATCCATCGTCATCAGCATCCGCATCCTCACATTCATCCTCAACATTATCATCACCATCTAACCCTGGTTCTGGTGTGAAGGAAAACATCGCTGGTAAAGAAGCCGACGACGCTCCTTCATTGGCCGATGAGGCAATTCAACTGCAAGCGTTAGCATCGTTACTAAATTACCGTACGCAATTGGCTAGTATGTATGGTGGAAGTATGTATGGAAGTGGCTATGGCTCAGGTTATGGCTCCAGTCTTGGTTCCGGCCTTGGCTCAGGCTATGGTTCAGGTTCTGGATCAACCATGTCAAGTCTGTATGGAGGATCAGGAGGTAGTACTTTCGGAGGATTTCCATCAACCCTATTCGGTTCTGGATATGGTAATCATATGGGTAGTACTTTGTCTAGTTTATATGGATCAGCTATGCCAGCGGGCGCCGGTGGAGTCTTATCCAGTTTAGCCGGTGGATTATCATCACTAACTGGTGGCAGTGGTGGTGCTGGTGCTAGTGGCGGGGGTGGGGGAGGTGGATTTGGCGTGCTGAACACATTGGGCATGTTATTCGGTTGATGATGAATGAATATATTCCACCATGAGACAATCTGATCTTCAATCCGATTCACGATCGCTCAAATATAGAAAAAGAAAGTCAAGCGCATCATTTTTATCATTTATTATCGTTGACTACCGGTATTTTTTTCTCTTGCTTTTTGACAATTTTATCGCATTACACATGTAATTGACATTTCCCAATAACCAAGTAATTATTAAAGAAGTGAAGAATTTTTGTTTGGTTTTTGTTTGGTGATCTGAATATAATTGCATTGAATTAAAAATAACAATCGAAACCAGTGACCAGTGATGGATTGAATGAGAAAAGTCCAGGTTTGAAGGGTGATAATCAAATAATCTCTTATTAAACAATTTAAGATTTATGGCTGGGCCTTGCCAAAACAATCCTGTCTTGTTAACTTGAATTGCGGATTGACAACACCATCAACAAAAAAAGGTGTGTGGATCATTCAAAGGGATGAGTGGGAGGAAAAAAGGAGCATTATCAATTTGGTTATATCTAGCTATAGCTATAGTTTTGTTGAAAATAAAGCCAATTTTGTTTGCTGTATTGATATTGTGTGTGTGGGCGGCAGTGTAAATATCAATGTAATAAACAATGAATATTTTGTTGTAAAAGAAAAAATACTGTCCATTCCAATCAAATCATCAATCAATCAATCAATGTGGATAATAATAAAATATACATAATCTATTAATGCTTTGTGTGGCAGTGTACATGTGGATGGGGTGTGTATCTCTTTGGCGACATTCAACCAGCGGTGGCGTCGTTGTATGGTGTAAGTGTGAGTATCAATGAATGACAGTAATGTAGTAAAGCAAAGCAGACAATTGTTTGATGATTATGATGATTGCAATTGGAAAATATAAAAGTGACAAGTGACAAATAATGAATGGGCAATGTTCAGTAAGTTGAGTTGATAGGAAAGTTGAAGATTGAATAAATGGCCATTTCATTGATGGATTCATTTTTTGTGAAGGCCGTATGGTGCAGCATCATAGATTGGACCATCGGCAGTATATGCACCTTTGTTAAGCATGCCATAAACGGAATCATCGCTACTTAAGATTGGTGCTGATTGAGCATATGGTTGTGCGGCATACGATAATGGTGCCGAGTCAACAAGTGGTGCGGCTGGTTCGTATTTGGACAAGATTGCGGCAGCTGGACCTGCATGACCATATGGAGCTGGTTCATAGTTGGCCAAAACTGGTGCTTCAACGCTGTGTTGCATAGCGATTGGAGCGGCAGCTGGTACAATTTGCTTGGTGAGATAGGGAGCTATTCAAGAGGAAAAGAGACCATTTCTGTATAGGAAAATATTGCAATGATCAAAACGTACCGACAATGGCAGCAGCTTTGTTGATCAATACTGATGCTGGATCTTGATCTTGATCGACACCAGGTTCATTGGTTTGAATGTTGGCGCGGAAACCATGACCATCGGCAACATAATTGACTACACGAACACGGCCATCAATAGTTCGAAGACCATACGAACCATGTGCCATGCCTGGACTACCTGTTTCACGACGGAAAGTACCACCAGTGGCATGATCTTCATTATAGCCAAAAGCATAGTTGCCCAAGCTCTGATGGCCACAACAACCGAAAAGAGAAGAGAAAAGGTTAGGGTAACTAGCTAACTGTACAATAACACACACACACAGACTGCACATACATCTTGTGATCGGAATTGAGCCGAGTGACCAGTGTTGACCATGGCTGGACCATGCATTGGATTACCGTTGACAGTGACGGCACATGCTACACCAACAACGACAGCTAACAACAATTTCATTTTGGCTGATTATATGATCTGATTGTATGGGAAAAGTGAAAAAAGAGAAACCATTTTAAAAACTTTCGAGAAAAACACATTGGATTTGAAATGGCAGAAAAGCCCATCGATTTGTATTGGATTCAAATGATACATTGAATCCAATTCAAACAAATCAATGGATCATCGTCATTCCCAATATCAATGGATTGTATTATTGATATTGAGACCATTTCCGCCATTTCTCAAAAACCAAAACCAGACATAAAACAGAATGATGTAACACAATCAACACTTGCACATGGACGGTGGCCGGAATATTGTTATGAACACACACACACAAAACTGATGGAGAAATAACTTACTTAATAATAATATTATTATTCAAATATGTAACGCTTTTTGATGATCCAAACACGTTTAAAAGCTGATTGTCCCTGTGTTCAAGTTTTTATAGTGATTGCCAAACACAAAATTTTTTCGATCCAGCATCTCTCTCTCATTATGTGATTCAAAATCCAATAATAGAGGTGCTACTACACAGCCCATCAACAACATCATTTTACAAGTCAAAACAAAAGTTGAACTCAAACTGTTGCTGTCAAAAGTAATTTCAGCACGTGTTTTCCAATGAAAAAAGAGAAAAACCAATGGACATTTGCCAATGCAAGTCAAGTGTGTGTGTGAATTGGGCAAAGTAATATTGCTGTGATTAAAAATGTGAGAGGCAAAATGTAGAAAGGAGATTAGAAAACGCCCGAATTAAAGAATGAAATGAATAATAAATTCATGATTTGCATTTTGTCATTGATTAATCAATCGATGATTTTGTTTGTTGTTTGTTGTTGTCCATTTTGGATTCACTAATCGATTAATATTGAATGTTAATTGGTCGTCATGTTATTCCAAATGAAACAATAGACAGATTCTAAATTAGATAAGAATCATTGAGAAGAAGCAGCAGCCACGAAAAGGAATTATTTTCCTTTTCTTGGAACAAAAAAGTAATGAAAAAAACTAAGTGATGACCACGACAACGATGAAATGGTTGTTTCTGGAGAAATGGAAAATGGTCATTTTACGATGATGATCATGATGTCAACTCGATAACAACACTATAGCAACAAAGCGATAAGCGTAAAGAGAGAAAATGGCCAAAAACAATGACAAAATCGTAATGAAAATGTTTCAACGAAATTGAGCAGCATAATTATTTTATTTCATTTCTGCATTGGATAATGTTTTGGACGAGGGCCAAACTTAACACAAACAAAGATGTTTATCATCACATCTGAATGCTTTTCTAGTTTTTCACCTTTATACGTTTCACAGTAAAGAATGTTGGAGATATTCCTCATCATTCTCATCATCATCGTCAATGCAAAAACAAAACTGTTTCATGAGAATGGAAAATTAACAAAAATTATTGCTCCATCATAATCATCATCATTTTGGTGATTAAATCAGATTCATTACTTTCGACTTTTCGGATCAAAGAAAGATTTATTTATCCATCCATTCACATTTCCATTCATCCATTCATCCATTAATGCTAAACACAAACAAACAAAACAAAACAAAACACATTGTTCAATTATGTTGTGTTTCAAACAAAAACAAAAATCCACTAGTTTTTTCTGGCCAGTTTTTGAAAAAATTTAAATCATCACCACTTGATTGCTCAATGCAAATATCGAAATGGATGAATGAATGAATGAATGAATGAGAGTGAATTGGCAATGAGAAAACACGTGCAAGATGGATGAATGAATTGAATTGATTGACATTGAAAACGGGTATATCATCTGTCTCATTCAGCAAAATGATTTTGCTTTCTCCATTGGCCAACAACCTCGGAATTCTAATCCAATTATGATCGTTATGAGCAAGAAAAGGAAAGTCATTTAAAGAAAATTATGTTTGAATGAGGATGATGATCAATTGATGGAATACATTACAGTATAACAATATTAATCACCACAATTAGAAAGGAAAACACTCAAGGTGATGATAATTTTATTGGCCATTTCGTCGTTCCATACATATCACATTCGATTTCAACCACGATAAATCGATCAACGCCATCACTATTAGTAATAATAAATTCCTTATTCAATTCGGTTTTGTTTTGTTTGATTTTGCAATTTCGGCCCATTATCTATTGAATGGAGACGTTTTCAGTTTGATGATCGTTTCGGAAAACGACACGGCAACAACGACAAATGTCCAATGTCAAATTATGTTTCATTTGTTTCATAGAAGGTGACTGACCAAACACTTGTCACAATTCTATTGATCAACATGTGACAAATCTAATTGAAATATTTTTAAGCAAAGTTTTGTCAAGTTTCTTGAACCAAGAAAAGAAGATGAATTGAGGAAAAATGTTATTATTTTGTTAATTTGGAATTAGTTGTTGCTATAAATAAATTTTCAATACAACGTTCCAATCTTCAATGCTTGGCCATTCATTCGCTCGATTAGGGATGAAATTAAGAAAAGTGGCCAATTCTAATTCCACACAAACTAATAAATCAGCCTTGATATGGGCCATTTTATTTCGCTTTGCATTTGCTTGCAATTCAATTAAAGTTGGTTGGCAATTTATTTTATTAACACAGGGCAGGTGGTGGTCTTGGAAAGGTGTCAAAATAATCAAATGTGATTGATGATTAATCTACTTGATGACTGATTTAGACTGAAACAAAACTCCTGTCCAATGTCATTGTCATTTTGTCGGGTAAATTGGGTTGAAACAGATTTATCCTTATCACCATCATCATGCTAATTAATAGATTGAAAGCATTGTTGATTTATTTGCCAACCAACACCTGCCTCAATGAATGATGAATGAATGCAATCATTGAATGGTGAAATGAGAACAACGTTGAAAGATCCATAATTAATAATTGAATAATGATAAACTCTTGTTTCTCTTGTTCATAAAATTCATTTCCTGGTCATTTGAAAATGAAAATGACAATGGTAATGTACTGTAATTATCCAATTGAAATTATCAATCGATAATGATAGTAATGAATCAATTGTGTAAATCACTAGCTAGCCTGGATGGATGGTCATCTATTAATATTTTCATTTTGTATTGAAATTTGCATTGGAGAAAAGCATGGTTTATAATTCTTGCATAGATGAACCAACATTGTTTAATAATGACAAAAGTGATTCGAAAAGGAAAATAATCAGCTTACGATTAGTTTGCTCTGTTTATAGAAATGTCACATTTTCTTACACAACTTAGTCCTTCAGACACACCATTTGCACAATCACTGCAGCACACTTGCGTTATGCATGTCTATTTTTGCTTCAATCGATATACATTATTTCTATTGATTGCATTATTATTGCATCAAGCAAACAAATTGATGCTTTTGCCATATTTTCATCTCGATTGGATTGATTGATCACTTGCGGCTATTGTGATTGTGATAGTATCTGAGTGTCTGAATTGGATTGATTTTCAATGCAAACAACCCATTAAGGATTATTAGCAGCTAATTAGTCTTGTGTTTCATCTATTCCATCACCATTTCCAAATTTTCAAATATCATCTGTTCGAATTGCATCATTCATTTGAATATTGTTTGAAAATGGAAATTCCGTTTGTTTTCCAAAACAACATGACCATTGATATATGGAGATATATCGTTCATTTTCTCCATCTTTTGATAAACATTCTATTTATTGACATGATGGCCATGGCGTGTCAATTTGATAATAATTATCATCATTTGCATTGATTGCAAACACGATATATATGAATAATCAAATGGAGGGCAATTGTAAATCACCTGTTTGATTTGTTTCTTTTGATAATCAAAAAAAGCAAAAACACTTGATTGATGTGTGGAGCTCTATTAATTGGCCACTGTTGTGTTGTTATTTGAATTATAATTCAGCAAAAGTATTTCTTATTTTTGGGTGGGTTTCTTTCAATCACGATGACCATGTGTGTCTGTTTGACCATTCAATGTCGATTGGGTGTCACCACCACCACCACCACCATATATATTAATTGTTGTAATTTTGTTTTTGTTTTCCCATTGAGATTTGTACTCATTCGGATTCAGATTAGACTGAAATATTTCATTTTCAGTGTTAATTGGCATTTTTGCACATCTGTTTAGTGGTGGTTACTCTACATTTCTCGATTGACAGCCACGCTAATCAATCAATCAATCGATCAATGATGACAACAAACATTTTTAGAATCATCGCCGCCCATAATCATATGGAGATACTAATTTTTTGTTGTCATCGTTGATCGCCTACTTTTATTCCATTTATTGCATCCACAACACCGAATCAAGGTCTTGGATACATATCATTGTTTTATCCGGTCTATTTTTCGTTGTAGAACCATCCATCCTCCCACACACACACACAGTGTTGACATTTTAGTGGAAAAATTGATTTTTTCAGGATGAAAAAGCTCCTTTTATGAATCAATATTGAACTGATTGGATTTGACAGAAAAAGATAATTTTTGCTTGCCTCTATTGGATTGCATCAGAATTGGTTGAGTGAAGCATAAAAATAATAGACATTTTACCTTTTTTATATGGCAAAATAACAATAACCAAATAACAATAAAAATGGTTAATTAGCTTGACATTTGGAAAAATCTTATCGATATTAAATCAAGAAAGACCTCATTCAATTAATTACCATCATCAGAGACAATTTCAATCATTAATCAAACGGCACAAAGAAAAAAGGAAATTTCTTTTTTCACATTTTCTCCGACCATTTGGATTCCGGCTATTTTTATCAGAAAAATTTCTTTATTACAGTTTTCCATTGATAAGTTGTTGTAACTGAAAAAACTAAAACAAACGAATGTCAATGATGACGAATTGACCTCAAAAACAATGAAAGAGAGACGACTATTTTCATTTTTGGTTTTCTTTCTAATGATGGCCAATTCATCTCTCTCCTTTTTCTAGTTTTTAATTTTTCATTATCATCGTTGGTTGTGAGACGATTAGAATGAAAATTTGAAAAAACAAAAACACGTGTGTTCAAGATGTGATCATTGAATGAATGGAGTGAAAGGATTATATGATCGACAAGATGGACGATAAGCCACTGGACAATGATGATGATGATGATGATGATGATAATGATGATTAGAAGCTTTTCATGACAACAGGGCAATTGTATTGAAACATAATGTATGTCATGTTTGATTGGACGGTCATTGATATGTGATTATAATATGATGATAGGGACTGCATTATTATATGATCAATGAATCGATTAGGATTTGCATTGCACCTTATTGATTATTAATTCATTGCAACGCAAATGTTATCATTTTGAATCATTATGATCACTATAATCACTATAATCAGTGAATAATTGTTCATCATCACGATGTTGACCACCATTTCAATCAATTGTTTTGTTTCATTCGAACGTTGATCCATTGTTGTTATAAATTCTCAATAACAAATGATGATCGAATTGATCTGTTTATTCAGTTTTGCTGAAACTGTTGAACAAGTGAGCAATGATGAACCCCAATGTTATTGATTTGATTGTCATTTGGAAAACTATGGGCAATGAACATTTGCCATGGTGAGACGTATGGACAGTGTCAAGGTTTTTCTTCTTCTGTTTTAATGAATGGTTTTATCATCATTATATCATCATCATGATGACAATCTGCATAACACAGCTTTCCATTTTCATTTGTTTCATTCCTTCATGCTTGCTTCATCAACTTAATCAACAGAAAAATGATAATCATCATCAACATCAACAACAAGGAACTTAATAATAATAATAATAATAATAATCATTTTTTATTGTTCAAATCATGTCTATGGATCATAGTTTACAGTTTAGCAATTTTTCCCCAACCAACTGAGATGATCTTTCGCTGCAAACTATCAATGTCAGAATGATGTTAGTGTTTTGCCATTTTCCGCTGTAACCAATAAAATCAATAGCAATGTCTATTTGAAAACATTGTTTTGCTGACCTGAAATCTAATTTACTGATTTGCTATTATTATTTGCTTTGGCTAATGACATGACATAATAATCGTTTGGATTTTGTTGATTGATGCAAACATTTGGAAAGGAATGAATAATATCGCTTGATTGATTAGTTGAATGAATTATTTATATTGCCAAAAACAAATACCTTAGCCCTAATCATATAATGTAAATTTGGAAAGATTGAAATTATTGCATATTTTGTCACACACTGTAGAGCTGGGCGTCGATGCTCTATCGATTGATTAATCGATTGATCAATTCGATTCGATTTGATTGGAACGATTCGAGCAAAACCACCACCAAGGACAGATTAGATTTTCGCTGTTCTCTTCCATTTGTGGAATGATTTTTGATCCAATTTCTCCTAACCATCCTGCATAGAAATTGAGTTTGATTTTTTCCTTCGTTTATAGTCATTTTCAAGGTTGAATGAATGGAATGTTTTGGCTGTTATTTCTTTGAAATGGTCATCGAAGAATCTTTTTTCATTTCCATTTAACACACAAGGACAATGTACATGATTTTCTCACAACAAAAACAAAATTCCCCGGAATTTTTTTGCAAAAGAAAAATCTATTTATGGGCGTCGTTTTTGGCTACAAAAATTAATAATAGGTTTTTTGCCAATAATAACAATGAATAAACTGAAACTTGAAACAGAGATATTTATTTATTTATTGAAATAGAATGTAATGTGATATTGAGTATTGTTTCATGCAAACGTTATCGTTGGTATCGATTTTCTAGACGCACACTTTCGATGAATTGATCGAAATTGGCCAATATCGAATCTGGTTGTCCAATTCGATATGAATGCTGACGGTGATCATGGCCAAATAGCAATTTGTTGAATGATTCATTCAAAGATGCTTGCTGCTTGTTCGATTGGTGTTTCAATAGAAAGCATGCATAAAATTCATCGATAATTTGATCCTGGTCAATGTGAAACAGATATTTGATGTGACAATCACCAATCAGCAATATTGCCATTTCCAATGCAATCTGTGGACTATGTTGCATTTGATTATCCTTGCTTATAGGCTGGCCATTCGCAATGTATTTCAATATGATTGTTTTCGATGATTTGATCGCAGTGATCGAACGACATGAATTGATGTTATCAGTGTCACCAACATGCCTCGATGATGATCGTAATCGTTGTCGACGTTTCATTTCAACCAAACACATGGACTGTAAATTTTCTCGCATTTGATTGATTCTTGTGAGTAGTTCTGATGTCAAATTGGCTAGCCATTGTTCTGTGTTGCCGGATTGGCTGACATTGAGAATGGGTGCATAAAATGTTTCGGCATCTTGTTCGATATTTAGATAGCAAACCATAGAATCGGGTAAATGCGCTGCCGGTGGAAATGATTGTTTAGCATGGAAAGCGGATAGAGAATGAATTGGATGGAATGACGATGACAGATTGGTGAGTGTGGAATGTATAGTCGATTGGCTGTATAGAGATGCATTGGATAAGGATTCAGCAATTGAATAATTGGAATGACTACCACTTCGACAGGATCGAACAGCCATCATATCATCACTGAATGTATCATCGAGTTTTGTGAATGGTTGGGTTTTGTCGTCTGGAAAAATCAATTGGCATTAGTGAGATTATGTTTGAATGGAAAAACACTTACCTTGTTTAGATGATCTGTTGAACGGGTTCAATTTATTTAGCCAGCCATTATCATTGGTTTGAGTGGCAAATTTTTGATCAAACAAATTGACCAAATGTGACCGACCATAATGTTTAGTGAAGGCGAATGAATCTTCCAGCTGTTCGCCAATAGCCAATCGATTTAGATAGAAATTCAAAAGACGAAAAGATTCTTTGATAAACACATAAAATGCAAATGACGATGGTAATTGCAGTGATTCATTTTGTTCAAGTGATTTGCTTTTTTCACTGCCATATTTATCATTGAATCGCATATGACCGGATCGATCAAATCGATACACTTGTACTACGGTACAGTGTATCAGATGCCCATGACCTAATATGAGAAGAAACAAATCGGTTTTGCCATCATTGCATGATTCATCAGTGCTGATGGCATGGTGAAAACGAATGAAATTCACCAGATGATAATCACCATGGCTAGCCAATGCATGAATTGCACGTGTATAGAGATAACGATGGATGGCTGATAAACAATCATTGGGCAGATGAGATTTGACCAGACAAGCTCGATAGAATAGACAGGAGCCGATCACAGTGAAAAATGTTAATTCAATTTCCAACAAATCGAATATATGGTTATTATCCATCAACAAGGATGATGATGTCGAACAAGGTTGAGTGCTAGATGATTTGCCATGCTTTGGCGGATCGTCAACCGATCCAAGACAGCGGGCAAAATGTTCACTCAACGCTTGTTCAATATCATGGCCATCCCTATAGAAGCGAATACTTTCATCGATCCAGTCAAGAGAGTCATAGTCGTTAAGATATTTACAAAGATTCAACATGGCCATATCATCCATCAAAAGATGCTGCAGAGCAAAAGTTGTATTGATCGATGATGCAATGGGAAATGTAGCTGATAATCGCAGTGAATTAATAATGAAACCATTATGATTGTTATCAACAACATGATCGTTCGATGACGATAATCCAAGCATTGTGTTCAATGTGAGCAGAATTCGATTTAGATAGCCAAAAGTTGCATTGGAATGTGGTGGTGTCATTAGACATACTGGTTGATGATGATTATTATGAAAATGATTGGAAAAGGCAGTTCGTATGGAACCGAATGCAATTCGCAATGAATCATATAGTAATTTGGCCATTATTCGTGCATCATTCGCCATAAAACCATCAATAGGCATGGCAATGGCCATTATGATTGGTGCATCCTCATCATCGTTTTCTATCACAAAACTAATTCGATATTGGGACATGATATCATCGAATTGATTATAATCATCGATCCCGGACAATTGCAGGCTGGACATTGATAAAACATCAATCAAACCATGACTAGTTGGGGTTGATGTCGATTGATGCCGTCGTTGTTCCAGTTTGATCATCACATCGAATAATGTGACAAACATACCACTCAAACGGGTTAATCGACTGTTTGGATTATCCCAATTCGGATAGCCATTCTTTTTGGAGATTGGTGGTGGTGGTGGTTTTGATGATGATGATTGATCACAATGATTGGCCAAATCTTCTGCTGGTGGATAAACATAGAGCAGATTGTTTGGCCTTAATTCATCGTTTGGTCGTGTTAATATCATACAAGATAGATTTGCATTTTGTTTTAGAGGATGGTGATTGTTGCAAATGATCTTTTCCAATTGTTCAATACATATTTTTAGACAATCGTTATCATTTGATTTATTAACTTGATCACCTCCATTATCTATTGGCGTTTGGTTGGAGAGTAATAGATCGGTTTGACTATCAATATGATTATCACAAAATTGTTGTGGTCGATGATGAATGAAGAATATTTCACAATCACTCTCATCGCCAATGTATCCGGCATGATGATTTCGTAATATGCAATTCAATTGTTTGAAACTGGCCTGTAATTTATTCTCAAGCCAGGTATCCAACAAGAATGTTTCATTGTCGTCATCGTCATTCATTTGATGACAATCATTGTTTGTTGAGTGATTAGTTACTGCTGGAGATGATTGATTATTTGTTGAAAGGGATGACAATCGATTATCGATGCATTTGGAAGAAATGGATTCCAAACTAGAACCTGATGACAGACCAGTACCAATCGACTGCTGTAATTGACGGCAATAATCAAGATATCGTTTAACTTTATCACTATGATGATTAGGCGATCGATGATGATTATGGTAATGGGGATGATGATATGAGGATGAATTGATTGTGGTTGTCAATTGAGTATCGGTTATTGCATTATTGCTGATGGAATTTCCATTACAACCAGCTATGATAGCAGCTGATACAGGTGTTATGGGTAACATTTTGCTGAATGGTGAATGGTGAATGGTGAACAGAACAGACTTTTCACATAGTTTTTGTGCACAAACAAAACAAATCAGAAGAACAAAAACAGAGAATTTCGATGATAATGGTGACTCAAGTGAAACCTATTTATGGCTGACAATATTTGTTTGTTTGCATAATGATGGCATGATGAAAAAGCAATGGCGCTATCACCATCACCATCATTATCAGCAGCAGCAGTGGTTGGTTCGAAAATATCAATCAAAAATAATCCATTCGAAAATAATGGCCATATCACAATTCATTCAGAAAAAGTGATGATGATGATGATTATTTGCATTCATTATTTTCTTGTTTGTGTAGAAATCAGTTTTTGCTTTGATTCAAATATCATCAATCAAAGTTAGCCAACGCAATTTTGATTTTAGAGAAAATGCTGTTTTTCAATTAACACTGGCATTGATATTTCTTTCTTTCGTTCTCACTGTGATGTTGGTTGTTTGATTTGAAATGATCATTACGATTGGTTAATGATGAATTTAACTTTAAATAAATCTTATTTATCAATCTGGTGAGAAACACACACACACAGAGAAAAACCATTCACACAGAACAAAGAGGCTAACCAAGAGAAAAGTATCCTAATCACATTGAATGGTTAATTGAAAAAATGATCCATCAATTGAGAGTAGTGATGGTGATATTGATTCCTTGGATGAGATTAGGGGATACCACTGTTATTCACGATTAGTTGATCATCTTTTTTTGTTGCAAGACCGGTTTATTGAGAATGGTTTGTTGTTGATGATGATGATGGGGTCATATAGTTTGCATTGATTAAATTATCACTAGTCAGATGGGTCATTGTTATTTCAGTGTTTGGTTGCTCGGCAACAAACAAACAGCCATTGCACCAGCCAAACATGATGGTGTTGTTGTGTTCTGCAATACGTCTGGCTGCTGGCGCATAACCAACTATCATCAAGTCGACCCGAATTAAGTCAAACCAAATAGGCTCTGTCATTGCGATGATGATAAGGATCATGCAACATCCGCCATCTTGTGGCTAATAGTCGTATCATCGGGAGGGAAAGTAATTTAGTTTTTAATTAAAAACGTCTTACAAAGTGTTATGGCTGACATTGCACGTGTTTCTATCCATCCAATATATCAAGTGAGCCATGTTAAAGAGAGGTCAATAGAAAGAAAGAAATTAATGTTGCACGTGCATCGTGAAATAGTAATATGCCCGGATACCGGGTAACCCGGGACCCGGACAACAACACATTATCAAATAACATATGCAAGGCGTGCTCATAAATTATTGAAGAAGGAAAAATTGTACGGTAGCAAGAAAAATTGATTATTTGCACATGCAATATGAAAAATAGTTTGTTTGCATCATTGTCATCATCATCATCACCACCATCATCACCACCATCATCACCACCAACATGGTAGAATTAGATGCAAGATTGGATAATCGAGTATAATGGATAATGGAATTGCATTTGCACCAATAAACATTTGCAAATCATCCATGTGGACATAATCGTTACATAATATTGTGAAACCTAAACAACAATGCTATTGTATAGGTTTTTGCTGGATTTGCAAACGAATGACGGCGGTTACCCGATCAACAAAAAACAATGGCCATCCATATGCGATTGAATTGAATTGGAAATTGTATTGCCACTGAAACATTACTCACTCACCGTTGGCAATAATCCACTCAATTGAATTCTTTCGGCTAAATTGATTTTCATACACCAACAAATGATAGCAATTGTGACTCGGGCCAATTACATGGCTTTCATTCAATTCGATTACCAAAACAAAAAGAGAGGCATCGTCGATCCAGAAATAATTAATTCCATTCAAAGTCAACAGTCGACCGAAAGTGAGCGAAAAAACAAATCAGGGACGAGGAAAAAACAATAACGATCATTTGAAAAATAGTCAAAATATGGAACTGTTACTGGAATGATGATAAGCCTAACGAATCAATCATAATGGTGGAAAGGAAAAAGCAAACACTATAATGGTTGATGATTACTATTTGGCCAAATGAATAATTATTAGCAATGGCAGGTGTAAAATCTAGCTGGAATCGGCTGCACGTGCTGCTGGCCATAATAATGATATTTTCAACATTGAATAAAATGTTTGTTTTTTCTTTTAATAATAATAGATAATGTTTCGCAATGGATTGAATGAATTACTTGAGATAAATAATAATAAAATTCATAATCATTTATGTGAAGGAAAAAGACATGAATGGTGATGATGATATTCTATATTAAATATTGTTTGGTAATAAGGACGCCACGCGTTGGTTGGCGCACGTGCCAACACTTATTGATTGATTATGGTTGTTGTGTAATATTGGCAAAAAGTGTTAAGTAATAATTAATTGATCAAACAGTCACTGATGTTGATGTGGACACTGGTGTTGTGTTATTAGTTACAGCGGTTGCTGTGGATGGTACAGGTGGACAAGGATGGCCAGTAGTGTGATTGATATTGTTTGAATTATTGAATACATCATGATAACTCCGTACGGCAGCAGCCATTGCAATGAACGGTGTTGATGCGGTAAATGCTGAATGCTGTGGCTGTTGTTGTTGCTGATATTGCTGCTGTTGATGATGCGGGTGAGAGGCCTGATTCAATGATTCGGTTTGATCAAGATGCTGATGGTGTGATTGAAAATGGCCATGGTATGATGGTGGATAGTTGGAAGATGATATAGCTGCCAATGACGGATCAACCGAACCGGACTGAGCCAATGAAGAATGGCTTTCATTGGGATATGAAGAAGGATTGGTCATATCCATCATATCCTGATTGTGACCATGGTATTGCTCACTTGGATAATAACAGGAACGATGCTGTGCATGAGAATAAGGTCCAGTATGTTGTTGCTGTTGTTGCATTTGGACCATCATTTGAGTGAAGGATGTGGGATAATGCGAACCCTGATGATGATGAGGCTGATATCGACTCCAAGCATCAGTAGCAATAGTGGCCGAATTGGTTGATGATGGTGATGATTGGGAGGATGATTGTGTGGGCGCTAATGATGCTGTTGGCGGATAAAGACTAGAAGCATATGATTGCGATGCATGCGAATAATCATTGACCATCATTGGATTGACCAAAGCAGTGGAGGATTGATTATTGGACATTTTCGGTGGTGTTGAAGCGAATGATGAGGATGCTGTTGTTGATTTAGCATTGCTGGCATGTTGGTGATGATTATGGTGATAGTAATAGGAATCGCTATTGAAACTTGATTGTAAAAGGCCCAAATAGCTAGAATGGTGATGATGACCATGATTGGGAGAATAGTGATGATGGTGGTGATGGTAAAGGGCTGCCGCTGCAGCTGCCGACGCATTATTACTGCCAGACGAGGACTGATGATGATCGTTGGCAAAAGCAGCATCACAATTCGAATTATTATTATTATTATTGGTAGGATTGACCGATCCCATCAGATGATGACTATGATGATGCGACGCTGCGGTACCACTGGTAGCTGCCGCAGCGGCTGCCGCTGCTGTTGCCGTAAGCGTTATGTTTGGTGAAATATGTATGGACATGTCCAAGGTAAGATCATTGTTGTTTAACGATGTGGCCAGCGCAGCAGTGGCGGCCAATGGTTTAGTCGATGCGAATGTTGTGGTAGTCAATGCCTGGCCAGTGGAGATGGCCGAAGTGGTAGTTGATGTGGTGGTGATTGTGGGCGATATCGATGATGCTGATGCACCGATGGTCATCGATACTGATAAAGACAATGGTCTTGTCGCACTATAAGCCGATGATGAAGAATGTTGTGTGTGCAACTGGCTAATTGATTGGTGATTGTCGGTCACATCATCCAAACTTTTCAATCGATTGGATAAGGAATCGCTTTCATACAAAGGATACGACGACGATGATGATATCTGATCAGTGATAGCCGTGGAATAAGCGGATGACTCGAATTGGCTAGATGCAGCAGCATGATGCATCGATCCATATGATGATGATGGATTTTGACTCTCATACGAGGGTTGTTGTTGCAGTTGACCATGGCGATTTGGATGTTGATTAACGGCCGACTGGTATGTGCTGTAATTTGAACCGATCACTGGATTGGCAGGCACAACAACAGCATTTGCCGATGTCATTGCCGCATTGGATTGTTGAGTGGATGGATAAAGTGGCGCAGCATAATAATAACAGGAAAAAGGGGAATTGAATTTCCAAAATGAAGCGGGCAATTTGCGTTTAATCATTGGTGTATGGAGCAATTGCAATCGTCGCAGATAACGACGTTTGCACAATTGATAACGGGGCCGATGATGATGGGATTTGGTTTGATTATATGCAATATATTTGCCATTTGAATGATTTGGATTCGAATCAGGACTTTGGTCATTCGAATTGGTGGTAGAGATTAATAAACCACTATTATTGCTAGCACTGTTATTACTGTTGTCACTATTTCGACTGCAACAACGTTTTGCATCCAATGAGGAATCTATGGATTTTGCTACTGTCATGGCCGTTGTTGTTGTGGTAGTTGCTGTTTGATTATGATTCACCGGTGATGTTGAGCTACTGACCATAGCCGAAGACGAGGATGATGAGGAAGATGCGGATAACGATTTTTTGTTAGCACTGAAATGGCCATCATTATCATTATCATCGTCTTTCGAATGTTTTGCATTTTCCGGTTGATGTTCATCATTCCTATTTGCACCGTTGTCATTTCCACTGTAGACTGCATCTGCTGAACAAGCACAAGAAAAAAGCAAACAATATTTTAGCATAACAAAATGACAAAACAAAATCATTGTTTCTCGTTTCGTAGGTTGCACGTGATCTCGATAACAGAATTAATTTTTTCCCAACTGATAATGAAAAACTCATTTAGATTAGCCAGAAACAAAGCGATGTATTAGAATGTAATAGAATGGTCATTGGCCACAATCAACATGCATGAGACCCACAAATAAAAGGTCAGATGAGATTAGACTTTTCGAATAGTTGTTGAATCATTCGAATCAAACAGAAAATCCAACAGATTTTCGCATTGAAGCGTTTGTTCGGTTTGATTGTTACTAAACGATTATGAGAGTGATAGTGGCAATCAACCAATAGAAATTTGGCCACCCAGTCACAAAATGGTAAATTTATCATTTTGTTTTTGCTGACCACAAAAAAGACAAAGGTCATTGAAAATGATAAAAATAAAGATGATCCTTGTATTTCCATTCTGGGCGAGCTGCTCAGAAAAGGGAAACGGAGTTTATCGAATGAATGTGATGGCATTATAGGTCCAATATTTATTCAATTTTTTCATGGTTGCGTCGCCGTATTCGGTCGCGATGATGATGTTTATGAATTGAATTCATTTTGGCATAGTGTGTGTGTGTGTGTGTGCTGTCTACATTCCAAACTAATCATCATCATCAAACAACACCGACAAAAAATGTTGTCAACGATGTTTGATGATTGAACAAAGCGAAAGAAAAATTCCAATGCTAAGGCCAATGTTCTTTTTGAATTGAGGCGCAAACAAAAAAACGAAAAAGTTTTCGGGATAAGGAAAATGACAATATTTGGCTCTCGATAATCACTAATGGAAAGAAATTCCAAACATCTTTGCTTTTTCTGTTCAAATAATGATCTGCTGGCATTCATGACGAGTGTGCAAAATCAAACTTTGTAAATGAAGATGTGGCAATTTAAATTAATTAAAAACAATCTTTTCGCTCAACATTACCGGTGCTTTTATCGTAGATATTGGAATGATCATATGATGATGATCCGTTGGGACTAGTGGATGATCGAGATGCGGAAGCCTGTACAACATGATTAGTGAATGATGATTGTTGTTGTTGTGATGGCGTTTGTTTGGTATTGAATAGCAATGCAAATGAACGTTGGAAATGTTGATTAATGGATGTCATAATGTCGGTTTGAATGTAGCTATGCAGAATGGAATTGGCCGATAGATAGATGGTTTGTATGTTTGATAAATGATCCTCATCATCGTAATCATCGATAATGGCGTCACCATTGTCATCATAGTCGTCACCATCCTCAATATCGGCATCATCGTTATGGTCATCATCATAATCGATACCCTCATCATCATCATCGTCATCCTCGTCGTCGTCATTGTCATCATCTTCATTTTGGGTGATAATCATTGAAGAATCTTGACCAGTCTTATTATCCATCGGATCAATGATTGTCAGGGATTCTTTCGATGTATTGAGGGCATCACTGTAGAATGCATGGCCATTATTGTTGTTGTAATCGATGGAATTGGCCACATTGTTATCTGGTGGGGATTGTTCCAATTTGGTTATATTTTGCGCGAAATAATTGTTGGTTGTGGATATTGTTTGTTCATGTGGATCGATTGATGATGAAGATGAGGATGAGGAAACTGCTTCCGATGTCGTTGTTGTAGGTTGTGAATAACCGGATCTTTGTTGATAATGACTTGCTCTGAAATAGTGACCATTATTATTGTTGGTCGGCGACGATGATTGTGATCTCAACGGTGATGATGCAATGTTGTTGTTGTCGCCATACAAATTGGTACTGCTTGATGGTGATATGATGGAATGTTGCGGATGCGGATGATATTGATGGTGAAGACTATTGGAATTGGGATTGTTGTGGTCAGCCATAATGGTTGGCTCTGATGAATTAGTCATCAAACCAGTGGTTGGACTTTCGAATCGATTCATTTGAAATATGATTTTTCAATTTAAGGAAAAAGAGTTGAAATGAAAATCAATCAAGATTTGAGCACACACTGCACATTTTAGGATCGAGTGATTGATTGATAAATAGATTGATTGAAGCATGTATGTGACACATTACATATTTTGCAAACAAGATTCCTCAGATCAGTCGAAAAGTTAGTTAAATGGGTTGGAATGTGAAAATAGTTAAATAGTCAGTTTGTTGTTTGTTTGGTATGATGATGATGGTGGTGGCTTATAATTATGGTGAGACAACAAAATATTGATTAACTAACCCGATCGTGTTTGGATTGGATTGATGATCGCCATCACCATATCGACTGAAGCAAAATTGCACATTGAAATTTATTTTAAAATTTTGTTATCGTTTCACTTTCATCTTTCTTGTTTCTCGTATACAGGATTCGAATGTTTCATCGAAGAAATTCTGCCTTGGCAATCATTGCAACGATAATAATTTTGGTTTGGATGCTTTTCGCTGATTTTCATCTATATAAGCAAACATGTATGGAGCATGGTTCATAACCAGAAAATGTTCTGATTGGTCTACGTGTTCCAGAAATGGGCGGTATTTCCATCCATTTTTGGTTTGGTTGGATAGTGTAGTTCTCCGTGTGCATGTATTTGGCATTTGCATTGGCGATAGTCATCATTGATCAGAGGCATATGATCTTTTTGCTTGTTTATTTCTGGAATTCACATAACAATGATCATTATCGACATTTCTTTTAGCACTAAATCGTGCCATTTGCTATCAAATAACTTTTGCGAAAAAATGAAAAAAATTCGTTCGAAAAGCGATAGATGGTGCCACAATGGATTAGACTCGCATTTCTGTTTGTTGTTGATAAAGTTGTGCAAAGAACGTAATTTCAGTGTTCTGACAAACAACCAACAAATATCAAAGTGGTTAATCAATCAATCAAAGTGTGTGTTTTGTTTTATGATTCATCATCATCATGTCGATGGAAAGTAAGTTTTCTAAATTGTAATCCAGAATGGGCGTTAAACTTGATGTTTTTGATTTGCCAAGAACATTTGTTCAATTTGAAATTCGCGGCCAAAGAATTGGAACGAAATTCGAAAAAATGCCTGAAAGATGAATCGGTTGAGAAATTGAAATGCAAAAAAGCCATCCAGAAAGGTAATATGGAGGGTGCTCGCATACATGCCGAGAATGCTATCCGTCAGAAGAACCAATCGTTAAACTATTTACGAATGTCAGCTCGAATCGATGCTGTCGCATCACGAGTGCAAACGGCTGTCACCACTAAACGTGTTACACAATCGATCGCAGGCGTAACTAAGGCCATGGATTCGGCTATGCGTTCGATGAATCTTGAAAAAATAAGCCAAATCATGGACCAATTCGAAAAACAATTCGAAGATCTCGATGTGCAAACAACCACTATGGAAAATTCCATTAGCAGTTCGACAACGATAACCACACCGGAAAATCAAGTGGATTCATTGATGCACCAAGTAGCGGATGAAGCCGGGTATGTTATGTCATTGCATTTGTATTAGCATAACTAATATAATGCATTCATTTTGTTTTCAGCCTCGAATTGAACATGGAATTGCCATCGGCCAATCAATCAACCGTTGGCAGCAAGTCCACTGCAGTTGCATCATCCGATCAGGATGAACTTTCCAAACGATTGGCTCAATTACGACAAATGTGACACTTTTTTCCAAACTATGATATCTTTCCTTGTTGACATTTTTATTTTCTAATAAAATTAGCAATTTTCAGACATTTAAATTATCACAAACTTTGACTTTATCAGCAGGCAAAAGATGGCGCTATAGTAGATTTGTTTATGACCAAACACATGGTGCCAATACTGAGAAGTTGATTAGTTTGGATTGAAAATGTTGTTGATTAAGTCATATGGCAGACGATTGTACAAATGTATTCATGTCAGCCAATTTCGACAAATTCGAATGCGTCCACAAGACCCGGAACAAGTGGCCACCATGGAAGAATATGAATTTGCGGGAGAAAAACATTCAACAAAACGATCCAAATCGGTATTTTGTTGGGGATTTTCAGCAACCGGCGCGCTAGGTCGTCACAGCATTTTTGGTCGATCGCAGAAAGCGGATGGTCAACTGGAAATGCCAAAGCGGACCGTGATACGAGCACCACAACGTCTAAGATTTGTGAATCCTCGATGTCATGTTTATGATGTAGCAGCGGGATCCGGTTTCACTGTGATTGCGGCCACCTATGACGGCACTTCACATGTATTGTTTGGCTGTGGTCTTAATACCGACTCGCAGATTGGCTGCCAATTCAACCATTCCAATGAGCCTTTGGTTTGTGTAGCCGAGCCAGTACCAATCGATCTGCCATTGGATTCGACCAAAAGAAATAGACAAAATGCAGAAAAGGTGATTAAAGTAGCATGCGGTCGCGCTCATACTGTATGTCTGACAAATCATGCCAACGGTAAGTGTTTATATTTAATCAAGGCAAATCTATCCTATCTTCAAATTAGTGTTTACTTTGGGTAACAATTCATTCGGTCAGTGCGGACGTCCCATCGTGGATGATGAAAAATATTTTGCCTCCAAACGTGTTCATCGGATTGACTACGATGAAAGCGATCCTATCATAGATGTTTGTTGCGGTCTCGACCATACACTATTGCTCACTAAATCCGGTGTTGTCTATTCATTTGGTTGGGGTAATGATGGTCAATTGGGTCAAGGATCGAATCGTTCATCGTGGAAATTATCCAAAGTTATCGGCGATGTTCAAAATGAACGAATCATCAAGGTTTCATCAGCCGGTGATTGTGTGCTGGCCATCAATGGTAAATGATTCGAATGAAATTTACAATCACATTGAATGTTGTTTGCTCTAAGATAAAGGACAAGTGTTTGGCTGGGGTAATAACGAATATGGACAGCTAGCAATGGCTAATACGAATGACACGCAAATTCATACATCCAAACATGTTAGACTTGATGACAATATGATTGGAAAAGTGTGCGATGTAGCGGCTGCCGGTTCAATGTGTGCATTAGTGAATGGTAGGCAATTTGTTTGGTTTGGTTGACTTAATGATAATCATTTGATGGATAATCAGGCTCAGGTTCGGTATTTGTTTGGGGTTATGGAATACTTGGATTCGGACCCAGTATACGGGAAAAGGTGATGCCAAGCGAATTGAATGGCAATCTATTCGGTCGTAATATATTGAATAGGGATACACGTGTTAGCAGCATTACTGCCGGTTTACATCATTTTGGTGCCATCAACAGTAAGTGCATTGGTTTGATGATGACCACCATGATAATTGTATCATATTTAACCAAAGATAAAGGCGAATTATTCATGTGGGGCAAGAATAATCGTGCCAATCTTGGAATCGGCTCCAAACATGACATGATGTTTCCATACAGAGTAGGTATTCGTGTGAATTTATGGTGAATGGTTATATAATTGATCTATTTCAGATATCAATACCAACATATGTGCTCAAATTGAGTCTGGGTATCGATCATTCCATCGCCATTGGACAGCGATTGATTTGATTTGTTTGAAAAATGTAAATCCTCATCGGCAGATGGCCATTGTATATTCATTCATCAATTTAAATCGCATAACATTCTCTATGAAAGTTTTCTCTGTTTCCAAACAAAACTTGTGTTTATTTGAATTGAATAAAAAATGATTTTTTCCTTCTAGGTCCAGATGCTGGTTTTATGAGTTGTGTTAGGTTGGTGATTGTGATCGAACCAAGGTAACGAAATAGCCATTGCGCACGGTCCTCACCACTCTTGTTCATTTTGTGTGTGTGTGTGTGTTTCAGGGTCCAAGCACGAAATCTGGGAATGAGCTATGGCGAACGAAATGAATGAAGGAACAAACGAAATTGGAAACCACTACCACCATTATTCGTGTCGGGAACATTGTCAAGAAAGCGAGCGAATGAATGAATGGGGCAGAGAAAATTGACCAAAAAGGGGAAAAACTCAAGAATGGAATGCAACTGGAAAATAAGCTGTTGTGTGGCGTGTGTGGTGGTTAACGATAACCAAGCAACAAACTAAACTAAGCACTGAAATGCTAAACGAGCAGCCAACAACAAAGCAAACGAACGAAATGCAACAGGCAAATAGTGATGGCGATGATGAAGGCCAAATAATTTATTTGTTGATGGTGGTGGTTGCTGTTAGTAGTCGTGGTCTTCGTCATCATTATCGTCATCGATATGTGTGAGCCGAAATGAATGAAGTTTTGCTTGTTTACGTGAAATGGAAACAAGAATGTTAATGGCATAGGATGCTCTAGCCTGTTTGTTTGCTCTAAATTGCAGCATTGAACCATATATCATACAGTGATATAGTGATATAGTGATATTAGTGGTATTAGTGATATTTCTCTATCCCAATCAATGAATGTGGTGCCTAGCCACGACCATTCTGCAGATATTTGTTTCATCTGTTGCTTTGTTGCCAATACATGTATTGGAGCATCTCATTCTTGACATACACTCTCTCTCACGATCATCATTGGTTTGAAGCGAGCCTCTTTTTCTTGTTGTTGCATTCTTGTGTGTTGTGATGGACGACTAGTTGATTTTGTCCGTTGTTGTTGTTGTTATGATCGTCGTCGTCTTTGTATATGCTTAATGTGGATGCTTCTATGTTTTCGATAATTTGGCTCATCTTTTCGACGACGACAACGATTTTGACGATGATGGTGATGATGGTGATGATGAAGAAAAAGATGATGCTCAAGATGTGAACAACAACAACAATCAGAGGATATTGTTTTCACAACAATATTATTAGACAATAGAATCATCCATTCTCCGCCATATGATCACCATTTCCACAATCTTATACTCATCAATGATAAACAACAATTGTGAAAGCCAACTTGAAATAACGTCATCCAAACCAAAATTCTTGATTCGATAAGTGTGTGCCAAGCAAGATAAACATAACATATTTAATGCTGTGATCATTGATTGCTTTAACCAACAAAAAATAGTGAACAAATAACCAAACAAGTGAAAATATCATCATAACATTGTTTCTCTATGGTAATGAATGTGTTTTTTGAAATATTTGATAATCATCTGTAATCTGGATTGCATCAAACACACATAGCACAAGGTCACTATCACATGCTATTAATTAATTGATTGATCAATACTCATCCGATTGATGGACAGCAAATAAACTTTGATAAATTCCTAGACAGACAAAACAAAAAGATCAAACATACATTAGAGAAAAAGGTGAGGTTTTGTTGTGGGTAAAATTTTCTGCCGCATCATTAGCATGAGTGACATTTTGGTTGGAAAATGTCAATTGTCTGATGGACCATTTCTTCACTGTCTGGGCTATGATGGAATTTTGACATTTGCTTTGATCGACAAGAATTTGTCAATTTCATTTGCAAATAGTTTTGCTTCTGTTTATCATCCATTCAGTATGTGATATGCAAAAATGACTGAGAAAATGGAGAAAGCAAAACAAATTATAAATAGCATAGACTAGAACAACCATGTATGTGTGTGGGTGGATGGATGCAGGATGCAAAGACAAACGGAGAATTTCAAAGTTACAAACAAACATTCTCTCTTCTCTGAAATGACTTGTGTGCTGTGTGTGTATCGGCATTCTATTCTAAATTGGAAATTGGATATGACAGTGGGTGTATCATGATTAAAATATTGATATTGGTTCAATAAACAAAGTGACGTGTTTGATATTTTTTCTTTATTGCCAACAGATTTTCGATTGTTGAATGAAACAATGGTGCCATATGGAATGAGGAATCAGAAATGGCTTAAAGCAACCTGCCAGTGCAAATGAATGCAATGAATCAGTACAAACAAAAATGATAAATAGATTAACTATTATCGAATGAATGACCATTTCCTCAATGTTTCTCGACACCAAACCAAACCAAAACACTATGCTGCTCGATTGGATTCCAATACCAAAGTACAACTGATTGCCACGTCTACTCAACAATTTGCCTCACTCAATTCTATTACCATGCATATTGTCTTTCGAAATGATGATACCTCTCTTACGACAATAATATCCCATTTGCCTTTGTATTGATATTAACATTGACCATAATCGTTATCATTATTATTGATGATCCGAAGTTCACAAACTGGTCCTGCCAACACAGGTCCAATCAATTCAAGACTGGAGTCGAATGCCAACAATACCAATAATGGCGGCGGAAGCGGTAATCACCATCATCATTTCATCCATCATCATAATAATCAACATCATCACCACAACCAGCATACCATTCTGCTCCATCCTCACCAACAACAACAACCACAACTATCGCATCATCACCACTCACCGCAACAGCAACAAAGCCAATCACCGTCCCAACAAACGCAACAGCAACAAGGCAAATACAAACGTAATGTGTTGGAACAGATTCGCAATTCTTTGAAGCCGTTTGCCAATGCATCGGATTGTGGTGGCCATCGAAGTGGCCAGCCGCAGCAATCGTCATCTCCGCTGCCGTTGGTGCCGCCGCCCATGGTGGGATCCAGTATAAATGCCAATTACCATCATGATAATCATGCTCATCATGGCTATCATGGCTATCACCAGCAACATAATAATAATGTCCACCAGTCCAACAACAACAATATCTACCCACAACAATCATCCATTCATGGAGCGAAACCGCTGATGAACAACAATGATCATCAACCAACAGCGACTTTGTTGAACGATGTGAATCGTCAGCAGATAATCAAACGGGTACTTGAAACTGGTGGTTCCGAGGTAAGATTGGACTGTTATGTTTGTTATTGTTATTGATGATGATTGTTCACTAGGCTTTGCTTTCAATGATGCAGGATAAACTGAAAGGTGGTGCAGAAATGGAATCGAACACCAATCATCATACTTCATCATCATCATCATCATGTCATTATACTCATCATCATAAAGTACAACAGCATCCTATTGTGATCGATCAACAACGTATACAACAACAACAACAACAGCAATATTCGCATAAAGTGATCAATAAAAAATCATCATCATCATCGGCATCCACAATCATGATGACCACCATGTTTGAATGTTCGGATGCGCAGAGTTTGTACAGCGGGGCGACTAGTGAGAAAAGTGCATCCAGTTCAGTGCGATCCGACAGTCCAATTGTCATGGTTAACGGTGCTAATCATAATAATAATAACGCTATCCTTGCTGGCAATCATCATCATGCCATTGTTGCCAATCATCACCATCCTCATCAACAGCCGCAGCAGCAACGAAGCAACAGTAATGGCAGCATCCATCAGATGTCATCGCTCGATTCGATTTGCTATTCCTCATCTTCATCCGGTCTCTGTGGTCAATCTGGTGCTGGTCCGCCTCCACTGCCTCCACCATTGGCCACACAGGAATCGCAAGCATCTTCCAATTGTTCCAGCCTTCATAATGTCCTATCACCTGCAACTCAATACCATAGGCTGCAACAACAACAACAGCAACAGCAGCAGCAACAACAACAACAACAACAATCATCTTTTGTATCGACTAATCGTCAAGCTGCGATCAATAAGCCGCAATCCATAGCCAATGCAACTTTTGCACACCGTGTATTATCACCAACGATTTCAGCAAATTTATCTGCAGGGCCGCCACCACCATTTCGACCGACCGATCCATTGCCGCCACCCCCATTGCCACCACATAGACCAACGTCGAATTGTACAGTTGCACCACCTCCTATACCACCATCACAGCCGCATCCATCGGCAACGTTATCTTCATCTGAATCATCTTCATCGAAAGCGAACGAAACTAATTTGATGCAGATCAAAAATTACATCACCAATCAGATGGCCACGATATCTACCATAGCATCCGGCTCAAACACTGTGTCATGCAAGAATCAAACTGCCTCAACAACATCCACCACTGTGACCAGTACCCCGTCGTACACGGTGCAGTGTCGTCCGAACGCATTCAGTTATGCCTCGTCTGCATCCTCATCATCACCGCAACGTGGTGGCAGCCCGATTTCATTTGCAAATTCCAGATTCACAGCTGCAGCAGCCAATATAGCATTCAATTCGATTATTGGAGCAGCCAGTTCATCAGCTACATCCACAGCTCAATCCACTGTCACTAATTCCACGACCGGTTTGGTTTCCCAGGTGACGCAAAAATTACACAATCTTAATATGAATTCAGTGGCCACCGCTCATACAGGCAGTACTAACAGTTTGCTATCGGCCTATTCCAGTCAAAGTTTTGCTCATAGTCCACCGCCGTCGTATGCAGCGTCAAGTAGTTCGGGCAGACAATCGCCAACACCCACTATCAGTTCGAGTTCGGATTACGCATCCATTCCGGTGTTGTCACCACCGCCCAAGACGCATCGACAAGATCAGTCGCAGCAAAATCAATCGGAATATAATCATCGCAAGTTATCGTCGCCAATCTCATCCACATCATCGATAGGCGTTCATACTCAATCGTCGACATCGTCATCGACGAATCGAAGAGCGCAGCCATTGCCGCCGCAATCGGAAACAGCCAAACATTCTTTGCAACCGTGGTCGGCCAGACAAGCCATATCTCAATCGCCGATCATAATGCAATCAGTCAAATCACAACAGGTCCAAAAACCGATATTGCAGACAGCCGTTGCACCGACGTTGCCGCCAATCAATGTCAAACTATCGATAGCATCATCCCAATCCACCTCGATGTCCATATCGACAGTGATGTGTATGAATCAGAAAACAACACCCACCGGTATAGCGACACAGCCCAAAGCTCCATTAACTTTAGCTCCTTCGTCATGTGGTTCGGCTCATGTGGCTACACCCGCCTATACGGCATCCTGTTCATCAGTATCGCCCGCTTCAATGTCATCCTCATCAATGTCTCGGTCATCGTTATCGACAAGTAAAAATCCGCCTCCATATCCAAGCGGATCCATGGCCAAAGCAAATCAGCCACTTCCCCTACCGCCCTCTTCATCGTCATCATCGTCATCGGGCCATCATCAATCATCGACGACGGCCAACAAATCGGATACAGGATATCATGCCGCTCCACCACCACCTTATTCATCTGCCGTACAACAGCAGAATCAAAATCGAATGGCGGCACTGTCATTCTCCAACACCAGATTGATGTTGTCCACTCAAAGTTTGGATTCGCAGACGCAAAGTTCGGATATGTCATGTAAATCGCCCACACCACCGCCTACAGCGGCTGCAGCATCATCATCGGCGGCAGTGTCGGCACCGCCTCCTCCGCCACCTCCCCCTTATTCCTTGTCAGTCAGTCAGAACGATTCGATAGCGCAAATCTTATCCGGTCTGAGTAATGGTTCCAGTAGTGGTGGTGCTACTGCAAACAACAATGTAACTAATGCGGCAATACAGGTTCCAACAACCGATCCACCAAGCTATGCATCGTCGATGGCAGCACTAGCAGCACAACGTGTTGTTTATAACAGTAATGTCACTGGAAATGGTGCCAATTGCTCCACCTATGTTCAATCAGCTACTGGCATTGCGGTGGCCACAACCACAACCAGCGACCATGTTTCCTCATTGTGTAATTCATCTCAAAACTGTGATCTGGTCAATACGGTGGAAAGCATCTGTACATCGCAGATTAGTGCATTACAAGGTGGCACATCATCATCACCTGCCACCGCAGCGGTTACTGCTGTTTCAACTGTTTCAACCGTAGCAGCTAATCGACGTATTGGCTTGCCGCCATCCGGTGAATCTGCACCTGGACCACCTCTACCGCCCAAGCCAAACAGCAGTAGCAACAACACCAGCAACAACAACAACAACAATAATAATAATAATAATAATAATACTCACGCTAATCATGCACCTCCTATACCACCTTCTCTTTCGCATCTGCACGGTGGCCATTTGCAATCGTTGACCACATCGGATAATGTCAGTGGTGAAGATTATGAGTTGGATTCGTCCACCTATTCGACTACCACCAATGAATCACTATCGGCCTCCATCTACGGCCAACAACCGTTTGCCAAGATGATGGCCACCGGATCCACAACAACATCAAGCCATGAAAATAGTGCCAGTTCGACTGCCACATCGATTGTGAATGTGAACAACAACAACGATAATGATAATAGTGATGATTGCCAAACTTGTCAGCAACAATCGAGCAATGGCAGTAATGGCAACACTTGTGATCTATGCAAACAATGTGATGATGATGGCAACGATGGTTGCCGTGATGTGTTCGAACAAACCGAGGATGGCAGCAACAAACGTACCCATCAATCGCCCATTCCTACGCGCAAGAATCTGTCGAAAGCCAAGGAAAAAGAAAGACGCGAATTCAAAGTGCGAAACTATTCGCCGGCTGCATTCAAATTCTACATGGAACAGCATGTGGAGAATGTGATCAAATCACAGCAGCAACGAGAAAAGCGTCGTGAGCAACTGGAATCGGAAATGAAAAAGGCACGTCTGTCCGAAGAAGATCAACTGGGCCTGAGACAGATGCTCTATCAGAAAGAATCCAACTATATACGGCTGAAACGGGCCAAGATGGATCGTTCCATGTTTTCCAAAATCAAAACCATCGGTGTGGGCGCGTTCGGTGAGGTGGCACTTGTTCGCAAATTGGACGCCAATGTTCTCTATGCAATGAAAACACTGCGTAAAGATGATGTGCTCAAACGTAATCAGGTGGCTCATGTGAAAGCTGAACGTGATATATTGGCGGAAGCCGATTGCGAATGGGTGGTGAAACTGTACTACTCATTTCAGGATGACAAACATCTTTATTTTGTTATGGATTACATTCCTGGGGGCGATCTTATGTCATTGCTCATCAAAAAGAATATCTTTGACGAACCGTTGGCCAGGTACGGGACCAACAGATCTTTTTTTCCCATATATTTTCATTGATTGACTTTTGTTTTGCGAATAGATTCTACATTGGCGAATTGGTTTTGGCTGTAGAAAGTGTACATAAAATGGGTTTCATTCATCGTGATATTAAACCGGATAATGTGCTCATCGATAAGGATGGCCACATCAAGCTGACCGATTTCGGCCTCTGCACTGGATTCCGTTGGACACATAATTCTCGCTATTACCATGATCGTGTCGACTCAATGGATCTAGAGGAGGCCAGACAGATCAGTTCATACGATTGTAATTGCAAACTGGCCAAACCATTGGAACGACGAAAACGCCGCGAACATCAACGCTGTTTGGCTCACTCGTTGGTCGGTACGCCCAATTACATTGCACCCGAAGTGCTGGCCAAAAATGGCTACACTCAACTGTGTGATTGGTGGAGCGTAGGAGTGATACTGTATGAAATGGTGGTGGGACGACCACCCTTCTATGCCAACACTCCCGAAGATACTCAATTAAGGGTAACCATATTGATGATTAGTGTCAAGTGTGAGACATTCTTTGATTCTTTGATTTTTATTCATTCTTATAAAGGTGATACGTTGGCGGGAATATCTCCAGATCCCCACATTTATATTGAACAAAAGACTTTCGGATGAAGTGATCAAATTGATTGAGCAATTATGCTGCGATGAAAGCGAACGTCTTGGACGTAACGGTGCCGAAGAGATCAAGCGGCATGCATTCTTCAAGCAAATAGATTTTAGTGAAAATCTTCGTGAACAGCCAGCGCCATACGTGCCAGAAATCAAATTCGATACGGATACATCCAATTTTGATCCAGTCAGTCCGGATCGTTTACATTCGATCGATGCCGATGATTGTATCAGCATGAATTGTTTCAATGAATTCGGTGATAAAATGACCAACTTGGATCACCGTAACAATAACAACAACAATAATGGCAAAAACAAAGCCAAATCATCGCATCCGGATCATGCGTTTTTTGAATTTACGTTCCGGAGATTTTTCGATGCCATCGAACCGTTTCGTTTAAGTAATAATGACGGTCACCACCACGCTGGCCATTCTCATCACCACCACCATCATCATGCCCATCACCACCATCATCAGACCGGACAAGTGGATGGGCAATCCTCCAATCATTCATCGCCGAGAAACGGTGCTGCTGCTGCTGATTGCAACATTGATTCGAATGCTAGCGAAACAGCAAGTGATTATGAAGAAGTGGTCATTATGACCAACAACAATAATGATGAAGAGAATGTGTTGATCGCATCATGCCTATCATCGCCGACATCTGCCCCAGTCGAACAAATCAATCCCAATTGTGCAGTAATGAAAAACAATACCAATGCGCTCGATTCGGATTCAGATTCAATCACCAAATCGACAACAGCAGCATCATCACCAATCGTCAATGACAAGGCAACGGGCAAAGATTGCGAACAAAACAAATCATCCAATGATGAACAGGGTAACAATCCGGTGTTTGTTTGATGGAAATACAATATTTGAAAAATCAATCATCGATCTCGCCAACCATTCTCAACACAATAATCGGCAAATTGAGCAACAAGCCATTCACAATGTGATTGATCACTCACTCATGCTATAATAATATTTATTGAATCACCACCATTTTGTTTAATCAATTATCAATTATCAATCTTCCATTGCATCTGGCCTGTACATATTTATTGTATCAAAGACAAAATGCCAATTACTTACTATATTCTGTGACTGAAATGGACAACCACATCCATGCAAACATCCTCAAATCTCAAATTAACTATAGTTTTTTGCTTGATAAACTCCTTGAATCGGTCCATATTAACATTGCTTTTTGCTCGACATTCAACTAAGCCAAATACCAGAGTTCAAATACACTTGCTATACAAATCATTATTATTATTTTATTAATTTTTTTCTATTTTGTAATTTTTTCATTTTTCAAAATATGATTATCATACTGAATAAAGAAAATCTTATTTTCAGCCGTGTTTTCTTTCAATTTGATATTGTCATTGTCTCTTTATTCAAGTATCTTTCGGTGAATCCGCGTTGGTATTATGATGTTAGACTTGTTCAAAATGATAATGTTATTGGCAAAAACAAACTCTTGTTTTTCATTGTATTCTCATGATGCGAATGTTGCTTCCACTTTGAATGTCGTTTATGAAGTACGCCAACTGCTCAAACTACGTGCGTTGGATAGCGCATGTTGAAAAGGAAATTGTCAATTGTCAACTTGACTGCAGTGTGAGCATGTTGACGAAGTGATGATGAAATGAAACTTGTTGTTTTTGTTGAGTATAGAATTATTTTTTGTGTGATTATTCTGTTGCGAATTAATTGTGATACGAATAATTGAATGTTTATTAATT